TGAATTTTTATACAGGTCCTTTTGATAAGGAGGGGGAGTACATGCAGTTGGATAGATGCTTACAAAGCGAACTTCCTAAAGTTTTTCTAGATCTGGTTTACAACAGTAATCTCTCAACGTAAAACATTAATTTAGATCAAAATCTTCATACAGGAAAAGACAAAAATATTGCAAATCCAGATATCATACTGGTAAAGCACTTTCCTTGTGAGGTTTTGGTACCAAACTACAACCCATTTTCTCTCATTGATGGCAGGGCATTGGACGTAGAGTACTTCAGAAGCAAGGCTGGTCAGAAGGTGAGGGGCTGGCAAGACAGTAAGTAGGTAGTATGGCAGATGCTCTGATGATAACACGGGAAAAATTCCAGAGACAAGACAGGATTCGGTGTAAGTTAATCTCATAACTCTTCAAAGGGGAAGTCCCCCCTGATATTAGGTTGTTTTTAATAGAAGCAGAAACAATGAGAGGAACAGATGAGTGAAAGTTTGAGGAAATTCTAATTAAAAATAAGAAAGTCATGAATTTTTGAAGTTGCGATAAATCAAACACAAATTGGCAACACCAATTAGTGCTTGGGGACATGATCATCCACACATTATTTGAGACCTTCATATGGATATGGACTAAAATTTCCATAAATAGCATTGGGGGGGGGGGCAGTCATGATTTCTTAGCAAAGGCTGTAAGTGATTCAACTCAGTTAGTGTATGGACAAATATGTACATGGCCTATATATTAGTACTCCAAAAAATTATTTTTTCCATTTATTCAGAGTGAAAGATTCATATTTTAACTTGCAATATATCTTAGATTTACATTAGTATTATTTGAAGCTGATATTTTAAATGGGATATAAATAGAGCATACTATTTTGGGGTCCCCTTTAAGCCCCTCCTTTCACTTTAGGTTAAAGGTTGGTCCCTAGAATTTATACAATTTTTAAGCTACGGTATAACACCATCTCGACTGTACTCTGAGGAAGTTGCTAGATGCATTTATTCTTGAATGTCATACACAAATTGTAGACTGCAGTGTATTCTAGATCAGAGATCATTTACTATATACAACACTTACTTGGCACATTGTTTATCTAAAAATATTTTCCAACATGTCTAAATCTGATCTGTGCTTGGTTTTGTGTTCAGGTATCATGGAGACAAGCTGCAGCCAATGAAGAGCTACGTCCCCACTGTGAAGAAACAACGTAGAGCAGACAAAGAGGTGATAATATCCACCATCTATGACGATCCCTCAGTGACCGACCCAGCGGAACCACTGATGCGATCGAGAGGACCGTACCATCTCAAGTATCGGCATGAGATTGAGTTTGTCAAAGGAGATCGCAGATGACCAACGGGGAGCTATATATACCCACTGCTAAGAACCATGTGGTGCAAAGAGGTGATGGTATCCACCTTTTATGACGATCCCTCAGTGACTGACCCAGCGGAACCGCTGATCGCGAACTAGAGGACTGTACCATCTCAAGTATTGGCATGAGATTGGGTTTGTCAAAGGGGATCGCAGATGATCAACAGGGGAGCTATATACCCACTGCTAAGAAAAAGTGTGGTGCAAAGAGGTGATAATATCCACCTATGACGATTCCCTCAGTGACCGACCCGGCAGAACGGTACCACCTATGCGATCCAGAGGGCCCGGGACTGTTTCACAAACCAGGTAGAGCTGACACAGAAGAAATCATCTCTAGAAAATGTCCAGAGCAGAGAGTTGACCTAAATAACTGTGACTGAGAGAAAATTTACTACACAAATGTAAACAATCCTTAAGTAGTACATATTTAATGGTATTGACCATGGCTTCGTTGGACTAGAGTATCCTTTGATGTACATGTACATTGGGCTGTTGAACCATGCATTACATTTCCTTTAATGTAATTGTTAAGAAAAATCTTGTTTTGCCATATATATATACATGTATATATATATATATATATTAGAACCAAACTATCTCAAAGGCAGAGTATTCTACTGACACTGCTTCACATCTACATATGTCATCTGCTGCTCACAATGTCCCGATGTCTCGACAGCCATGTCCCACAATGCATCACCAACTGATTAGCACGCGTGATGTGCATGGGAAATGGAACCGGAAATTGCTCTATGTATGCGTTCAACGAAAGATAGGGCAATTGGTACTACATTCCCTGCCTTTAAATGGTGTCTGTCTTGAAATATATTTAGTGAAACATGTTGATATGCCCATTTTATTTTATATTTTTCTATGGAGTCTGTATTTAAAATAAAAGATAAGATTGGAAACAGACATTTACCTTTTGTTTTATTATTTACAAACACAAAACTATATACAGAATAAAAAGGTTAGAAGGAAAGAAAACAAAGATATTATAAACTGAGCGACGAGGCAACAACGTATGCAATCAATAATTATTTGAAATTTTATAGCATTTGTGTAAATGTTGTGTCTGAAATTTTGATATACTAAGATTTTTGTTTGTTATTATAAAATATACAGAACACATTACAAGACCGTGACAAAGGCTTAGTGATGGCCATAGCAGAGCAAGAGTGAACATGAGAGAGAAAGAGAGAGAGAGAGAGAGAGCATAGTGGAGATGAGAAAGAAAAAGTTACAGGGGGAGAGAAGAGAGAAGAGAGAAAGAACAGTATAATTATCCCTCTATGCTACATGAAAATAGCTTGTTTGAACATATAACTTGTAGAATAAAACAATTAGAAAATCAAGCCATTCTAAGACAAGCTTCTAAAAGGATAAAAAGACAAGAGAATAGAGAGAGAGAGAGAGAGAGAGAGAGTGTGTGAGAGAGAGAGGGAGAGAGTGAGAGTGAGAGAGAGAGAGAGTGAGTGAGTGAGAGAGAGAGGAGAGAGTGTGAGAGAGAGAGAGAGGGTGTGTATATAAAGTCAAAAGAAAGGGAAGAACTGCACACAAACAAAAAAAACATACTGTACTTTTGAGTTCAGAAATCATTATAACATACATACTAGCTCAATACGGTGAGTACATACTGGGGTAAATAGAGACAAAAATTGGAACAGTGTGTAAACATATTTTTTCCAAACGTGATGCAGACTATTGTTTTCTTCAATTCTTCATCTATAAAAACAGGTTGCTTCACTCCTGAAAAAATAATTATCAAAAATCCTGTTCACATTTTTGTCCCTATTCATCCTATTATCCACCATCACCTTGTTCGACAGTAATACACAAACAGATACAGAACATTGAAACAATAACGCCTCGTGTCAAAACTATCATCATCGTCGGTTGTTAATGATTTTAAACGGGCCTAATTACTAAAGCCTTCAACCTGATTTCATTCATTTAAATGTAGATGTTTAAAACCCTTCGCTTGATCCTTGAATTGTCCATTTTACTTTAATAGTTCTTGAATTGTCCATAATAGCAATATCATACTGAGGAACTATACTAGTGTAAGATTTAGTGTCTGCCTTGTATTTCCGCATCTTGGGCAAGACCAATGCCGATCTTTTGGAAGTCCTTTGCAACGTTCTTTATCATTGCGGCAGCTTGTCGGCTGGACATCGAGGGAATGTCTTCGGTTCCCGGGCTCCGTGCCGCTTGGCGTCCTGGTCCATCAATAGCGCCATCTTGCTGGCCATCGTCCGACAGTGCTGCTGACGCTCATGGATGCGATCTAAACGGGCCGTCTCTTGCTCCTGGCAGGACAGTAAAAGACGAGAGAGAGACATGGGGGAGGAAGGATGAAATGGCTAGCCTGAATATTCAGATTTTGAGTGACAGCCTAAATGCTTTATAGGGTGAATTAGTCTAAATGGAAAACTTAATGCTAACAGTGATAAAACTTAAACTGTCTTCGAAACTTTCAAACCTTGCTATTTGTTGGATTTCAATTTAAAACTACTGTCATCAGGCGCGTACGCAGGGGGGGGGTTTGGGGGGTTAAACGCCCCCCCTTTGGAAATTTTTTTGTGTGTAAACCCCCTAAAAAAAACCTAAAACCCCCCCTTTTGGATTTTTTTTTTTTTTTTTTTTTTTTTTTTAATTATTAAAAAAAAAAAAAAAAAAAAATTATTCCCATGGCCGACCTAAAAAAGGTGACCTTACCCCCCCCCCCCAACGAGCAAAATGTCAAATTTCCAAATTTCGAGACCAAAAAAAAAAAAAAAGTGTCCTCTTACCCCCCCCCCCCCCCCCCCCCCCCCCCCCCCCCGCTTATTCAGCGGTCGGTCTGAGTCGTTGCGATTTTTTTGGGACCAAAAAAAAAAAAAATGTGTCCTCTTACCCCCCCCCCCCCCCCCCCCCCCCGCTTATTCGTTGCGAAATTTTCGGACCGATTTATAAATGTTAAAACCCCCCCCTTGAAAAAATCCTGCGTACGCGCCTGACTGTCATGATATACATACTAGGCGCAGATTGCGAAATCTTTGTGTCTTTAAGTAAAGGTAAGAATCGTGAAAAATCCCATTTAGTGTGTTTTCATATTCTAATAACATTAAGCAATCATCTTGTTTTTAACTCATTTATATTCATAAACTTCACAATACAATCCTGAACCAACTTTAATAAGCATGCACAAATTACTTTTCTCCTCCGTTCCGCTCCTTTGAGTTTCTCCTCGAGCTGCTCTGTCGTGTACGTCTTTTTCCGCCTGTTCAGGCGCTCTGCAAACTTATCTGGCACGGCTGGACTAAAAGGCATGACGAGGGAAGGGCCCGAAGCGTCTAGAGCTATGTCAAAGGTCACAGATGGTTGGGGAACATCTCCCATGGCAACCGCCATATCCTATTCTGAGGAAGATGCTGTATTTTGAGTTCTCTTGTAATTACTGGTGTTCCTGCAATGTAAATCACAGCAAAAGACAAATTGTAATTTCATAAACCAGGGGTCTTTTTTATATATTAGAGGAAATAATGTTAATTGAAATAACAAACTGAAATGGTGTAAAACTAACACTTGGCAAACACTTCTCCTTTTACCTTTAAGTGAAAGCAACCACTGATTTGCGCAGAAAATACCCAATGATTAGTGGCGACAATTAACATTGTTTTACTTACAAAAAATATACATTTTTTCCAAATATGTACCCAAGGGGGGGGGGGGTGTCTGGATGCTTAACAAGGTATTTTATAGTAAAGTAGGGTCTAGACCTATGCAAAAAATCAAAATCAAAAATATTTTCCTTTTTGACGTTGTGTGTCCAGACTGGTTGTGTTTCCGGAGGGTTGATTTAAACCAGCAGTTTGAAGGAAATTGCATGAAATAATTCACAAATATTTAAAGACTTATTTTAGATAGACTAATATTACAAAGACTAATATTACAAAGAATGAATTAGAGTAATGGAGGGAGTTTTCTTGCGGCTTTCATAACAAGCGTATCGTGCATATATCACACACATACAATAACATGGCAGGGTCATTGGACATGTTGGAGATCGAGAACCACAATTTTCGGTAATCTGACTTTATCAAACTGTTAAATATTTCAAGCTTCTATATATACTCACCTTAATAATTGCTTGGCTGCTTTCGTTGTTATTTTATGATCCTTATTTTTTGTTTTATCTAACAGAAACACACTTTTCCCGGGATATGGATAGGCCTATATTTATTTCATTTCAAAGTGCGCAATAGCATTGCCTCCTATACTACGCGTTGCATTGCGTTGCTAACAGACGCTCTGCCGTTTTCGCATCTTTTGTTTTTCAAACACAGCTGATAAGTGACTGATAGGGAAATTCCCAAGAGCTGTCCTCTGATTGGTCAATTGCATCGCATTTGATGAAGAAAGATAAGATTTTTTTTTAAAGAGGCTTTGATATAAAGAAATAACGTTTGAATGTCATCTTAAGGTTAAAGTTCATGTATTATATTTTTTTTGAATTTTCTGAATCGATTTAGAGTCTATGACATTTAAAAATGGCGGCGCCCACAGTTATACCAGCGAATGAAACAAAAAATTGTGCTCCCAAAGAAGTGGACATATATCGTGACACACCCATCAGGTATCTTGGTGAGTACTTTAAAACACCGCAATTTTGGATGGTAATGATGGTGAGATTATTTTTGTCGTGATGTAAACTGTTCTCTGTTCAGTCTGCATGTTTCTGAATGCTGAGTCCTTTGGCCCATGGGTTGAGTTTGGTGTGGTTAAAATATGATCCTGCGCGCGGCCCGTCAATGTGCGATGCGATGTCGATGCCATGCCAGGCGCAGGCCGTGCAGCATCCAGTCCGGTCTGGTTAGCTGTGCTGTGTCGACAGGCAGCGCATGAAAGGCTGACGGCCATCTAAATTACAAGATCATGGTGCCATATTCATCTTGATCATTGTTGCAATGTCGGTGAATTGAATACACCTTCATTTAAATGATAAAAGTTTTAGTTTTAATATTTGGCCCCTGGCTTGTCATCATAATCAAGGTCTGTTTGTTAGTGGACCGAATCACTTTCTATCTTTTTCTCTCTTTTCTCTCTCTCTCTCTCTCTCTCTCTCTCTCTCTCTCTCTCTCTCTCTCTTTCTCCTCCTCCTCCTCCTCCTCCTCCTCCTCCTCCTCCTCCTCCTCCTCCTCCTCCTCCTCCCCCCTCCCCCTCCCCCTCCCCCTCCCCTCCCCTCCCCCTCCCCTCCCCTTCCCCCTCCCCCTCCTCCTCCTCCTCCTCCTCCTCCTCCTCCTCCTCCTCTCTTCTTCTTCTTCTTCTTCTTCTTCTTCTTTATCTTTATCTTTTTTCTTCTTTTTTTTAATATTTTTTTTAAAATAATTTTAATCTTCCATTTTTTAAGCATCTTTAAGAATTTGTTGACCTTGTCCTTTTCAAAGAAAAATGTATGAAACCAGAATTTTTAATAAGAAAATCAAAAATTGCTAGATGGTGCCCAACTGGGATGTTTGGTTACACAAATTATCCTTCCATAGTGCCATAGATTGAACATTCTGATTTTATTAGCAAAACATTACAACCTTGTATTTGATCAAACTTTTGTTTCACAGGTTATGCAAATGAAGTTGGGGAGGCGTTCCGGGCATTGATCCCGAAGTCTGCTGTGTGGGCCACATATGGTGTAGCCAGTGCTTATGTACTTGCTGATGCCAGACATAAAGGACAGGAAGCCGCAAAGGTATGTAGTTAACCATTTTATGGTACACTTAAATGTTATCTAGGTTTCTTATTTTTGTCCAGAACAGCCTCAGCAGCCTGTATACATTGAGTACCTAAACCAAGTCGATGTGCTAGTGCCCTTTGGTAAGGCATCAAGCATCTCATAACAAAAGTTTATACAATAAAAGGATGCCTCTGTTCAATCTGATGTTTTATTTCTGTACCTTCACCTTAATAGGATTAATCAACACACGTTGATTTAATCCACAGATTCAAGATCTCAAAAGGGGTCAGTTGTGGCCTTGTAGGAAAACTAATGAAATGAGTTACTCTTAGCGACATAATATAGGAAAGAAATGCATTCTTTCTAAATCTTCAGAGAGATGGATGGAAATAATATAGTTTGGTTAATTCTGTTTTCAACACAAACTCTTATGTATGTCTGCTAGCATTTACTTGCTTGGATATCAAATCAATTGTTTGATGTGTCATTAGCCCTCAGCCATCAGCAAGGAATTGTCCACTGGATGATGAGTGATTATCATCACATCCCAAGACCTATGAAGGTTCAAACAGGTGTTTGTTGATCATCCCAAATCTAGAATCTTTTCACTACCTATTTCACCCCTCTTTCTACAGTTGAATTGGCCGGATGACTCCACCAAGAAGCAGAAGGTCGTACATGCAGTGGGTGATACCATTGTGTGGCAGGGGTTGGCCTCTGTCATCATCCCAGGGTTTACCATCAACAGGCTATGTAAGCTGTCCTTCTTCACCCTCAGCAGAGTGTCCAGTCTTCCAGAGCCAGTCAGGAAATGGACAACAACAGCATTAGGTCTAGCGGTCATCCCGTTCATCATTAAACCAATAGACAAGTGAGTACCGGTTTGGTCATTGTAGGTATGATCTAACAACAGTCATTAAAACCTGTCATGATAAAAGCCATCTAATGTAAACAGAGAGAGTGGCCACAAGAGACAGCCTTATACTAACTCTTTGCATGCCACACAACTAATCTCACTGCATCACATTTATTTATCAAGGGATAGATAGAGGCTTCAAGATGGATTAAACTGTTTCCATAATCTATACACATGTAAATTGCCTATTAATTATATCTCAACAAGGCTATGTTGTCTTTTGCATATATATTTTTCTTCATTTGTTTGATTTGCAGGAGTGTTGACTACATGATGAACAACTCTGTAAGAAGATGGTACCACATAGAACCTCCTGAAGAGAAACTCGTCCATCACAGGAGGTAGCAAATGATGCAGTTAGCATGGCAACTGATATCAGTGTGAAAAATGAACATGTGTTCTGGTGTCGTGGTCGAGTAGATACGTCGCCGGACTGTCGATCACAAGGTTCTCGGTTTGAGTCCCGCTGCGGCACTAATGTCCTTTGGCTAGACATTGATCTACGTTTGCCACACTCTACCCTGGTGATGTAAATGGCTACCTGGCAGGAATTGATTCCTTGAAATGCTAGAGCGCCATAATGGTCGCCTTGCTAAAGCCAGGGTAATAATCAGGGCAGTGCCAGGAGCGCCACAACGTGACGGACACGTCCGCTTTATAAGAAGCCACCGTTATTATTATTATTATTATTAATGGTACTGTTAGTATTCCATTTCAGTATTCATCGGCTGTCCGCCAGAAGGTTGTAACAGCTATGTATTGTCAATGGCAGTATAATGCCCTTCTTGCGGGCAGCCAAAGAATGATGAAACTACCTCTCTTACAGTCTTACAGTGTGTGTGCTTCCATTGTTCTTTGAAAATCTCCCTTTCCATTGCCTTTCAGGAATTTTGTTGAACTTATTTTTACATTTTATTCTAAATTGTCTATTCTTTCCAAAATTAAATTACATAGTTTTCCTGAAAGTTCCCTCAAAGCCCCACTGCACTACTTGTAGCTACTTGCTCCCTCTCTATATCAAACAATGCCTAAGCGGTGTATGTTGGTCCCCCATGATCCCCTTTTTCTTATGTTAATTGAAAGCTGAGTTGATGAGATAACAACCTGTCAGTGATCAGCAGGGTGGTCTAAATGTGTATCTATTAAGTGTATGTATACTAAGTGTATCTATTAAGCCATGTATTCTACATGTAGTATTAGGTCTGGTTTCTTCATCTTCCTTTTCTTAAGTTTTTGTAGGATTTTAAACAATTAGAAAAATTACCACAACATATTTTAATCTCGCAACCAGAATTCCAGGACTATCTAAAATGTTAAAACTCTTCTCCTGGGGTGGCATTCTAAAAATGATGTTACCTTTATTATTAATAGAAAAATCATGTTAATTGTCGTCACAAATCAAAATTAAGACGAATCATTGTTTAAAGGTAATACAAAGTTTTGGTATGGGGTCATGAATTTGTTTCAAATGAACATATTGGAAGCATATGCGATCTTACAATATTCAGTGATCGCTGTCGCGGTTGAAATCGAGTCTAAAGTTATGAAATTGTAAACAATAAACTCTTTATGTTGTTTAGCTCCCTCTCAAGGTCAAGATATCAATAAGATATACAACAATGCTTATTGACTAAAATCGACCGATTAGCTATTCCCGTTTGGAAATTATATATCACAACTACATATTCTGAGATTTTCATGGTCGCAGCTACCATTGTACGGCCGCAGGTGCTATTAGAAATTATTCAAAATTTACCGGGAGCACCGGTAAATTTTTATATTCAATTTTTCTCGAAAGCAAAAGTGTTTCAGAGGCTAAATTTTCTAGTGCTTATAATACATCCACAGGGGCATCCAAATATATCCAAATTGTAAAGAATCACTATCCACCAAATTTTCAGAATTTCCCAAAACTTTGTATTACCTTTAATGGTTGCTAGGCTGACTGTATAAAGAGTGCAAAGTATTTCCCGAACCCTCTTGCATAAAAGGTTGCGTTTGAATGTAACTACAAAAAATAAACGCAACTTGATTTTCAACCAATCAGGATCGTGTATTTTGGACTTGCATTTTTTAATTTTTATTCTTCGTCATGTACAGCGTAACCGGTATATAAAAGGACCGCTCAAGAAGGAAAAAAAAGGTGGTCTTTATTGGCAGGTGATGTTCAGGTACAGGTTCCTTTAGTACGTTTCTAGAAGGAATGATTGTCAAGGGAAACAAGAAAAGTGGTCTTTATAGGCAGGTGGTCTGTGTGTACAGCTTTCTTTAGTAATTATTTCAGAAATAAGTAAACCGTGGCAATTTAACACATATGTGAATGAGCTTTTGGTTAATGCATATATCAGCATGTGCAATGAAGTGAAAACAAACAATTGAATTTATTAAATTGTATTGTATTTTATCTGAAAAGCCCAGGCTATTTGTGTGGTTATTGTTTTGTGGCAACTAGCCAAGTCTAAGTAGATGGTACAGAGTTGAATCTCTTTTTGGCAATGTGGTCAGGTGATCTGTGTGGTGTCAAATAGCAGGAGCACTCGTGCCTGTTTTGTGTGACGTGCCCCAGTTAGCCGAAATATCTTGCTTTCAATTCTGATGACAGAGTAAAAAGTTCTTAATGGCAGACACTTAAAATGTGTTTGCTAATAATGAATCACAGAAAAAACAACCTGTTCTAAATCAGTTACATGAATCAATGAGTATTTTTTAGATTGAGGGGGGGGGGGGGGTCAAAAGAGAATAATCTCAGAATGACATCACATATGATAACCGAATTGCCAATAGGACATACCCAATGTAATTGGTGATTTCATTTTAGCAGCCAAGAATTGGGTTTTGGTATGCTTAGCATGCAGCAATTTTACATTGAATATCATCTGTTGCGAGCCAGAAGGATGTTAACTATGTTTGAATGCCCTACTAGCTCTCATCAGGTGTCACAGTAAACATGGCCCGGCTCAGTGGTAGAGCAGTGGTCTCGTAACCAGGAGGTCCTGGGTTCAAAACCAAGTTGATGCGCTAATGCCCTTTGGTATGGCCTGAACCCTGTCCTCGTTACAATAGGGACTTTTAGATTTGCGTGGACTGATACGTGTGATGTCCATTCAAGGCAGTGCATTAAAAGGACGTCGATCATAGCAATCCACATTGTCTACAATACAAATAATTCATGTGGGCGAGTGCATTAGTGAAATATGCACTGTGTACAGATGAAGTCACAATTTGATAATGAGCAAGACATTTTGAGTTCCTACTCTGCTCAACAGAGTGCAGTGCATATCACTAATGCGCAAGCTTGAAAACATCAATTATTTGTTTTATAAAACAAGTGGGCACGAATAAAAAGCCAAGAAATAAACAAACACAATCAAAATATCAATTCGCACAGTCATGGGAGCCATTATTTGCTTTGAATGATTTCACAGTATTTTAAAGCGCAACCTAAAGGTGTAATGAACGTCTCCGCATGTGTATCGATGTATTTGCCATTTGAAACTGTATTTCATCGCATCTCAATTTGGTAGGTGCGAGAGATATGAGTGCAGCTCAGTCGTACATTATCCCTTTTAGCAGTGGTTTATCACTCTCTGACTGGAACTATTCTTGCATGGTAGGAGTGATAGGAAAGAATAATTCATCAAGAAAGCATGAATGCATGATGTCTTTTTATAAGGAAATAAAACAAACAAACAAACAAACAAAATCATCATGTGGTGTCGTTTGGCCAATAAGACACTCTAGAATCTGTTTAAATAATAAATAGGATGAGCACAGTTCAATAAATCATCAAATTTGACTCGGAAAAGAAAACATGACAAAGTGATAACTAAAAGTTAGCTTGCATTTCAAGACTTGTTTTACTATTCAACCACAAAAAAGAAATTATCACATTTTAATTTTTTTCTGTAACAGGACAACGTCCTCAAAACATACACAGAGCAACACTATACAAAACAAATCAATCTTTTTTTCTTTTTTGAATCGAACATATTCACTTGGTAACTTTTCATATCTTACACAATGTACAAACTGAAAACTCATAAGATATATGACAACCACTTCTTATATTCAACATCATTTAATGACACAAGGAATTAACTGAATTCATTATCTTTTGGCACCTACAAAAACAAAAATGTCCGTAATTACATCAAAATAGGGTCAAACATGAAAATGTTCAAATCATCAAGCATCATAACTTTTCCTTCACTTTTCACCATTCTGAAATACATTTAAAACTCAAGGAAGCATAAAATGATAAGTTCTGCAAAATTAAACATGACAAAAAATAGTGCAGGTTCTTTCATTTTCTAATCCATCTCAAATTTGTTCCATTCTAGCAAAATACTTGTCGACCAGGGGGGTGTTTCACAAAGATCCTAAGTAGAACTTAACACTAAGTTGGACTTAAAAATTATGGACAGCCATTGGAGCCTTAAAATGAAATATATTCAAAAGCAGAAATTCAAGTATTTTAGACTTTTTATAAATTCCACATCAAGAACATAGAATCTCCCATGATAATGGAAAATATGAATGATTTGAATCAACATTTTATGCCTTTTAAAATAACTTTTACAAAATGTTTTCAGGGATGCTAATGGCTTTCCATAATTTTTAAGTCCAACTTAGAGTTAAGTTCAACTTCCACAACTAACTGATTAGTATGTAAGCAATTACAATCATAGCTCTATAATGATGCCCCTTTGTCATTTTCTACAAATCATTCCTTGACCCAAAACACTTCATGAAAATCAGCACATTTGATTCAAATGAAAAAGCAAAATTTCTAGATTTGAGAAATTACATATAGAGGATACCATAATGGCATAAAACCTTGAGTTCATATTTCTTTCAGTACTGTTAGGCAATTAGATGGAATTGAACTCCTTTTGCATGTTATCTTCCAAAAGAAATAGATGTTTTAAAGAATGTGAATAGTTGTAAGGGTCATGAAAATATATCATTAACAACAAGTTTATAAAGCCCACTTTTCCTCAAGCATAAGTATATCTGAAGTTACAAACAAAACTCTTTTAAGCACTAAAACGTGCACTCTTCATCATAAAAACAAAAACTTTCTGAAGTGCTGAAGGAGACATCAAGGTTGGGGTAACCAATTTCTGATTGTTAAACAATTGCCCCATTCTGATTGTTAAATAAGAGACATGAATCTTAATACATTTTTTTAAATTCAACATTAATATTAAAGGCAATATGGAACGATCGTGAATACAGTACAATCACTTCACTTGCATCGATATACACAGCTCGTAACAAAGTAGAAATAGTCGGAGCCTGTACAAAGCCGCAAGCTTCTAGCATACACATAGCAACCCTTGGGAGAGAGAGTTACACTCACACACAAAATAAAGCACGTTCTCATATTTACAAAATACCAGCTTGTTTGCGCTCCAAGGGAGAGAAGGAAAAAATACTTGTGAATCAACAGAACAAAACGAAGCATGGTCAATCTACAAAACGAATGAATATGTACAAGATATGCATCGAAATCAACGATTCAAGCATACAACTCTGTGTTATGTACAAATACTGATAACTAGTGTCATATTTAATATCCCTATTCACTCTGAAAGCCGACTCCAAACTAACCAATCAACAAAAAACCTTGGCCATTGGGGCTATGTAATTTCATGTTCATTCTACTGTCATTTTTTTTGTCTGTCTCTCCAGAGTCACTGGTATATGTGACCGTATATGCATAAAATTATCTACCATAATCAACATGTGTCATTTTTGTATTCCCCTTCAAAATAGAATGTTTGATATTCATGTACAGTACGTATACGTGATTAGCAAACCAAATTATAAATCACATCATTTCCTCCATATGTATGAAACTTTGACATCTTTTCTTTGTGCTAAACCTCAAGATATATGTATGACACAGATTCAACTGTTCCACACAAACAGGTGGGGAAAGGAAAGTATGTATACATGAACAAAACGCTGAAAAGTCTGAGATTCAACAAGAAATATAATTTACATTTACTCAAATAAAACATGGAATGCTTAAAATCCTGCACGGTTTCAACTTAAACATATGAATAATTGCAAACATAATGAGAATATAATACAAGAATTACCATCCCCTACCCCTCCCCTAAACAAAAATAATAAGGATTTATAATTTTACACATGTATCAGACATTTCTTTTACAAGCGTTTACGGCACTGTAAAAAAACAAAATTAAGTTCTATATCACAAAAAATTATTACAAAACATAAATATATCTACAAACTTTTATACTGATATCACCAGGCACTAATTATATTCATACATACATGGACTATACAACGAAATTGAACATACAAATGCACAGTTAACGTGAAAAACACAATTGTGTGTAACATCATACTTCAAGACACTTTACAAAACACATACAGTGTAATAAAATACTTTCTTTCATCTGTTTTTCATCACGACATGGATCAGGATTCTCTTTTTACAATAAGCAAAATATGAAGCAGAATACATTAATCAATAATATTGTCACTTCATGGTAATGTGTAACAGGTAAACGGCTGAAGCACACAACAAAAGATAGCTCCTTCCACTGAATTTCACACAAAAATAAATCTTTTCCTCTCGTCCTTCGTCATGAACAACAAATTAATAAACATTCTGAAGGAGTTCTATAGTGTTTGTAATATAAAAAGCATTCTCATGATTTTCTTCATTTTCATAATTTGGTCAATGTATAAACCAAGATGCATTTACAGCATCACTCCCTTCAACCTTCATATACTCAACTGAAAGTGTAATTACCGAAACATTATTTCCCACACACAAAGGCTCATGCAGATACAAAGTGGTCATCCACAGCTCTTTTAACAATGTGTGAGTGAATGGCAACTGCACATAACAAAGGTGTTCGATGAGCCCTGTGTTGTAAGATACAGAAATGCAAAGCATACTACACTTACGTCATAAGAAAAGAAAAGAAAGCGAAAAAATGCAGCGGTTTTCCATGTCATATCTTAACAAGGCTTAAATCAACAACAAATATGTACACACATATTGTATTCCAAGGTTCGATCTCCTTTCATCCTCTTTTTCAGCCTATTTGAAACATTTATGATGAAACTTGATACATGCAAGATGCTTGGCCAATATGTATACATGTGTAATAATATTACCCCACAGGATGTTACAATATAGGTCTATAGGTGGCTGCACAGGGTTTAAGCATAGCCAGTAAAGTAGAGATAGTTACGTGACCGAAAGCCACGCTACTTCATAGGTCAAATTCATTTCCCTTCAATAGAGATTGTATGTAGGAGGGAATTATTTGGACCTCTATGAATTGACCTTAAAGCGCATATGCGTGTGAATGTCCCAACTATCTCTCTCAATACACTACGGTTTGCAGGTACTGTAAGACCAGTTACCAAAGCAATGAATATAGATTGTACGATGACACATGCTTCAGCCACAAATGCTCCATTACACCTTTCTACCACTTGCCAATTCTAACTAGAACCCTGGACACGACACTATACATATGATATCCCTCAAACCTAACCGTAACTTAAACCATTGTAAACAAGCCTACTCATGCTATGGTGACAACAGCACCATGATCAATTTTTAATACTAATCACTTCCCAACTATTGACTACTAGTCTAGACCCAACACAATACCTCTCCTTAATGCTAACCCTAAACATGACCTAAACCTGACCTAAACCCAAATTGCAGCCTGATCCCCTCATCTTACATCTTTGACAAACTAAAGCCTGCAGCAAATGTCATAAAAGCTATTGTCGGATCACCCTATGCAGGCCACCAAAGGGTAATGGCATAAGTAAATGGCATGTTCATTTTAGTAATCATGTGTTTGCACAAAATAACCACTGGTAAATCACAACCAGAGAATCTATATCTTAACTTCTCATAATACTGGTGGGGAGGGGGTGGGGGAATCAGCATTGGGATGTAACAGACTTATTTCAGCAATGGACATTGTTTTTGTATGCGATGTTGCAATCCGTAACCCAATTAAGGCTTGACCACTGTTTGTCCACTACCTGGCCATTCCATATCTTTACTTTTTTACTCACTATGGATCAAAAGTCTGGATTGCCATTGTCTGGAGGGAGTATTATGGTACACGTACACTTTAAGTGTGACAAAATTCAACTGTGGCAGTCCGCTGCTAGTTTCACTAGTCGACTACAGCCTGTAAAGAGTTTGTTTTGGTTCTTCGTTTTTTTTCTTAATTGGCATCAAATTAATTTAACAATATGAAGGAACAGTAATATTTTGAGCAATGACAGTGAATAATAATAAACATAGAAAGAAAAAAAAATTGAATGACCAATTATTTGACAGCTGCACCTTTACCTGGAACTCAAACAACTGGAAATGAAGCATGACGTTTTAAAAGAGTGAGGTGCAAGGCTACGACATACAGGGGAGAATGTGAATCTATACACAGCGGTTACACGTCCGTCTTCAACCCAATTGAAGCTTGACTGCTGCCGATCCATTCAACACCCTGGTCACCACCATCTGACAACGTTGCGGCAATCACCCTACAACTTGTTGCTGCTGTTGCTGCCTCTCGAGCTCCTCCACGCTCAGGATCTTCTGCCCACTGGGGATGGTAGGCGGTATCTGACCCATGGGTTGCTTGAGAAGGTCGGGACCGAACCACTTAGCCAGGTGATTGACAGGGGAGCGCCGGTGATCCATGCCCCCGCCCATCTGGGGGAGCGAAGGGTGGTTGTGGTGGTGTCCCATCAGAGGATGCTGAAGAGTGGTGCGACTTGGTTGTTGCGGCTGTTGCTGCTGCTGTTGGGGTTGCTGGGATGATAGAGTATGCCCGGCAGCCTTGCCGTCTTGATGTTGCTGGTGATGTTGGGAGGGGTTGGTAGCTTGGTGACGTTGCTGCTGTTGCTGGAACAACTCTGTCAATTTAAGCAGCGAAATTTATTCATGTTAATATTCCTTTTTTGTGTAGCATATTATCTCCAGACAGTCATAACTCTATGACCGGTCATTGGTTAGTGCTTAGTGCACTAGAAAATTCTAACAGCTCTGGCACTTCAATCCACTTTATATCACCTACTCAGTAACGTAAGACTTCAAATTTGATCTGCAATCATCATGAAACTATCACTTGTTCTTGTTCAAACGTTCTTTCCAAAAGCAGTTTGAAAACATAGCTTGAGCTTTGATAATCATAAGCAGTGTACATTGCATTCTAAGGGAATAAAACCTGAAGAAACCAATCAAACACCTCGGAAAATAAGTAAACAAGCGCTAATGATTTGAATATAGACACATGCAATGGACAGAGATTTGAACCCGAAAGCCTCGTTTTAATATGAACACAGCGTTTTATTTATGCTGATGTAAACTGCAATATGCTTCACATTTCTGTATCTTAAAAACACAGAGCTTGGTGAATACACGGAAGACCTTTGTTGGGCACAATTGCCATTCAATTACACGTTTAAAAAACAAAACAGAAGCGGCTTTTCACGGCGGTTTACCGTGTCATATCTGAAGCCTTAAAGGTACTATGTCCCTTTGGCAGCCAACCCCAAATTCTGTAGAACTTTGCAGAAATTATGAATATGTCATGTATGTCCTATCTGTGAAATTTAAACATTAGCAGTGTCCTAATATTCAAATTATGCAAGGAAACCCTTTTACTTGCTAGACTTTACTGTCAGACACTATTGAGTGACTGACTGGCTTTTTTTCTTCTTTGGTAATAACATACATAAAATGAGCTGTAAAGGGTACATGAGCATTTGTCTACATCAATAACCCACTTCTTGTAATGGCCAAAATTAAACTGATTGAATCTTTGCACAGCATAAAACGTGCGACCATTTGGTACAATGGTCTGAAAATCAGACTATTATTTACTGGCTCTATAGCTTTTAGGTCGATTTGACAACTAATAGTCGTTATTTTCCCACTTACAGACATTTTCATGCCCCCTTTTATTTAGGGAAGTACTAAATTAGTATTATCTTTCAAATGCCGTTGGAATTTAGCCTTTTCATTTTTTTGGCCTGTAAATGAGACATAGTACCTTTAATGCTCAACTGAGAGTCACATGAATGAAGTACTGTACCACACAAGTTTCCGCACACAGTATTGCTACTCACCCGCCTGCTGCTGTAGATGGTTCATGTTGGCTTGTTGCTGCGGGTTAGATCCACTCTGCTGCTGTTGCTGCTGCATACCTCTGACAAGGTTGCTCTGATGCTGCTGTTGCTGCTGTAACATCTGCTGTAGATTGTGTTGTCCCATAGCTTGATTCATGTTCTGTAATTAAAACAAACAAGCAAGTATTTCATATACATATTTTTCTTTTCAACAGGCTTCTACACATGCTAGTAGAGTAAAGAGAAATACATACCAGTAAATAGAAGTCACGCTCGTTCACAGGTCAAATTCATGGAGCAACAAAAATAATACTTCCCTCCAATAGCGGTCGTTTGACTGAATATTTGGAGCTACATGAATACACCTTTCCAGAGGCAGTTGAGCTAGATATCGTACCAATTATTCTGAGACGTAGACTTACTAACCAGTTTATTGACATGTGGCTGTGGTATCCCTCACACTTTGGGGGGTACCCCTCTCACATTTAGGAGTACAATATTACATCTACATAGGAAACCTAAATGATATATACAAGACAATGTGAGGGATGGATTGGCTGACCTGAAGGCTGAACTGTGGTGGCGGTACCCCTCTCATGTTGGGCGGTACCATACCAGGCATCATCATGCCTCTCATCAGGTTGGCTTGCATGGCTGGCGGTAGCATCATAGCAGGGTTCATTGGTAGACGGGCTTGCTGTTGCTGCTAGAGATAGGGAAACAAAGAGGTACCATGTTTTTTCTGCTTATGGACATATTGTGAATAGCGGTTTTTATTTTTATACAAGATATTTAGCAATGCCCACAGAAGTCTTATTTTTCACATGAACAGATTGTACAGCAAGGGGTAAATTAATAATCAAATGCTACTAAAATTGACTAAAATGAGTACAGCTAGATTCATTGTGGTCACCAGATCAACAATTCATATTCATTCATGATAACAAAGTACTTGGTGGCAATGGTGAATTATTACGGAGAATACAACATCTGTATAAAGAAAACTTAGGATCAACTGACTGTTTACATACACCAAAGTATCTTTGGTTTCCTGGAAAGCCCACATACTCATTTTGGAGTTACGTCTTTGTGTCACTGAACCCTCAATATATTACGCTAGGGCTCACCTGCTGTTGTGATTGAGGATTCTGCTGCTGCTGAGCTGCTGCTGTCATGCGGTTCATGGGGAAACCATGGTGTGACTGAACGTTGGGAGGAGTAGGGGGCTTAGCTGCCCTCTCTGCCATCCTCTGTGCCATCTCTGGCCTCTGCTGCTGGGCACCCAAGCCAGGAGGCACCTGCCTGCCTTGCAGGAAGGCCTGCTGCTGCTGCTGCTGGAGGTGAGCTTCAGAGTGGAAGGCCTTCATTGGACCACCACCGCCACCACCCTGGATGTGTGGGTTCTTTGCTATTTCAGATTGCTCTGGGGCACTGTGGTTGGGTGGGTCTCTCCTGCCATCCTGCTGGCCAGGACCGTGGGGGTGGTGCGGACCCATCAGCTGCTGCTGCTGTTGCTGGGGAGTAGGTTGGGGTGGAATGACTTGGGCTTTATTATCCCCATCCAGCTGCTTATTCATCTCTCTCATTTTCTCTCCTCCTCCATGGTTTAGAATGGCTCCTGAATTAAAAAGTAAAAGACAAAATGAAATCTTAAGCCTCGTTCAAGTGTAAAACTCTTCACAATTCTGCTCTTGTTGACAACATCTGTCATCTTCAATTAAAAACCTTCACTTGTTAATTTTCCTCATACAATCAAGCTTGTCTTAGTGGCCACCTCTATATAAAGGCCATCACTGCACGATGGTTACCTATCATGCCTCCCTCTGCAGGAAATGAACAACTTGTCTAAAAAGCCCATCTGTCTACAATGACCACTTTTTGTCTTTCACTTGGGCAGCCTTGACAAATAGGTTTGACTGTACTTTATTTGCATCAAGCATTACTGTAAACGCTGTTATTTTCGCGTGATAAATTTTTCACGCTGAGCGACCCCAAAACATATTCACGGTTCTTAAATTCATATTGCACGCTATTCAGCCCGTTCAGAGCACGCGTAAGAAGTCATGATTATATTTTTGCGAGTTCTAAAATTTGCGCTTGCCAATCTTAGCGCGAAATCCGTGAAAATTAATGTGCTGCGATTATTTCTACTTTTACAGTTTGCAGCAGTAATGCTCTGGGGCATCTTACCTTGGTTATCAGTAGCAGGTTCTTGTACCGATGGTGCATCCCCCTTGCCTACGCCATCCCCCGGTCTGCCCTGAGTAGCAGCCTTGGCTTCAGCTTTGCTCTCATGCATCTTACGGATCACGGAGGTTGGCATGAAGGCAGCTGCTATTTTACTAGGCGTCTGTTGAATGACGGGAGAAACATATGATTAGAGATCTTGAAGATAATGGACGATGTGTGTTGTGAACTACAGGCAAAAATATATAAAGCTACGGTCACAAAAGTTTGTACAAACACATCGTTCCTACGAATCCCTGTCTTCCATGGTCTTCCCGAATTTCCAGGGTCTGAAAATCGTTCGTAAAGCATTCATAGCAGTTCGCAATGGATTTGTGACCGAGGCTTAAGATACAGTCTCGGCTGCTTTAGCAATAATCTGTATAGAAAGACCCTTGCTCATTTATTGTTAAGACTACTGTTTTGTTTTCTATTGATCTGTGTTTCTCATAAAAACCTTAGAACACTCTCTATACACAAATTTGATTGAGTGCCAAAGTCACAAGTTAACTGGCCAAATATGCCTAATCTTTTTTGTGTCTGTGTCTGATCACATTTGACAACCGGTAAATGCATTACCCATCAATGATGAAATATATCTCTTAAGTCTAAACAATTTGATGAAATATCAATATATGTGGTCACTATTCTGCAAGTATCAGTGTAATGTTTCTGTCATAATATGGTATGTAACATTTTATCATCCTATTCTCAGATCTAGAAATTAGTCAAAAACATTTAGTTATTGTCAAATGTTACATGATGGCAAATGAGATATTGGGTGGTATTCTCGAAAGCAGACTAACTTTAGTCAATGGTTTAATCATCTGACTAAGTATGGCATGCCAAGTGTCTATATGAATGTATTTTTGAATAATTTGTTATGTCCCTAAATTACCATGAAAACATAATTATTTCATAGTTATATTGTTGTTTAATAATTATGTTAATACATTTTATTTGAATTTAGTGACAATTTAAATTATTAAAAAACATATTCACATGGACACTTGGCATTTCATACTTAGTCTTAGGATTAAACCATGGACTAAAGTTAATCAGCTTTCGAGAATACCACCCATAGTGTCTACCACATTTCAAACCATACCCTGTGACCCGGTGTTCCAGGAGGAGTGCCTGACGAAGGTCTTGGGGGTTGCTGTTGCTGTTGTCCAGACTTGTTCTGTTGTTGATTAGCTTGTTGCCCTGGATGCTGCTGCTGTTGTTGTTGCTGCTGTGGCGTTACTCCGGTGTTACCAACAACATGTTGGGGCGGCTTCTGAGGCTGTTGCTGCTGAGGATTTGCTTGATTGGCTTGACCAACAGCAGGAGATTTAGCCCTGATGGTAAGAACAACATTGAGCGATAATGAAATCATCTGTTAAAGCCCCATTGCACTACTTATAGCTATTTGCGCCCTCTATATAGCAAACAATGCCGAATCGGTGACCATTGGTCCCCCTTGATCCCCTTTTGCTTATGTTAATTGAGAGCTGTTTTGATGAGATAACCACCTGTCAGTGACCACGCTGGGTGGTTTAATCCTCCTGGCCAAACTAGTGCAGACAGGCTTTATCCTTTGTATGCTAGGTCTGAAATAATGCATCTTTAAGTCTGTGAAAATCACAAACTTAAACGACAGTATATTGGTCTTCTCATAACAAATGATATCCGGCATGTGTAATTTTCTTCTTCTGTTGGACATGATTGTTTCTAGTTTGGAACAGTATAACATGCACAATCAATTAGAATGGTGTAATAATGCAAAATCACACTTACATGTATATCAGAACTATTTGACTAAAACAGCAAACTTTTGGAAACAGCAGTTTAGGAGTGCCTTAATTTATCAACAATAGCCTACATGCTTACAGCACCACCAAGTCTTATAAAATGTACCCAAATAGAATTTCTAGAGACAAGCTTTATATCATGGTGCTTTTTCAACTGTTTCTATGGTACAAATAGTGTTCAATGATATGTAGCTACATAGTTCTTGACAATATCTTCAATTTAAGAAGACAAAGATTTACTTCTTCCCTCAAATACAAGATGCGATATCAGAAACTGTGGAGTGTTTCACAAAGACTAAGATAGACTCTAAGTTGGATTTAACTATGGCAGGCTGTTCATGCCACTGTTAGCTCTCACCATTTACTGGCATTGGTCTCTCAAGGGATGTACTACTCATGGTCACAAATCTACAGAATTTACATTTGTTGATAATTCATTATCAAAGGAAAAAATATTATCTCAAGATCATAATTGAGAGACCAATGGTGAGAGCAAACAGTGGCATGAACAGCCTGCCATAGTTAAGTCCCAACTTAGAGTCGATCTTAGTCTTTGTGAAACACCCCCAGATCTAATTCTAAAATGAGCTGATGAAAACAGGCCTAATGTCATACCTGGCAGCCTCCTTGGCCTTGAACTTCTCCTTCTGAACCTCCAGCTGCTTCCTAATAAGAGCCTGCTGCAGGATACCCTGGGTGTGCTTAGCCAGCTCCTGGGGCGAGGGGATCCTCTGGGGTACCAGGGGGTTCACCGGCGAGGGTCCAGGGGGAGCCAGGGAGTTGGAGGAGCCCAGGAGAGGGGAGGTGGCCAGTCCAGCTGGCCCCAGGGTGGGAGGGGCGATGCCTCCTCCAGGGAGGGGGCTGTGGGACTGGGAGCGGAGGGCTGCTGCCGCCGCCGCTGCTGCTGGCAAGGGAGACTGGCTGCCAGGAATAGCTGCAAAGGAAATGAAATGTGACATTAAATTACCAGCCAAATAAATTACAATGACGTTTGCAATTCACAATTTATTATTTAGCACATAAACTTGGTTTCAAACCTGGGACTTATGAGACCACTGCTCTATCACTGAGCCATCGCATCTCCTCAAATTGATGTCTTGTCAAGGGACTTCATCTCTACGTTTTCTCTACTTCAAACGGATCTTTGCACTTTTAAGATCATTGGAGCTACATTCCATATATTGCAAAATCTGATCAAATCTAAGACTTCAATTCAATTCACTTTTATTTCGTCCAATAATGACATGGAAATTCGTTGAGGGATTTTACATGTTGCGTTTTACATTAAAATCATGTATAAAAGGACATCAAAAGCATGGCATTAAAATTGGAAATCGTTCGTAAAAGACTTACGAACAGGAGAATGCATACGAGGCATGGACTGGAGCAGGGCCTGTGTGAGCATGTCCCTGGGGGAGGCAGCTCGGTTGATAGCAGAAGCAGGGTTACCTGGAACTAGCTGGGCTTCCTTGTTAGCCTGGGCCATGAGAGCAGCTGCAAAGGGTGGGTTGGCCATGGCATGACGGAGGATGGTGAAGACCGCCTCCTGGTTGGGCGGTACGGGGCTAGCACGCTGCCTCTGGAGACAGACAGTAAGAAAAGAGAGGCATGTTAAAGAAACATAGTAGTTAGCTCTCATAGGGAATTCAACACCGTTTGGGTGTTTACCCAATAAGAGGTGCTGTCAATCAATAGAATTAGCCTTCAGTATTATGACCAACAGGTATTATGTAATGTAATGCATTTTCCACCCATTCCCCCACATGGTAAAGTCATTATCTCACTTCTCCCTCACCCAAAGACTCTCTGAGAGACGTTAATGATTTTCCACAAAGTCTGGTGTCAGCGAATTATGACCTTCTGCATATGGAAACTGACGACTCACTCCCTTTAAACATGTTTTACTCCATGGATATAGTTATCAAGTAATGTCAATTTGGAAGATTAGTTAATGACAAATCTCATTACTTCCTTGTCACAGAAATAAGATACCGGGTATTTGTACAGATAATGGTGAAGAGTGCAGTTGTAAGGTCAGAGTGATAGAGATCGAGAGAAAGAGAGAGGGAGAGAGAGAGAGGGGGAGAGAGAGGGAGAGAGAGAGAAAGAGTGTGTGTGTGTGTGTGTGAGAGAGAGAGAGGGGAGAGAGAAAGAGTGCGTATGCGTGTGTGTGTGTGTGTGTGTGTGTGTGTGTGAGAGAGAGAGAGAGAGAGAGATACAGACAGATAGACAGGCATAATACAACATACATGCCTCTTCCTAATTAACAATTTGTGTGTATGTATGTATGTTTTGTGTAAAAGAAAATAGGGAACAACTTAGATTCATTTGACATTTAACAACATGTTAATCAGCTAAATATTTCAACATGAACAAATGGAACCATTAATGTATGAAAGTCCTGTGGATACTTGGGGTCATGTGTGAAAGAAGATATCTACAAACTGGTCTAATATGATGACAATTTAATATTGAACAGGGGGTGTGTCACAAAACTTGTCATCAGTGACAAATGACCGTTTTTGTTATAAGCTAGTGTAATCCTTGCTTCTGATTGGTTATCAGCAGATTTGTCACTGATTTCAGTCATTCGTCATTGAAAAAAGGCTTTGTGAAACGGGTCCCAGTACTTACAGCCAGTTGGTGTTGGTGATGCATCTGGTACTGCCTGACGAGTGCAGCCATCTGCTCCGGATTCTGCCTCATCAGAGCTTGCATCTGCTCCACGTTGGCTGGCAGACCCGGCCTGGGAGGCAAGCCAGGAGCCTGGTGGTGGGCTGGCTGCTGCTGCTGCTGCTGCTGCTGCACCCCTAAGGGGTGGTGAGGAGGACCGCTGGTAGGGATGGCAGCTGTAGGCGCGGTAGATGGGGCGTGGTTCTTAAAGAGGGTAGCCATCACCTCCTGGTTGACTGGAGATGGTCCCCTGTTTAGGAAACAGAGATCAATCAAATTGATATTGATTTGAATAATGTTTCAAGAATGCTTTATTACATTTCATCCCATTCACAATGTCGCATAGAAATTTATGCTGCTTTTCATGTTTTTTTATCATTGGAATAAAATCTTGGGAACTTTTTCCAATCCCAAAATATTAACCTGTACAAAAATACCAATATTCTACAGGTTCATGACAAGATGTTCCCCTGGTTATCAAATATCACAACAGTATCATCATAACCATCATTGTCATCCTCGTCATCATCAGTATTATCATTATCATCATCATCATCTTCTTCGTCCTCGTCAACATCATCATCATCATCTTCAAATTGCATAACACTTACACTTGTTCATACACACATGTAAAAATACAAACAGAAGGTAAGACTGACTGACCTGTTATCCGGCAGGTTGAGAATAGGTCCTTCCCTGGGTGGATGTGGACCCCCAGGATGATGGGGTTGGACATGTCTGGCCATGAGACCCGGTGGTAATGGAGACACGCCTCTCCCTGCCTGCTGCTGCTGCTGCTGATGCTGCTGCCCCTGCATGTGCTGTTGTGAGAGAGGGTGATGGGGTGGCAGCTGCTGCTGAGCCTGGGGATGGGGATGGGGATGGGGTTGCCTGGCTGCTTCTCGGGGATGCTCTGATGCCTTCATCATCATCGTAACCTTCTCCATGGGCGAGGGAACACCAGGGGCGTGGCCAAGGGTGCGACCAGGGGGCGGGGATGCGGTGCGCAGACCGAGCCCAGGATGAGGCGGTTTGGGGGAGGATGATCGCTCTTCTCTTTTCTGATGTGGAGGTTAATAATAACTGACTTTAGCATTAGCAGGAAAATACATGTACCTCATACTCAAAATTCTTTTAACAACCTGATGAAAGATACAGAAGACAAAAAGATCTACAAAGTGAATTGGTTTGATCACGATTCTAACACATACACCATAGGTACAATAATTAGCAAAGTTGATTTATAACTTGTGACTCAATTTATAACATTGGTTTCGAATGTGCCCTATTTTTACATCTTCCAATGAAACTTCATTTATAACTTTGTATTTTACAAGGACATCCACTTGAAATACGAGAGACCCACTCCTCACCTCTGGGCCACCAAGACCTCCTCCTGCCTTCATACTTGCGATGAAGCTGTTGAATGCCGACTGGTCACCCTTTGGAGGTGAGCCAGCGCGCCCCTGCTGTCCACCACCTGCTCCAAACAGCATCTGATGGGATAAGACCCCACCACCACCAACACCACCGCCAGGATGGGCCATGTTTGGTGGGATACTGGGACCACTCCTTGAGTGGGCGGGGCTGTCCCCTCCTGCTGGGCTCTGGTTGAGGGTGGTCTTCTTCAGGTCTGCCTCAATCTCGGCTAGACTCTTGGCCTGGCCTGCCATCACTGTAAAATGAAAAACAAATAAGAAAGTTAAGTTGGAGAAGAAGGAGTATAATAGCGTCCATTAAGCCTTGTGATCATACGACAGGAATGTTGTCCTTACTAAATTCATAACAAAACACCATGCAACTAGAAAGGTTATTACATCATGTATGGATTGGTACCAGATGATATTCTAAACAATTTTTCAAAAGAGCTTTATTCCTGATAGTCATAGCTCTATAGTCTAATCCTCTCATTGGCTTAAAGCTCATGTTGCATATGTTCCTCTCCTGTCTTTGCTCATTCAAGTTATTCAAAATCACTGATAATGGAATTCACTAATCACCAAAAACTTTGATGGTCAATTTTTTTTTGATAGTCCAACATCTCTCCCAACATTTCTCATTTTACAAGGTTTGTACTTGTCTAGGCTGTGTTGTATACTTTTCTTGTGCATGATACATACTATTGTGAGAACCTCCTCCTCCTCCCGCTCGAATGCCACCAGGATGGGCTGTGTGAGATGGGGTACCAGGACCACTCCCAGAGTGGGCGGGGCTGTCCCCTCCTGAAGGGCTTTGATGGACTGAAGCCTTCTTCATGTCTGCTTCAATCTCAGCTAAACTCTTGGCCTGTCCTGCCCTCACTTTCAAATAAAAGGGGGTAAAAAAAAAATGAGTTGCAATGTAATTATAATGGTAACGAAACCAACAACAGTGTCACAGTAACAATTACAATAGTGAAAATGGCGCTAATAGTCACTGGCCATAGGAGGTTTGGAAGTTTTCCTCATGGGTCACTCAATATTTTGGCTAGAGGGACAGTCCATTTGTGGTGTGAGGTAGGTTAATAAAAAATCCCAGAGTTTGTGTGGGCCAGAGCTTCAGAATTCATCAACCAGATTTCAGTCCTACTCCACCCCAGCTAATGATCATGGGAACAACAATCTTAATGAAATGCATAGATATTCAAGTTCAAAGGGGATCCAAATATTCCAATTTATCTTCACTTGTTTTCACCATGAATTTGCATCTAATACAAATCAAGTTACAACAACAAAAACAGCATAGACATGCATCACCACATTCTACAAATTCTGTATAAACTTAATCTGTTACTTTTTGATGGTTTAAAGTTTCCTTGGGTAAATATTTGAAATACATTTAGAGCAATGGGCATTATGACAGAGGACCTACTGAGTTCCGTATCTTCAGAAGATAATAGTCAAACCTGAATACAAAGACCGTTCCAAGAAAGAAGGCAAAGTGGTCTTTCTAGGAAGGTGGTCTAAAAGTTTTCTGAATACGTTTCAATATAAGTCACTGTTCTAGGGAAGTTTACAAATAGTCTTTACCGACAGTTGGTCTTTCTATACAGGTGATCACTAAACCATGTTTGACTGCACTGAATACAAAGACCATTCAAGAAAGAAAGCAAAGTGGTCTTTCTAAGAGGCTGGTCTAAACTTTTTTTCTGAATACGTTTCAATATAAGTCACTGTTCTAGGGAAGTTTACAAATAGTCTTTACCGACAGGTGGTCTTTCTATACAGGTGATCACTAACCCGTGTTTGACTGCACTGAATACAAAGACCGTTCAAGAAAGAAAGCAAAGTGGTCTTTCTAAGAGGCTGGTCTAAACTTTTTTTCTGAATACGTTTCAATATAAGTCACTGTTCTAGGGAAGTTTACAAATAGTCTTTACCGACAGGTGGTCTTTCTATACAGGTGATCACTAACCCGTGTTTGACTGCACTGAATACAAAGACCGTTCAAGAAAGAAAGCAAAGTGGTCTTTCTAAGAGGGTGGTCTAAAGTTTTTTTCTGAATACGTTTCAATATGAATCACTGTTCTAGGGAAATTCACAAATACAGTCTTTCCAGACAGATGATCACTAACCATCTTTGACTGCACTGAATACAAAGACCATTCAAGAAAGAAAGCAAAGTGGTCTTTCTAGGAAGGTTTTCTGAATTTGTTTCAATATGAATCACTATTCTATGGAAATTTACAAATACAGTCTTTACAGACAGGTGGTCTTTCTATACAGGTGATCACTAAACCATGTTTGACTGCACTCACATTTCTGCTTGACTACAGTTTTCCTGTAGTCCTCATCCCCGTTCTTCTGCGGCTGTGGCTGGGGCATGGAGGCCGAGTTTGAAGCCTCGTTATGCTGCTTGCTCTTCTGCATCATGCCCAGTAATGCCATCTGGGTGCTCATAGATACCCCCTCAGCAGGCTTGATAGGGGTGAAGAGACGCTCCCCCATCATCATGTTGGGACTCCGTCTACCTATTAACTCTGTGGTAGTGGAATGATCAGAGAATAGATTATACACAATGTTTTTGTATGTTCAGGATTATTTAAGGTAAAGCTTAAAACTCTGAATTTCTCTTCTCTCTGACGTCTTCCCCAGCTTGTCTCTTTTCTCTCTTTACTTCTCTTATACTTTAAAATTTGATACGTTTATCCTCATTTTAAAGTGCAATTGTTAAACAATTCTTCTTCATTTCTGATCTCAACTTTTGTTTCTTGTAATGGTGCATTTACTGGATACTTATATATATATAATTTTGAACAATGCAACTATGTAATCTTTGTTTGCATGAGTCTTTGGACTGCTTTTACAAGGAATTTTCTTTCAAGAATAATAATAATAATAACAATACTCAGTTTTTATATAGCGCTTATTACAATCACTAAGCGCTTCCAAACTTGGAGATTATTACCCCGGCTTTCAAAGAATTGATTCCTGCCAGGTACCCATTTACATCACCTGGGTCGAGTGTGGCAAACAGATGAATGAATGAATGATCAATGACAGCAACTTACGTTCAAGCCCCGAATGGTAGAGCTCCAGCTCAGGATCATGGGGAGAGGATCGGCGGCTGTTACTGCGACTCGTACCACTGCTATCCGTACGGGTCCTCTGGGTGTTGAAGAGATGACTGAAGCGGCTCTTTCCTGGGACTGCCTCTCCTTCATCTGGGTTAGGTATCTGGGGCTGCGCAGAGAAGAGAAGAAGAATAACGTGGCTATATACAGTACTCTGAAGGGTTGCACAACACATTTTCCGCTGACAATTGCTCGATGTAAATTTCCTACACTAAACAAATACTTAATTTTTACCCCTGACCACACACTAACCCTAACCATAAACCTAACTTCTTATCACCTTACCCTAAACCTTAACATAAACCTAAACTTAAACCCTAATGTAACAATAACAATAGCGCTACCCCTTATCCTAAATCATTGACAACATACAGCCCAGAGCAATTGTTGCCAGAGCATAAGTCGAGACACCCTTAAAAGACACATAATAGTTAGTGGGTTTTCATGGGAGATTTGACACCTTTAGACGATTCAACAACTAACAGGTATTTTCAATTATTACGAGGTCGCCAAATCTACCACCTGCAGAAGAACCATCCCATAAGGAAACTTTCATCATCATAAATTCAAAGCAAATAATTTTTTAAAAACATACCAGCATGTTCTCCAGCTTGAAGAAGTCATTGACATCAAAGTCCTTGCCAGAGGTAGCCCCGCTGGTGTTGTTGCCACTCTCGTGAGAGACTTCCGGTGAACTGGAGCTGGCCGTCTCCATGCTACCATTCCTATCAGCAACCGACGGACCTATAACAAAAATCAGAAGGACAATACAATCACAGTGAAAAACTGTTTACAAAGACCATTCACAGGTTTTCTCTCACTAAAAGTTCCTTGTAATTCACATTTTTCTGAGAACACTGTTCACAGGGGACATGTGCTGATTAGGTGACTGGTCTTTATAAACATGTCTGCCTGTATTCTAGAAATAATATACATGGTGGTAAAAGATCTCTTGCACTTGGAAGCACTTGGTTCTCATCTTCAAAGCAAAACATTCAGTATTCAACAGATTCAGAAGTTCAAAAACTAATGTTCGTGACCAAAAAAGAAATAAAGATGTATATTATTGATTAGCAGATCCGGATATTGTTATGAAGGGGAGAAGGTCACGAATTTAGGCTACAAAATATAATTTTGGGAGTTCCAACAGCCCTCAAAACCGAAGAAGAGCATGCAACATAGCGAGGCTTCAAGGGGGGGGGGGGAGAGTGAAGGGTAATCGGATGTAGCAAAAATTTCAAGACATGAACTCCTATTTCCATTTTGTTTCTTTTTCTTTCCTCTCTTCTTTTTAAATATGGATATTTTTTCTCTTCTTTTCTTTTAAAATCTACTAATGATATTGACCCTCAGATTCTTGATTGAAGACAGCTGCCCCTGTATAATTCACTGAATTTGTTGTTACTTACGCCTGCCTTTGACTTCTTGTTCACCACCACTGTCTTCTTCATGTTCATTGAAGCCATGAAGAGCGATGGTATCTGATTGGCTGGTAGGACCCACAGTGAACCACTCGGGAGTCTCCTCATTACGACGACGATAGTCTGGGTACAGAAAATATAATAATAATAATAATAATAATAGCTCACATTTATAATGCGCCTAATACTTTGTTTCTAGACGCAGGACATATTATTACCCCGGTCATCGGAATCAGGCTTCCCCGCAACACTGCATGCACATATTCTACTCCCTAGGGAGCATTCAAGCCAGTCGTGATTTGATAGTGTTCATCAGTGGATTCAACAGAGTATGGACAATCAGAATCCTCTGTACAACATAAAATGACTTTTATTCAGATGCTTCTTCAGTGGTGCAATATTAGCATCAACATTGGCTTCATGTTTTTTTGGGGCAAAGGGGGATTCGGGATTGAGTCGGAATAGGGATTTGGGATGGGTTTAGGGTGAGGTGAGGTTAGGACTTGGGTTAAGGATAGAGGCTTGTTCAGTTATGACGCGATAAACCACCCCTAAAATTTAGCCACATTTTTCTAACGTGAAGATTGAATGAAACTGCGCACAGCGAGGGACTTGCACAAATTGTATTGAGCTATGGGCTAAAAGATTCAGGAATGTTGAGCATATTACACTTAACGTCCAAAGTTTAAAATAATGCCAGGGTTTTCCTGCCGCATATCTGAACGAGCCTTTGGTCTTAGGTGTAGGGTTGGATCCTAGATTGACCTTGGGAATAAGACTCACGTGTGAGCAATCGAATGCAGAGCAACTGGCTCCAAAGCATATTGTTTATATTTACTTCTACCTCTATTAGAATTCCTAGCTGTTCTCCTAGTGAAGGTATATATACAGGCCAAAGCGATGATTGGATCCTTTATATAATTTCTAGCATTTTTCCTTACAATAATAAGCTTTATTCCCAGTAGAGGTACCATACACAAGCCACAGCAATGGCTGGATTCTACAACTATGCATTTTATCAATCACTATTTGATTTGCAATCCAAAATGATGTCCAGTCTAAAACATTATATTTTGGCAAAGCCCCATGTCTTTCACTCACTTTGTCTATTGAAATATCTGCTGAAACCTTGACGGTTGCCTCCTCTTTCCGTATCCCTGTAGTCTCGATCTCTATCCCTGTCCCGGTCCAAATCTCTGTCTCTGGGCCTGTTCCTGATCCACTCCCTATCCACATCGTGGTCTCGATCCCGGTCCCGGTCTCGATCCCGATCACGATCCCTGTCGCGCAGAATCTCACGCTCGTTGCTGCTGCTTTCCACCACGGGAGGGCGGTTCCTCGTGATGATGCGACCGCTGCCAGGGCGAGTGATGGTGCGTATAGGACGATCGTGCTCTTTGCTCTCCGTGGGACTGTGGTTGTGATGCCGTTCTGATGCATGCCCCGATGGTGGTTGGAATGCTATTTGGCAACCGAGACCAAAGCTTCGGCGCTGGGGACTCAGAACTATGCCATCTTTCTCATCAAGGATCCTCTCTTTTGCATCTGGAACAGAAGAACAAAAGACCGATATATAGAAACTATCTGTTTTTGTTTTTTGGGGTGGGGGGGGGGGGGGTGTGAGATTGCCTGCCTTTTTGTGTGCTTAGTACAGCAAAACTATTTTTTCCCCTTCTGATCAGTGTGGACTCACTATCGTTACATGATAACCATTCATTTTACATATTTCTGACCCATAAAATAATCTCCAGTATTGCTCAATATGACACATGCCTGACTTATTGTTCAGACTAAATCCCTCACAGAAAATGCCCCCAAAAGAGTGAAAACGACCAGAGCTTCCCAGAGTAACATTTCCGAAATGATATCATTACACCTCACAGTCAATCCCGTCGCAAGATCAATCAGAACTTGCCATACTTACCAGAGTACTTCTTGCGAAGAGGTTCTTTTGGGTTCTCATACAGATTCAATGGAGAAGGCCCTCTTGACCTCCGTCCTGAGAAAGATGCATGCCACAGTTCTGGCTCCCATACCCCTTTCTCACTGTTAGAACAAGAACACATGTATAATGCTTGAAAACAATATATCAACTTTCTACCTATTGAATATTTATTTATTACCGTACCAGCGAAATGCTTAAAATGAAAACAAATTATATATATATGTATATATATATATATATATATATATAATAATCAAAATATAAAATATATCACATATTGATTTATTAATATAAGGATTTGCTGCATTATATCATATAAGGAGTGCTAATGAACTAGAAACTATTAAATGTACCTAGCTTATGAGAAAAATTGTAACAAATCTTAAGCATAAGTATGACAAGTCATTGTTAAAAGACTTTGCAAAGGAAGCTACATTCACAGGTATTCCATGCAAAAACACCAATCAAACCTGTTCATTATGCACGATATTAATACCATGCACTGAGAAGCTCTAGTTGAAATTATGGATCGAGGTGGCAGAAATAGCACTATTTCTGTCGCCGAGAAATCCATAATTTCACTAGTGGCTTGAAATAGTGCATGATATATTTGTTTTATATTTTTCAAACCAACATTCATAAAAATAATAATAGTCATAATTTCTGTAACCGAGGAATCCATAATTTCACTAGTGGCTTGAAATAGTGCATGATACCGATATCACATTGATCTTGATCGTTTGCATATCTATGACGTCGTCATCATCATGAGAGCTAGATGAGCAGTATATGATCTGATGCCCTTCATGCTCTCAGATGAAGATGATATGTCAAGGAGAAATTCATCTCATAAACTTACGCGCAAAATTCATTGAGTAAACAAGCTGGCTTCTTCCTTGATGCAGGAGTGTTACGAAGATCCCACAATGCTTCCTGAGAATCAAAGCACATCATTAGAAAATCAATGTAAGTGATTTTATTTTTAAAAGCTTATATCCAGTGATGTGGATAGTTTTAAATTTGACTTAACTAATGACCCAAAATATCCTACATTCAGTTAAACATAAATGAGTTGTGGCAGTACAATGTCCATGTGATTATGAATAATGGTCTCTTAACCTTAACAAAGATCATACAAACAAAATAATAGCAATGAGATTAATAAATACCAGACTAGGGCAAAAGTGGAGGCAAAAAATGTTGTACAGAACAGAACAAGTTTTAAAGTCCTAAATGGGAGTGGTAATACAAAAGATGATTTTCTGAAAAATTCATGGTGAATCATTAAATATAATTCATTCCAATCATCAGGCACAACCCAATTACTACAATCTGATAATTAATTCATAATGAAGTCTGCATGTATGCTGATTTACAATTATCAAATGCAAGTACTTTGGTCTACATTGTCCAAAGTTTTTCTAAATACTCTACAAGTCTCTACTCCAGTCGTTATTTATAGGCCCTTTATTTTCTGTCCAAAAGCAAAGTCCATTCTAAACAGAGAAAGTGATTTTTATTTTCTTATGTATTTATGTTCAATAAAAATTACCCCAATTTGAACAAGGCAACAGGCTATTAGCACTTGTCCTATAAAGACTCATGTTTCCCGTAGGTTCTGGAAGTGGGGATGTGGAAAATTATCTGAAGCCATTCTTTGTTAGGGTTTAAAAACTTACCCCAGAATATTGCAACTTGTTGTTCTTCTTGTGAACTTCTGAAGGCTTGCCATCATCTTTCACTGTTCCGCCTGGCTCCTCCTCTTTCACTCCTTCTCCTACTCCTCCCCCTTCTACTCCTCCACCTCCACCTCCCTCTTCTTCCTTCTCATTGGTCATCCTCGCAACCTTAAAACGCAATAAAATTGATATCCTTGTAAGCATAAATAATCGTCTCCCAGATAATCCATCTGTAAGACAGCAGTGTGATCGCATTTGTTTTATCATTTATTTATTGCAACAAACAGGTTGGATTTCAAATACAAAATAATACACAGCCATACATAACAATGGTGGTTTTACACTATAAATACCTGTAGTTATTATACAATCTTACATTAAAGAGTAAACAATGTGTGTGGAACATAAATAAATGAATGGTTATGGCTGCTACAATCAAATCATTACACACCATATCAGCATCAAATTAAAAATTGATAAATATCATGCTAAAATAAATGCATAAGACTAATACGGCCCAGCACCTGTAACTGTAAGTCCTACATTGTTTATTTGTTATTTGTCTGGTGTCATGATGTTGTGTGTGTGCATTGCCCGGCTGAGAAACTTGTGAATGCTGAGCATAATGCAGTGCGCTGGCAATTCAACTGTGGATAAATTAGGGCTGAAAAGGCTTACTGCAGGTTTTCCTCATTTACATGACCATCAGATATATCATGCATGATATTATACAGTATATATATATATATACCCGTACATGTAGTTCTATATTTCAAGCCTTATCTAAATACAATTTTCAAGGCCTTGCACAAGTGCTTTAGGATTGAATCTGTCTCTGTGGTAAATTTCTCACTATCATATGTGGTAAAATGTCATTTTATAACATTATAATGCTAGACCATCAAAATAACTAGACATGCAAATGAAACATAAATGATGATTTTGCGAATATTCTTTAGAGGTCGCAAAGGACTGTAAGCGGCACAAGAAAAGTAGAAGCGGGAAGAGGCCATGAGGTGATTCAAAATAGTCTGAAAGCCCTTTAAGATGAGATATTTCTAGATGTACTAAAGAAAAGTGAATTTAAAAAAGCATGCCACATCCTTGTTTAATTTGTCAGTCAATTCTTCAAGACTCATTTTATTCAAAAGAACACACAAAAAAGGGTGACATAATTCATGTATTGGAAATTCAACATCTCTAGATTTTATAAAAACCTTCATTGAGTTCATACCTATACTTTTTCATAGAACATTCCACATCTGATATTGGCAATATATACAAATTTGATTGCAACAAAACAAGCAGAAAGGTTTTGAAAATAGCAATTCACTTGAATGTATTTTGATTTGAAATGCTGACTGATCTATACCAACAGAATATTTGCTGATGTACATGTAACTGACAAGAGAGGATATACATGTACATATGTATCCGCAATTATTTATGTTGTTATGATGTGAACACACACAATATCTCAGTTTCAAGTTTGAAGAGAGCAGACTGCAAAATGATGGAGCACATCTTTGCACGCAGAAACAACATCTTCTGCCCACTTCAACATGGTTTTCAAGCTAAGAACTCATGTGAACTCCAACTGACTGGCTTTGTCACTGACATCTTGAACAACATGAAGGACAATAATCAGACGCACATAATCACCGACTTCAGTAAAACCTTCGATAAGGTTGGTCACCAGAGGCTTCTAAAGAAGATGAAATACTATGTGTGAGAGCCACAACATTGACTGGATATCCAGTTTTCTCTCCCAACCGTAAGCAGCAAGTTGTCCTGGATGGTCACACATCACCCACAGTAGAGGTCCAGTCAGGCATACCTCAAGGGTCAGTACTCGGATCCTGCCTCTTCCTTTTCTACATTAATGACATGCCAAACCAACTTTCAACGACTCCTTGCCGATGACACAGTTCTGTACCATGCCATCCAGACACCTGAGGATGCAGAATTGCTACAGCAGGATCTTGATCAGCTCTGTGGGTGGTCAAGCAAGTGGATGATGGCCCTAAATCCAAAGAAATGCCAGTTCATAACTGTCTCCAGGAAAAAGACCAAATATGTCCATCAGTATCCCCTCAATGGAGAAATCTTGGAGTCTGTGTCAGCTGCCAAATACATTGGCATTACTCTCACTGCTGACCTCAACTGGACACAGCATGTATCTGCCACTAGCAAGAAGGCAAATAACACCCTAGCCCTTCTTAGAACTAGAAGGAACTTGCATGTCAACCCCACTCAGTTTAAGACTACTGCATGCCAGGCTCTCGTTTGCCCTCTTCTTGAGTATGGGAGTGCTGTCTGGGATCCACACACCATCAAATGTCTAAACCGGTTGAAGATGGTCAAGAGACTAGCAGCGAGATATGTTCTCAACTGCTATCATCATACATCTAGCGTCTCTGACATGCTGATTCAACTTGGATGGACCTCCCTCCAGAAGAGAAGAGAGCATCAACGTCTCATCTAACCGTACAAGATGCATATTACTCTCTTGTTGACTTTGACATCCACCACTACATTCAACCAGCAACAGTCTCAAGAACTACAAGATCGTCTGGTCCTTACTGTTATCGTGTCATGCAGTCACGAACAGAGCAACATATTCACTCCTTTCCTTGCACAGTTCAACAGTGGAACGCCCTCCCTAGTGCTGTAGCCGAACCGCGAACTGAACTTAAGTTTGCCGAACATGGCACTTCCAATCTGAGCCCAACCAAACCAAACCAAATGCAAAGGCCTGGTTCGGATGCTCTGTAGAAAAATGTAAACATTTGGTCGCCGCACTCATGCTTTTTTACATGAACATCTGCAAGAATCTTTAGCAGTGAAGGAGGCAGATTATCTTTAAGAAGAAGAAGAAGAGACTACATGATAGAAGAAAAAGAAGATGGAATAGCCTTCGGCTAAAAAACTAGGCTCATGCTAGAACAAAAGTTTCAGTCTTTGATATCAATGATTGTTCAGGAGAGACGTCAGGCCCCCTGACAGGAGTGGTCAGTACTGAAAGTGGGGTATTTTAGGGGAAAGAAGTTTATGTGTATTTTATATGAAAAATTGAATAAAATATTTTAGAACAAAATTAGACCTATAACAAAAATACTGAATTAGTGATAGCAATTACACCTCTTACATCTTAGATGGGAGTACATTTTGTAGAAAATATGTGTTCCGGCGAGTATGCAGGAAATAGGGATAAATGGATGAACATCGCTCATGCAGATGCATATGGTCTAACTTATAAGTTACATTGAGACTGACAATAGATCTAAGTTAAATAACTCAACAAGTCTTTAAATTTTCATTCAATTTGTGACTTAACCTGCGTGCAGGAAATATTCTCTAATGCACTCTCAAAAATTAATCATTAATAAATTTCTGGTAGGTCTATTTCAAAAAGAAATGTGAAAAAGGACCGACTTGGACTTCTCATTTCTTCTCAGAATTGTCAGACATCGTCTCAAAACTCACTCAGCTCAGTCTCAACAAAACTTCAAAAGACATCTTCGGGATCACACACACCGACATGTCAAATGCACATAAAGCTCATTAAGATGTCTTTAACTTCATACAATTTTCTCACATGGACAGGGACTATTTTAATTTACAATACAACAGTGTATTCGCTGTATTTATAACATGTATGTAAAACTCAATAGACACGTAGCTATGGCCTACATTATTGCACATCGCATCTCCGCTCATTCAGTGCACTGAGCTGCGGCAGCGCACACAACGCATTTCGTACATACTCACACGGCACATTCAAACATGTGTAGAAAGAAGAATCGAATGCATAATTTACCTTCACAATACAGGCGCTGTGCGACCTGCACTGCGGAAGGCCTGCTTGGCTGCCTTTCTTCAAAAACTTGGCTAGTTCTTCACGGAGCACAGCCCCACGACTGCGGAGAAGATGTCAGAATAAAACTGCAAATTGAAAACTTTTCAAATGGTCAAAAAATGCTATAACATACAAAACATAAGAACATATGCGAAAGGTCAACTGTGTGAAAAACGGCGACAGAGAGCGAGCTCACACAAACAATCCGCTACAAATCGAGAGTCATTTAAATGAGTACCCGGATGTAAACAACGCGATATGGGGCCCCCTTACTTTGTACTTGTGCGAGATGATCGAGAAGGGCGACAGACACCCAGTTGAGTCAGCTAGCAAATTAGCATACAATATGAATATAAAGTTTTGAAAGAAAATGGGGCTATATATAACTTTGTAAGGTTAAAATGTGTGTGTTAATAGGTGCCCCACCAAGCTTTCCAACCGTTCGCCGAATAAATTTACCTTCTCTCTTATGGTCCATTTAATTACTTTAATTGCATTTTCTATTAAAAAAACTTTCCAGTTGACCAGTGACCAGTTTAGCACAAATTGTCTATAAATTCATAACTAAAGTATATTAATTTATTTTTAATACCCCCCCCCCCCGTATCAACTTTCAACTAATTTATAACTGAATTCATTCTTGTTTACTTGGCATAGGCCTACATCCAACTTTTCTGAAAACTTTCACTAAATGCATATATCTTTTGATTATTTCTGCTTCGCCCATGCAAATTATAGGCATATCTTTCTATTGATTTTCAGACCCCTTCAACATCGAAGGGAACGGCGTACCGGGGCACAGCGGCTGGGTAGGAGGGGGCGGTATCCAATCCTAACCGTATCTGACATTTAAGTCATTAAAAAACAAACACTCGTAAATATCCCGACCAAATTTATGAAGGTTGTTTTGTTTCTTGGTTTATTATTATTATTGTTATTGTTATTATTATTATTTATTATTTATTTGTTTTGGGTTGTTATTGTAAGAGAGAAAAAAGCGCCACGGCTAGTTTGGGTCAGAAATTCCTTAATCCGCCACAGGGCGGCTATGGCCTTTAATTGATAAACTGTAAAAAAGTAATTCATTAGAAATAATCTGATAAAATCATTGGTATGCCTGCATGTAATGTGTCTGCCCAAAAGATGTAGTTTCATATAATGATCTATTAAAAGAGAGAGAGAGAGAGAGAGAGAGAGAGAGAGAGAGGGGGGGGCGATCGAGTGAGAGAGAGAGAGAGAGAGAGAGAGAGACAGACAGACAGACAGACAGAGGGAGAAATAGAGAGAGAAGACTCAAATGTCATTCGAGGTCCATTCCAAAAGTTGTTGAGCTAAGGATCGGAATTTTTGTTTTATAGGACAAACAAATTTAAGTCGAATCATCCCTCAAAGTAGGATCCTCTGGCTTCAATCAGAGGTGGCCCTACTTTGTTAAAGTGCCTGTTCCCCTTTTGATCTTTGATAGGCCTCATTTTGACACGTGCTCCTTTGTATATTTGTATATTAGTATATTTGTAAAGCGCTTAGAGACATTTGTATTAAGCGCTATATAAAAATTAAATATTATTATTATTATTATTATTATTATTATTATTATTATTATTATTATTATTATTATTTGTATTCCTTCGACAAATTTCCATTTCCCTTTACAATAAGTGTTTCATTCTCATAAGTGCCCTTTGAGTAAGTGCCCCTTTTTAGGTTCGAGAAGTACTCCTTTTCACTATTGAAAAGTGCCCCCTTCACCTCTGATAATTGCCCTATTCACTTTGAGAGGTGCCCCTTTCAATTTGACAAATGCTTCTTTTCTTTCCGAGAAGTGCCCTTCCCCGTTTAATAACTACATCTTTAACTTAGATAAGCTCACCTTTCACTTTCACATGTGCACCTTTTAAATGCCCCCATTAACAATTTTTAAAAAGAGCTCCTTCCCCTTCTCATAAATATCCATTTTCACTTATGAAAGGTGTCCTTTTTCATTCTCATAAGAGCCCCTTAATTTTCATCTCTTGTAAATGACCTTTTTAGGTACGAGAAGACACTCCTTTCCACTTCATATAAGTGCCCCCTTCACTTCCAATAACTGCCCGTGTTCAAATCTGAGAGATCCTCATTTTACTTTGACAAGTGCCCTTTCCTTCCTGATAAGTGTTCTTTTCATTTCTGATGAGTGCCCCTTTTCACCTCTAATAACTGCCCCTTTTATTTTGACACGTGTTTCTTTTCCTTTCTAATAAATTATCTTTTTCCTTCTTATTAGTGCCCCTTCCCCCTCTCACAATTACCCCTTTTCATCTCTGATAAGTGCCCCATTTATTTTAACATGCATCTCGTTTTCGCTTTAATGAGAGCCACTTCCCCCTTTTCATAAAGCCCCCTATCACTTCCCATAAATGCCCCTATTAAAATATGATCGATGCCCCCCCCTTTTTTTTTACAACAAATTAACATTTTACTTTATTATAAGTGCCCCTTAATTTTCAGGTGAGATAAGCGTCCTTTTCACCTCTAATAATTTATTTTTTAACAAGGATACTTGCCCCTTTTCCTTTCTTATAAGGGACCTATACCCATTCATAAATGCCCCTTAATTTTCACCTCTTATAAATGCTCTTATGAAAATATGATGGGTGCCCCTTTTCCGTCGACAGATGTCCATTTCCCATTCTAATAAGTACCCCTTTTCATCCCTGGTGAGTGCATCTTTTCAGGTGTAAGAAGTGCCCCGTTTTCACCTCTGATAATTACCCTTTGTACTTTGACACGTGCTCCTTTTCTTAGCATGCTAGTAAGTATTCCCTTCGATAAGGTACGTCCCCCTTTCCCCTCACTACTTAAACGTGCCCCTAATTCAATTTATATAAGCTTTTTCGCTACGCTCGCTCGCATTTATAGATGATGTTACCCGGTAATTAACAAAAGTCTGTTCATTCTTCCGTTAGTAGAATGTACTTAAAATTCCGTTAGGATTGTTTGTTTTTTTTCCTTATAAGATATAATTTTTCACACTGAGACCTAATAAAAAAGACCTCTTAAAAAATTTCCTGCATGCTCAAGAGCGGTTCTAGAAGAATAATTTTCTGGGGAGGGGGGGGGGGGGTTCGTGATGTTTCTTGCCTTTATTCTATTGCCTCACGATTTTTTTTTTTGGGGGGGGGGTGATAGGGGCTTGATGAGGTTTAGAATATAAGCCTATATACTCATTATATCATTAACTTGACTAATTTACATTTTTAGTGGGTATGTTTAATATATTTTTTGAATATATTATGGAATAGTATACCATCTGATTTAAGAGAAAAACGATCTACGAATGCTTTTTGGAAGGGGTTACTGAATCATCTAAATACTTTGAGTTGAACAAAAGTTAAGACTTCTTGAAATGGCGAATACGAAATCTCAAATTAGAGAATTTCTAAAAAAGATCATCACATTAGAAAATGATCTATTTTTGTTTGTTTTGGTTCTGATACTGAAATCGACATACATTTGACTTACATGTACATATTTAGTAAGGAATATTTCTAAATGACCATTATTTCCTTGTTTACTTTCATTATATAATGTATGATACATTATATCTCATATAGTCTAGTACCAAAAATTCTTGCCAAAGACGGAACCAGACTCAAATAGCAATTGTAAAACAATGTTCATCTTTTTCATGTGTAATGTTATTTATCTTGTGTTATATTTTATTTAATCATGATACATTTATCATCATGTTTTACTTGTTCTTTTTATTGTTAATATACTCAAGCTCAATAAGTACATTACATATTTTGTCACTTATTGTATACGACTATCGTGAATAAATTCAATTCATTTCAAATTTCATGCCACCCCACCCCCTAGAACCGCTATTGTACATTCAATACATCATGTTGAATGTTGATATAGTAAAGGAGCTGAAAAAAGAAAAAGGTTATGGATGATAACAAACTGTAATAATATATTTTGAAGAATTGGCAAGAGTATAGAAAGACAAAGATTAAAAAAAATATATACCCAAACAAAAGCAGTTAATGAGAAAGAAGGTGCATATGGCCTATAGAAAATTCATTTAATTAAAAAAAAACTCTTTCCTTTCCTCTTTCTCCTTTGTTTGTTTTTATAATTTTGCCCCCTCTCTTATCCTCTTTGCCCTCATTTAAATTGATTAAAATAGTACATTATTTTATTAACACTTGTTTTGCTCATTTGATGTCATTACGATGGTGTTTTTTCATCAAGTCTTTTATAAAATATATTTAATATTTTCATGTTCTTTATCACTGATTGTATGTTATTACCATGAATTCATTTCCAATCAAAGCAAATCAAATCAAATTAATTCAAAAGGTAAACCACTAAAAGGAAAATAAATCTGCTAGATGAATAGACAAGAAAAACACGATAGGGAAGGGTAGAGTGGCCAATGGAAAGATAGAGGAACAGATCGGGATGCTTCTTGACAGATCGACATATGGAAAGAAAGAAAGAAAGAAAGAAAGACTGACAGTTGATAAATTTAAATGTACACCATGAATAGTACTCCATTATTACTTTGTTGAATAGCAGGAAAAAAAAATATTTATCATATTTTCAACAGAATGAAATTCATGAAGGCAATACATAAAACAAAATTACAACATTTTATTTTAAAAAAGTGTTCTCATTGGCAGTTTTCATATCAAAACGTAGAATAATATATCAGCTACATGTATTTTACTTTCATAATCATTCAGTTATTTATACAAGTTGCAATAGGAAGCACATTCCTCCTTATACATTGTAACACATTCCTTTAATAATCTCATGGTCATTTATATAATATAAAAAATCAGAAATAATAATAAGAAACTAGAATTTAATTCGTCACGAAGACGAATAAGGTGGTCTGCCTTCAAGTTATATAAACATGTAAACAATGATGATCATCATGATGATCATGATGATGATGATCTTGATAGTAATGGTGATGACGATGATGATGATGATCATGATCATGATGATGTTATGATTATCAACAGACCATGATGACATCAGACTGAAAAAAAATGAGAGAACATTTAGATAGTATAAGTCTCAGCTACAACATACTAAAAAATCAACAAAAATCAAGCCGAAATAACGGCGATATTGCTTGCAAAAGACAAGAATGTAGAATCCAGATTTGAGAAAAAGTCATCTCCCATAAGGATTACACGCAAAAAGTAATGGATCAAGTGATAATAGGGTAATAATAAAGTAAATATGGTTGTTTATTACATTATTTGCGATTGTACGTGTTAATATTCAAAGGAGATGGTACAGTGAAAGGTCAAAAAGAAAAAGAAAGGGAAGAAGAAAAACTGTTGGAGACGCCCGTGGTTATGATGATGATATATTGATGATGATCATGATCATGCTGACATCTGACTGAAAAAATGAGGGAGACATTTAGATAGCATATAGTTTCAGCTACAACATACTTAAAAATCAACAAAAACCAAGTGGAAATAACAGCGATATTGCTCGCAAAAGAACGGAATGTAGAATCCAGATTTGAGAAAAAGTCATCTCCCATATAGAGAAATTATATTGACATGTACATGTAAACAATGATGATCATAATGATGATGAAGATGATGATCTTGATAGTAATGGTGATGATGATGATGATGATTATAATGATAATGTTAATGATGATGATGATGATGTTGATGATCATGATCATGATCCTGATGATTTTTATGATGATCATCGTCAGACCATATGATGATGATGATCATGATGATATTGATGATAATCATGATGATAGTGATCGATGATGATCATTCATGAGCGTGATTCTGACATCTGATTGAAAAAATGAGGGGACATTTAGATAACATATAGTCTCAGCTACAACATATACTCAAAAATCAACAAAAACCAAGCAGAAATAATGGCGATATTGCTCGCCAAAGACAGTAATGTAGAATCCAGATTTCAGACCATGATGATGATGATCATCATCATTATGATAACGATGATCATGAGCGTGATCGATCCTGACATCTGATTGAAAAAATGAGGGGACATTTAGATAACATATAGTCTCAGCTACAACATACTCAAAAATCAACAAAAACCAAGCAGAAATAATGGCGATATTGCTCGCAAAAGACAGGAATGTAGAATCCAGATTTCAGAAAAAGTCACCTTCGATAGGCATGACACGCAAATTACGAAAATTCTGACATGTCGCATTTAATCGAAATTTTCACTATGATGACGTCATCAAAATGAAAAATGGTGAGACATAAATAAAGAGAAGGAAAGAGGAAGACGGTCCGTTATAGTCATGTAAAAATACATGAGCTGGACAGAGGGATGAAAGATCAAGGAATCAGAAATGCGCATGTCTTGGAAGGAGAGAGGATATAGCGGGAGGATAAGGAAATGGTGGTAGGTATACGTACGTGAAATAAGAATACAAAGCTAGCCAAAGCTAGGCAACGGAAAGAGCTAGAGAAAATTAGGAGCAATGGAATAAGGCCAAAAAAAAAAAAAAAAAACATGTTTAGCGTCCTGTTTTTTGGAAAAATAGGAAGGAGGAGGTCCTTTTTCTTTTTTTTTTCTTTCAAAATGGCCGCTCAAAATTGCCGCTCGGTACATTTTCCCTGTCAGTCGGGCTACTTTTCAAGATGGCCGCCGAGATTTTATGTTTTTTTTCTATAAAAAAAAAAAAAATCAAAAAAAAAAAAAAATCAAAAAAAAAATCAAAAAAATCAAAAAAAATTATAGGAGGCGGCCCCCAAAAAGGAAGCGGGCGGGGACGCTAAACATGTATATTCTTTTTACATGGCCTAAACGACAAGGTATCAGATATCCATTGTTTTGGCATTCCTTTTCCCTTATAACACGCAAAATCATGCATTTCGTGAGAAATTATATGCGCGAGAAATATACTGGGCGAATTGTCTGTAGGGCGAATTTAATCTGACCAAGATTTTGGCCGATTCGAATTGCATGCACACTCATGATCATGGTCATATGAGTTGCTGAGTACTGCTAGCTGTTTAGACTAGTTGTGTTGTTGTGCTGATTGCTAGCTTAGTTTTGGTAAGAATTCGGTTGTTGCTATTGTATTCAGAGATTTTGCGTTATCGCATAAGTGTGTGAGTGTATTTAAACTTTTAAAGGCATTGACTTTGATTATAATAATGTTTGCAGTTTTACAAATCAAGTCTGAGATGCGATACATCTTACGTACTATAGACCTACATAGGGTCTGCGTGTTATCATATCAGCTCAGTGAGTGCGTGTGATTGTGATTGAATTTTGAAGCCCTACGAAAAACGAAAAGGAAGTGTTTCAAACTGACTTTGAGTGACCGGTTTTACCATACTCATTTCTCCCAATAGACTGTAGAGTGTAGACCTAGTCTAGATCTAGACCTGTTTCTAGATCTAGATCTAAGTCAGTGTTATAAATTAAAAACCATAAGTCGGTAGGGATCTAGGGCCTACTACTACTAGATCTAGATACTAATATATCTGACTATAGCTTATAGGCCTAGATCATAGATCTAGACTAGACTCTAGACCTAGATCTAGATCTAGTCTAGATCTATTAATTTCTAATTCCAATCATGAATATCTTGATAGTTGATAATTAGACAGGTCACAGCTGACAGGCGATCGGCTTGTAAAAGTCATGGGATAATATTTATCCCCTCGCCAAAGTCAAAGAAGGAGGGGATCTAGACCCCTGTATTATGCTGCTCGCTGTCGAAGCCCTTCCTTCTGTGTGCCTTAAGTACAAATCTGGTTTAAAATCAATAACTTTAGAGTAATGTTTGACGGATTTTAATGAAATTTGATATGAAGGTAAATGGTATAAAAACACCGCATAAGTTCAATTTCAGAGTATGTAGGTCAAAGGGCATAGCTCATTAAATATGCGAATCTGGTTTCTGTTCGATAACTTTAGTAATATTTGATGGATTTTCATGAAATTCGATATGAGGGTACAGGGTATAAAAACGAGGCATAAGTTCAATTTCCGAGTATGTAGGTCAAAGGTCATGGCTCATTAAATATGCGAATCTGGTTTCCGATTGATAACTTTAGTAATGTTTGACAGATTTTAATCAAATTTGATATGAAGGTACATGCTATCAAAATACAGCATAAGTTCAGTTTCGGAGTATGTAGGTCAAAGGTCATAGTTCATTAAATGTGCAAATCTGGTTTCTATTCGATAACTTTAGTAATGTTTGACGGATTTTAATGAAATTTGATAGGAAGGTACATGCTATCAAAATACAGCATAAGTTCAGTTTCGGAGTATGTAGGTCAAAGGTCATAGCTCATTAAATATGCGAATCTGGTTTCTGTTTGATAACTTTAGTATTATTTGATGGATTTTCATGAAATTCGATATGAAGGTACATAGTATAAAAACACAGCATGAGTTCAATTTCCGAGTATGTAGGTCAAAGGTCATGGCTCATTAAATATGCGAATCTGGTTTCCGATCGATAACTTTAGTAATGTTTGACAGATTTTAATCAAATTTGATATGAAGGTACATGCTATCAAAATACAGCATAAGTTTAGTTTCGGAGTATGTAGGTCAAAGGTCATAGTTCATTAAATGTGCAAATCTGGTTTCTATTCGATAACTTTAGTAATGTTTGACGGATTTTAATGAAATTTGATAGGAAGGTACATGCTATCAAAATACAGCATAAGTTCAGTTTCGGAGTATGTAGGTCAAAGGTCATAGCTCATTAAATATGCGAATCTGGTTTCTGTTTGATAACTTTAGTATTATTTGATGGATTTTCATGAAATTCGATATGAAGGTACATAGTATAAAAACACAGCATAAGTTCAATTTCCGAGTATGTAGGTCAAAGGTCATAGCTCATTAAATATGCGAATCTGGTTTCCAATCGATAACTTTAGTAATGTTTGACAGATTTTAATCAAATTTGATATGAAGGTACATGGCATCAAAACACGGCCTAAGTTTGATTTCCCAGTATGTAGGTCAAAGGTCATAGCTCATTAAATATGTGAATCTGGTTTCTGTTTGATAACTTTAGTATTATTTGATGGATTTTCATGAAATTCGATATGAAGGTACATGGTATAAAAACACAGCATAAGTTTAATTTCGGAGTATGTAGGTCAAAGGTCATAGCTCATTAAATATGCGAATCTGGTTTCTGATATCGATAACTTTAGTAATGTTTGACGGATTTTAATCAAATTTGATATGAAAGTACATGGCATCAAAACATGGCCTTGGTTTGATTTCCCAGTATGTACCCTGCAAGGGGATGCTATGCTTTGCGTTGACTTGTTTTATTTATGTCATTTAGCATTATGAATGAGGGCTCATTATTTGTATTTATTGTAATATATTGATATTGGTATTTTATTAAATGTAATTTTTTGTTTTGTTTTGTTTGTATTTTAGGTTACTGAGAGTTGAAGAGAGAGTTGCAGAAAGTAAGTTGATATGCTTAGAAAGGCTGAAGTCAAGTAGTTTTTAAATTAAAGCTATGATGGAATGAAACAGATCTGCATAATTGGGAACAATTGAATGCAGAATACGAAAGCTATGGCTTTAAGAAATTTTCTATATAACTTTTTGACACTACCAAGTTACTTTTAATTATGTCAGTAAAGGTATAGACCAGTTTTGGAAAAGCCCCCCTCTCAAAAAATGAAATGGTACCTTTTTTTAACAATCATGTGAAAGAATATGTTTTGACTAATACCTGATGATACAAATTTTGATACTAATTGATATATTTGGTAAATTATTATATCTATCCGGAGTGGATAGATATCGCGCATGTGTCGCATAGTCCCATATACATCTTTCTGTGTACAGTGCTTGTAACTTTACCATGACTGGGTCAAATTTCTCATCATTTTGATGATCCAGAACCTTTCAGTACACACCAATACTTACCGTATATGCTAGATGATCAACCTTTTGTGATCGATTTCACAACGTTTTTTTCGCAATGCAATCGCATGACCAAAACTGGTCTTGAATGAGGGCTCACTATTTGTATTTATTTTTGTAATATATTCATATTGGTTTTTTATAAAATGCAATTGTTTTTTTCTTTTCTTTTTTTATTTCTAGTGCTTTTAATCAACAAATGTCAGTTTGATTAAAGAAATGACCCACACCAGACGGTTATTTCTGTCTATGACTCTCTATGTTTTGCTGGAGTGTGGGGTGGAGGGGGGGGGGGGGGGGGGGAGTCACAGGTTGAACATTGGCACATAGAGAGGTCAAAAGTCATTTGAGGTCAAGCGTTAAAGTTTACCTGCAACCTCAGCTACACTACAAACACAAACACATTTTACCTTCACACATGTAAAATATCAATGCAATAATTTTACTCGTATCAAAGGGGGAGGGAGTAGATGCAGTGGAAGCAGGTGAAAGGCAGTAGCATATCATGTAATACCCCTTCTCAAAGTTTATGGGATGTTGCATTCTATGGCAGATATTTCAAAATCAGCTTGCGATAGGCCCTACAATTCTTATAGATGGCAATGGACATTGCGATATTCTAGTTATTTTCACAAGTGGGCGAGACACAACATCGCTAATGCCTTGTTTAAACTGAAAAGTCATCCACAAAGTAGATGAGGTTTAGACAGTGGTCAGTTAAAAATTTATGTTGTGCCACCACCCATGATAATGTCATTACAGAAATGGTACAATTTGAAACAGGAAAAGAGCTTAAAATGAAAATGCATTGAAGTACTGTACCTAAACAAAATATTGATATTAACATTATTTCTGAACTGTTGGTTCTTACAAAAGTTATTGATTTCGGTCTAAGTTGCAGTTTGGGATGTAATGTGGAGTTTGAATCTTTCCATTTCAGATTTGATAGATCTACTCTTACTGTTGGACAGTTACTGAGAGAGAAGCAAGGAGGCAGAGGTAAATTCAGCTCTTACTGTTGGACAGTTAGTGAGAGGGAAGCAGGGAGGAAGAGGTGAATAGAGCTCTTATTGTTGAACATTTACTGAGAGAGAAGCAAGGAGGCAGAGGTGAATAGAGCTCTTACTCTTGGACAGTTATTTAGAGAGAAGCAAGGAGGCAGAGGTAAATAGAGTTGTTACTGTTGGACAGTTATTGAGAGACGAGCAAGGAGGAAGAGGTGAATAGAGCTCTTGCTGTTGGACAGTTACTGACACAGAAGCAAGGAGGCAGAGGTGAATAGAACTCTTACTGTTGGACAGTTAATGAGAGAGAAGCAAGGAGGCAGAGGTAAATAGAACTCTTATTGTTGGACAGTTACTGACACAGAAGCAAGGAGGCAGAGGTAAATAGAACTCTTACTGTTGGACAGTTAATGAGAGAGAAGCAAGGAGGCAGAGGTAAATAGAGTTGTTACTGTTGGACAGTTATTGAGAGACAAGCAAGGAGGAAGAGGTGAATAGAGCTGTTACTGTTGGACAGTTACTGAGACAGAAGCAAGGAGGCAGAGGTGAATAGAGCTCTTACTGTTGGACAGTTACTGACACAGAAGCAAGGAGGCAGAGGTGAATAGAACTCTTACTGTTGGACAGTTAATGAGAGAGAAGCAAGGAGGCAACAACTCAACAACCCATGTGTTGTGATGCCAGGCAATGAGAAAAATTGTGTAATCAGGTTGCTCAGGCGCAGGCGCGTGTATCGTCTCGAGTGACGATCATCAGAGATATATATTGCTAGAGTGGTGTGGACTCTATCTCTATGGTCGCAGTTCAAGTAACAGCGATGTGTTACATGTAGATACCTACACCAACATGATATCTAGTACATCGTTAATGTGCATAATAATTTTAATGTGGATACATGCTAAAATAAGGTTGGTAATAAGTCACTCTATTAAAAGCTGGAGATAATTTTAATGAAAAACAAACAATGCATATATATATTTTTTTCTTAAAAGTATTCTTTCATTACAAATATATGTGAAACTGTTATACAAAGTGGCATTATTAATGTATGTCCCATTTTTTTCCTACTCATTGTTTTATGTAACTCTAGGTAGCCAACTGTGGAGTGATCAAGCTACAGATCTATCTACAGTGGACTCTCATTATAAAGAGCACTGATATATCCATTAGAGTAAGGTAATTTTTGTGGTTTCAGATTGTAATTTTACTTTGTATTTTATTATTTTTGTAACCCTGATATACCTTGGTTTCATTATAATGAGCATAATCCTCTGGTCCCAAGGACTAGCATAGGCGTATGTTCTTGTATAGGACTGTATTTAGTGCTTTGGGAGACCAGGGCCCCATCTTACAAAGAATTGCAATCAATCTCAAAATGGCAATTGCCAATCAAGATCATCATAGCATGCACATATTGGTCAACAACATAGCCACTATCAACCAATCAGAATCGTTGTTTGAAACTTTCAATCAATCGCAACTCTTTTTAAGACAGGGCCCAGGTCGTAGCATTATAGTAATCTAAAGAAGGGGAAGTGAACAAAAAAAGTTTAAAAATCACATACAGCTTTCCATCAACCACTTTGAAGATTAATGGGATTAATGACATACACTACAAAAATCACTGCCCTCATACAGGTATCATAAAACAAAATTAATCGGAGAAGAGATACCAGTCATGAAATAATAAGTATTGGTATGAGGATGCTACAAAATGTTATACAATTCAACATAGTCAGAAGTAAAATCACACCAAAAAAATAAAATGAATAAAAAGCATTGGTAACTTAAGCATTGATAAAGTTAATTATCGTGCATAAATCAAAAAGAAAACGAACAGACTACCAGCAGCAAAGTAGGGTTTAAGATTTATGTAGTAATAAATAAAAATAATAATAACCATATAAGCATTTTCTTTTTCAAAAATATTCTTTCATTACAAATGGCATATATGTGAACCTGTTATACAAAGTGGCATTATTAAATGTATGTCCCATTTTTTTCCTACTCGTTGTTTTATGTTACTCTAGGTACCCAACTGTGAAGTGATCAAGCTACAGATCTATCTACAGTGGACTCTCATTATAAAGAGCACTGATATAACAAGGTTCTATTATAACAAGGTAATTTTTATGGCTCCAGATTGTAATTTTCTTCTGTATTTTATTATTTTTGTAACCCTGATAAACGAGGTTCATTATAACGAGCATAATCCTCTGGTCCCAAGGACCTTGTTATCACTTACCATCTAGGCATTTAACAAAACTCCCTGTAAAGTTGAGAAGTATGTAGAAAAGGCATTGACTGGTATCCCTGTTATGAGAACAGGGTTTTAAATTGTTTAAAATGGCTTTGAGCTTTACAATCTTTTTTCTTTTTCTCCCTGTTCAAGCAATAGTGATGACAGTAGGAAGCTTTTGATGCACTTTGTAGGAAAACCAGAATTGCAGGGTGTTGTAAAATGGAAGGGGGGTGGAGGTAGGGGTCTCAACATGTAAATGAGCATGTTATTTTATAGGAATCGTGTATAGTGTCCCAAAATAACGAATTTATGTACATTTTGTGGATAAAAATGATTAATATCTGTATATATGTATTGTAGCATAATCTTACCTCACAAACGTTAAAATTTTTGCCTTCTGAAAGATGGATGATGCTCCTTTTCATTTTAACAAACCTTTTAATATTTACCCCCTCTCCTTACAGGTGTCTGGCTGTCACTTATGTGTTTGTGTTTGTCTCCTGGAAATTTGATCTTTTCAGGAAAAGTAATTGTTTTATGTTGACATCTTTTCATTGTATACATTTGAACCAAAGAACCTTCATCTCACCTCTTTTCCTAATCTCAGAAGAGATCCTGCTCTCAGAAGAGAGTGTCCCACACTCAAGAAGGGTGTGCGTCTTTATCCATTTCATCACATTTCACCCACGGGAGACCGTGGTAGAGTTGTATAAAGAATCCACAGAAAAAAAATCCGAAAAAGAAAAGAAATATCTGAAAAAGAAAACAGGAACCAGGTGAGACTCCTGGATATATAATCAATAACAGGAACCAGGTGAAACTCCTGGATATATAATCAATAACAGGAAGCAGGTGAAACTCCTGGATATATAAGCAATAACAGGAACCAGGTGAGACTCCTGGATATATAAGCAATAACAGGAACCAGGTGAAACTCCTGGATAAATAAGCAATAACAGGAACCAGGTGAGACTCCTGGATAAATAAGCAATAACAGGGACAGTGTGTTAGAAAAACAAACAGGCTTGATAGGAATAAATACAATTTATCAAATTACAGTTTTGAGAAATAAAAGGCAAGTTTGCAAAAAGTGGGAAACAAACTTGGGATATTTATAGTTGTAGGGATACAATAAAGTGTGTTTGCTTACAAAGAACTTTGGGTGAGCGTATTGGAAATTCATTAACCAGTGATAAGATTAATTAATCAGAAGAAAAGCAGGATATTTGATCGTTTACAGATTTTTTTCAAAAGGAAGTAAGCGTGGTAAAATTGAAAAAGGAGTGGGGAAAATTGAAGAAAGAAAAGAAGGTATTTGATTACAGAGGTTTTTAAGTTTTTTTTTAAGTTTTGAGTTAGAAAAAAAAAAGGAAGTGACTGATAAATTATACATACTGAAGTCAAGTGTGGAGAATTGAAGAGAATTAAGTGCAGAGATACAAGTGGGCTTGAGTAGTTGCAGAGAGGGTATTTGATCATTCACAGATTTTGTTAAAAAAATCCCTGATAAATTACAAAAAGATTGAGGAAAATTGAAGTAAGAGGAAACGTAAATACAAGTGAGCTTAGGTGGTTGGAAAGAAAATATTTGATTAGAGAGTTTTTAGAATAAAAAGACCGGAACTTGGTAAATTACATATTCGTGAGGAAAATTAAAGCCAGAGAACAAGATTGAGAAATAAAGTGGGCTTAAGAACTTTGATAGAGGATATTTGATGACACTTTTTTTTTTAATTTAAGAAAGAGGTAAGCTTGATTAATTACAAAAGCGTGAGAAAAGTTGAAGTAAGAGAATAAAGTCCAGAACTTACAGAGTTTAGAGAAAAGGAGGTGTCTTTGATAAGTTGAACATATTAAAAAAAAGAAAAAAAGGGTGAGGAAAATTGAAGAGAATAAGGTTCAGAAATACAAGTGGGCTTGAGAAGTTGCAGAGAAGGTATTTTATCATTTACAGAGTTTTGGAGAAAAGAAGGGAGCGTGATAAATAAAAAGAATAAGGAAATTATTAAAGAGATCAAGGTAGAAAAATACAAGTGGGCTTGAGTGGTTGGAAAGAAAATATTTGATCACAGATTTTCTTTTCTTTTTTTTAAAGTGAGCTTGATAAATAACAAAAGTAGAAAAATTGAAGTAAGAGAACAAGGTTTAGGAAAAACATATAAGCTTAAGTAGTTTCATAGAGAGTAGGAAACGTGTTAATATAACTAATATTCAAGTAATTAACTAAAGTTTGTTGATAAAGAAGAGAGTTGAAGGAAATTTTGACAAGATATTCAGTGTTTGTATTAAGTGACTTTCATTACAAGGAAAATAACATTATAATAAACCCTTAAGTGTGAAAAGGGGATAAACAATTTTGCATCGAGAGTGACAGAGTCCACTTGCGAGTCTGCTTCATTGACAAACAGATTTTAAAAATTGTCAGGGAACTAAAAGTTTTTAATAAAGTATTGCACTTTGAAGAGATATATTGCAGAATAGATACAAAGATTCGTACGTGAAATCTTTAAAAGTATTACCTTCTTGTACATCCAAAACACATCAAGGCATTTATTTGAATATTACTAATTAGACTGTAAACTTTTAATATTGTGCATTTATGCCTATTGCGATAAAGAGATTGAAAATGGCTGCCACTCAATTCAGCTCTATTGTTCATGAGATTCTAAGCATGCTTTCCAGTTACACATCGATGATCAACACAGATGTTGATGAATGTTATTGCATGGATAAGATCAATAAAAGTGACAACTATGTAACATGCGAGTCTTGTACCAACCATTTCCATGTGACATGTGAGGAATACTTGAACAATGACAAACTTGCTGACCAGAGATTGATTTGGATTTGCTCATGCTGTGGTCATAGCAATATTGGCGATCGAATATTTGACAAAGTATGTATTCCATCTCATTATAACAGATATGAGCCTCTCATGTCAGCAGATGATGATGATGACAATGACGATGAGAACATGGAGATCTTCAAACAGACAAGACGAGTAAGGACATCAAAGAAGAGGTATGTTAAAGTAAAAAGGAGCACGCTGTTTGCAGAGCCATGTAGCAGATATGAAAATGGTGTAACAGACAATCTGTCTCATTTCATAGATCAAAACTTGCTCAATGAAGAAGTTGACGATAAGTGGGTGAAAGTGAAATGCAAGAGAGCAAAACTGATGGCAAGAAAAAGAGAAGAAAGATTGCATTCAAATTCAAAAGAAGAAAATGAACAGGACAAAAGGCAGAAAAGATCAATTCATGGTGTATTGTTGGAACCAGGTGTTACCTACATTGGCAAAGCATTCAAGACATTTTATGGGAGTCGTAAGAGAAAAAACACAGTACACAAAAAAGAGTGGAATGTGAAGCAGAAAATGAAAAATGAAGAAGAAGATGTCAGTGTGCAATCCTATGCAGAAAATCTATTGAGCATTTATGCTTGCAGTGTGCAATCTCTACATTCTATGAAGGTTTACAATGAAGCCTGTGAAGAAATGGAAAGAATGCAAAATCAATCATACGCTGACGTAACTGCTAGTTTGTCTCCATTGTCAAAACCAGATTCTGATCAACGCTCTAACCAAAGAACTTGCAACATTCTGGAAAAGATGCAGGATTTGAGACGATACAGAGTCTACGCAGGAGGTAAAAGAGGAAGAGGTCGAAAAAGGAACATGAAAGGTCAGTCTTCCAAAGCCGGGAAAAAAGGCACTGATGGAAATCACTCTTGTGATAAATCAGAGATTAGATTTGACAAAGATGAAGGAATAGAATTAGCAGTAAAGAATGAGAAGCTGGATACAAAGAAATCTATGAATGCAAGTGACCAAGGACTTGATACAAATACATGTAAAAATGATGAACACTCAGACCAGCATATTTGCAATATGAAAGACAACAAAGGTTCAGATGGAGTTGTGCAGGACGATTCAAAGAATAATCTGTTGAAATCAAATTTTGATGAAAATAGGGAAATTGAAACGGACGATGATAGTGGCAGTGATGTTCATATACCAGTGAAACGTTCGTGTGCAAGAAATTGTATAGAATCTGATAGTGATACAGACACAAGTCCTGGATGTGATTTATTCGATAGAAGTGTTTTACCAGAACGCAATATGCCTTTGAATGTTTGTGATAGACCAAAAGATATGCCCAGAAATGAACCAGTAGACAATGTCTGTGAATCGGTATTGGAAAATGATGATATGATGAAAAATGATATTTCATATGTTTCAGATGAAGAAGATGCAGTGTTTGACAATGACCTGAAGAATAGAAGCTTTGATACAGTAAAAGATGGTACAGACAATGATACTGATATGTCATTTAATGATCATGCTCATTCAAGGAATCCTTTAGAATCTTCTTCAGATTCAAATATCAAAGATGAAGACATTGAAAAGGCAATAGATGCTAATATGTACACATGTACTGATGAAACAGAAACAGAAGTTGAATTTGTAGCAGATCTTGGATTACGTGATAGACCAGATAAAGATTTCAAATTTGTACCCCTCCAGAATAATGACAAACAGAACATTTGTTCAAAACTGAATATCAGATATATAGGCAAAGGCTGTGATTCAAGGTTAGATAGAAATAGCTGTATTGGAGTTCCTTTACAGAGTAAAGAAATTACTGGTGATGGCAATTGTTTCTTTCGTGCAATTTCCTATGTAATTTCTGGAACTGAGCGTAATCATGCAATTTTAAGAAATGCCACTGTGAAACATTTATTGCAAACCAAGGACATGTTTAGTAATACATTGAGGCAAGAATATAGAACAGTCAGAGAATATGTTTTGAAACGTAGAATAAAGGAAGACGGAACGTGGGCTACAGACACTGAAATTAGCGCTTTAGCAAATTTAATCAATACTGATATTTATTCATACAATGACCAAGTACCATGTTGGCAATTGTTCTCTGCAAAGAAACCTGGAAGAATAAATATTGTAACATCTGATAAGGGAATTTATATACTGTACACAGGAAATGTTCATTTTAATGTTGTTGAATCTGTAGATTTTGTCAATTTCAATTCATTAGAACAGACAAGAACAACTAAAGAAGATAGAACGTCAAAGAGAACTTTGCTATGTCCATCAATTCAGGCTGATGTTAAAGTAAAGCATGTGTTCAAGAAGTGTAGATCCAAGTGTCAGATAGAGGAAGAAATTGATGAAGTAGTGGATAAGTCTCCTGAAACATTTCAATACCATGTTGATCCAAAGGGAAACAAACGTAGGCTCACGTTGGAAACTGGTACGATAAATCACGATGAGAGAAAAGGTACTGCAAATCTTTTTGACATGACATATGAACAGTGTGCAAGTAATCAGTCTGAATCAGTCGTTCACAACGAACGTAACACCAAGGATGAAACCCTTAAAAGTGATCACAAAGACAAATGCACGAGAGTCGATACACAAATAACGCTTGTTGCCCAAGGGACATTCAATCAAGGTGATACAAGATTTGGTGACTTAAGTGGAAAGCAGTGTGTTACCAATTCACTATCTGCACTGTTGTATAGCAAGGTAAAAAATGCCAATGATTGGAAAAGTACAGATCTAGACAGGATTTTGAATAACGGTAATGAATTATACTGTTACATACGGCGATCCACTTCACTTGACAACCAGTACTTATTGATATCTGATCTATACGAATATTTGGATGCGTACAATGAATTGTTTAACATAGTATGCCGTGAACCAGTCACTGGATTGTTAGATGGAGATGAATTGATATTGGCCCAGTCTCTTTCAATGACATTGAAGCAAGCACTTGAAAAAGAACTCTGTACTGATTCTGATGCATGTTTTGTGACATTTGCTAGAAGTACTTTCATTGTATTATCTGGTCAAGATGGTTTTTTTATATTTGATTCACATTCCAGAAGCAGTCGAGGTTTCCTGATTTGTAACGGACACAGTGTTGTACTTCGTACTCAAAGCTGGCAAGGTGTGTACAAGCATTGCATGAGGTTAGCAAAATCAATGGGATGCCCCCTTCACACCGAATATGAAGTAACTAGTGTATGTGCTAAAGCAACTTCCGGTAAGAATGAAACCTTGAAAGGCTATCCACAGTTACAGGATTTTGTTTGTAATCCAATTCCTTCGTCAAATACGCACAGTGAAAGTCAGTCTGGAAGCTCTGGATGTTCCATACATTGTGAAAGCTTTGATGAAGTTCAAAGATTGGATGAGAGTGTTTCCCCACAAACCATGATTGATAGCCCAAATTTATTTCACTACTCTGAAAAAGCAAACGAAGCAATCATTCATGATGTACATTATAACGGTCAGGAATTGAAACTGAAGAGTGTGACAATTACCTTAACGAAACTAAAAGAACCACAGCTGAATAATAGTTGTCTTCTGAAAAGAAATGACTCTATCAAGACAGAATATGTAAATGAACAAAATGGAGACTCAAAAAATTGTACCAAGTGTGAAAATGACTCGAATAAATTGAATCTAGCAGACAAAGTTCAGAAGTCCAACTCAACTTTAAGTAAAAAACGAAAATTGAGTAACATTGAAAATGATGCAAAAGTCGATGTTGACCTTGGTAATGAAGTTCGAAAAACTAAATTGGGGAAAAGAAAAGAGGATGATGTGAAAAAAACAAGTAGAAATTTATGTGCAAATATCAAGCAAGGAAAGACTACTGAAACAAAAAAAATTGCAAATGCTGACAATTCCGGGAAGAAACGTAAAAGAAAAACTTATAATCAAAAAAGGAATGACAATAAAGAGCGACAGAGAGAAAGACGAGCTGTGACAAAGGCAATAGACAGAAATAGTAAGAAAAAAAAGCAAGTTCTCAATGCAAACATACGTAAAATGAAGAGATCAATTATGGAGAGGGATAAATATCATCATGATGTAATCTGGAAAATGACCAAAAAAAATCAAGTAAAACAAAAATACTGGGAAGAGAAAGACAATGATTCATCATGCAATTCAAAGAAGGCAAGTTATAACAAACAAAGACAGAACAGAAAGTACAAACAAGATCCAAGTTTTAGGAAAAAACAGGTCACTTCTATGAAAGACAAATATCACTCTGATAAACAGTATAAACAAAAAACTCTTAATTTGAATAAACAGAAATATAGGACAAATGAACAGTTCAAAGAAAATTTAAAAACCACCATGCGAAATAAAATAAAGCATATGTACCATAACAACAAGAATTTTAAACAAAAGCAAAAATCTACAATGAAAATGAGCATGAGAAAGAGATACTTGAAGGATATGCATTTTAAACAACAAAAAAAGGCTGCTATGAGAAAGAGATACCAGAAGGATATGCATTTTAAACAAAAGCAAAAGGCTTCTATGAAAATGAGCATGATAAAGAGATACCAGAAGGATATGCATTTTAAACAACAAAAAAAGGCTGCTATGAGAAAGAGATACCAGAAGGATATGCATTTTAAACAAAAGCAAAAGGCTTCTATGAAAATGAGCATGAGAAAGAGATACCAGAAGGATATGCATTTTAAACAAAAGCAAAAGACTGCTATGAAAATAAGCATGAGAAAGAGGTACTTAAAGGATATGCATTTCAAACAAAAACACAAGACAGCTATGAAATCCCTGTCCCAAACTAGATACACAAATAAGACACTAAGGGAAAAGATACTGATGAGGTTAAATATTAAATATAAAAAAATAGAAAAATATAGACAAAAAGTAATGAAACAGAATCTTAAAAGAGCTCTAGTTAATAAATTCAAAATGTCCGAGTTTGATAATGTACTGCAGGAGTTTAGGAAGATTATTTCTCATGGTCCAGAATTTGTTTGCTGTGTTTGCTTTAAACTTCTCTTTGAGAACCAAGTAATAAAATGTATGAAGACCAATTATAAACTTCAGACATGTATAAGTGAAAAATATTTGCATGTTTGCAATTCAGAATGCAGATCAGAATGTCAAATACGCCAGTCAGCCAGATCATCACTGTGGATATGCCACACTTGTCACAGAAAGTTGCGGTCTGGAAAAGTACCTGGAGAAGCAAACATAAATAATTTACAATTACATCAAGTCCCAGAAGAACTTGCCAACTTAAACACTCTAGAACAGCATTTGATTGCACTACATATCCCTTTTATGAAGTTAATGGCTTTGCCCAAAGGTGGTCAAAATGGTGTTCATGGCCCAGTTGTTTGTGTCCCTTCAAACACTTTTGAAACAGTAGATATGTTGCCAAGACCACAGACTGAAGATCAATTGATCCGTGTTAAGCTGAAAAGAAAATTGTCTTACAAAGGTTGTTATGAGTACAGATTTGTAGATAAATCTAACTTGCTTAATGCTCTGCAGTATTTAAAAGCAAATAATAAGTGGTATTTTGATGTTACAGTAAATGATAAATGGGAAAACTCACTTGAACGAAATGAAAAAGATAATGAAAAGGAAGAAGCAGTGGAAATCGGTGGTAAAGCTCGTTTAGCCAAATATTGGAAGGAAATGGAAGAACAAATTGATTACATTTTGTCCAAAGACAAAAATGCTAATGAAAACATGCAAGACAACAGTAAAGTACCCAAAAAAATAGATGACAATGACACTGAAGACGATATGGAAGAACGATTACGCGGTATTCAGTTAGACTCGTGTCTCCAGCCAGTAGATATTGGACAGGAAATATTAGATCAGTATTTTGAAGACATAATATGTTGTGCTCCTTGTGAAGGAAGAAGCCCTGTATCAATTCTACAAGATGAAAGCAATGAGGCCAAATGTTTCCCAGTATTATTTCCTAAAGGTCAACCAACATTCCATGATAGAAGAGATGAAAAAATAACATTGGGACGTTATCTGCACAACCGATTGATGCACGTGGACAACAGATTTGCTCAGAATACAGATTACATCTTTTATGCACAATATATTTATGAAATTCAACAGGTTATATCACAAGTTTCTATCGCATTAAGGCAAAGTCCAAACAAAAAAGATGATTCGTCTTCAATAACTGCCTCAGATTTGAAAGATGCAGAGAAAGTTAAAAAAATACTAAAATCAGACAAGGGCTATAAATTTTTAAAGCAAATTCGTGGAACACCTCCATTCTGGCAAAAGACACAAAAAGATGTTCTCGCAATGGTAAGACAGCTTGGAAAGCCCACATGGTTTGCTTCTTTTTCATCTGCCGATATGAGATGGCCAGAATTAATGAATACATTGCTTAGACAAAAAGGAGACACCAGGGAATCGAGTGAATTAGACTATACAGAAAAATGTAATCTTTTAAGATCAAATCCAGTAACAGTTGCCAGAATGTTTGATAAAAGATTTCACACTTTTATGAAGAAAGTTATTTTATCTCCCGCTGCACCGATTGGTAAAGTAGTTGATTCATTTTGGAGAGTAGAGTATCAAGCTCGTGGTTCTCCTCACATTCATGCCTTGTTCTGGGTTCAAAATGCTCCACAGTTAGGTATCGATAATGATGATGATGTCGTACAATTCGTAGATAAATACATTTGTTGCCAGAAACCAGATGAAAAGGAAGATCAAGAACTACATGAAATAGTAAGCAAGGTCCAACAACACAGTAAGAAACATTCTAAATCTTGCACAAAAACAGGGAAGGCGTGTAGATTTAATTTCCCGAGACCACCATCTGGAAAAACATTCATTGTAACACCCGTTGAAGAGATTCCAGCTAAAGATTGTGGGAAAGTGCAAAATAAAGGAAATGACAATGATCAAGTTAAAGCTTCTGAAAAGACTAAAGATGATGCAGAGAAATTGTTGAATTCAGTTAAAGATGCATTATCCAATGGAATCGAGTACAACAGTGTAAACCATCTCTTTGAAAAGCTTGGCATTACACAAAATCAATTTGAGAATGCACATAATGAATTAGCATCACAACAAAGTATAATCATCAAAAGAGAAATACAAGATGTATGGGTAAATCAGTTTAATCCAAGTCTACTAAGAAGCTGGAATGCCAACATGGATTTGCAGTTCGTAACAAATGTATTTGCATGCGTGGCTTATATTGTATCCTACATGTCAAAAGCTGAACGAGAAATCGGATTGCTATTGAGTCATACACTATCAGAAATGAAAGAGGGAAATGATAACGCAAAGGAAAGCATGAAAAAACTTGGCCAGGTGTACATGCAAAATCGTGAAGTGTCTGCTCAAGAAAGCGTCTATCGTGTTTGCAGTCTCAGATTGAAAGAATGTTCTAGGAAAGTGGAATTTATTCCTGTTGGACCCAACCCTGTCAGAATGAGTTTACCATTAAGCGTTATAAAAAGCAGACCAGATAACGATAATGATGATGATGAGAATGTTTGGATGCCTAGCAAGCTTGACAGATACAAAGCTCGACCTAGAAACACAGAATTCAGTGATATGTGTCTTGCAACATTTTGTTCTCAGTACAGAATCTTAACTGCATCCCAAACGCCAAGTACAAGAAGTAAAAATGTCTTTAAATTAGATAACGATCTGGGGTATATTCAGAAGCGTACTCGTACGGAAGATGCAGTTGTAAGGTATCCCCGATTTTCACCCATCATCTCACCAGAAAAATATTATTTGAGCATTTTGCAACTCTTTCTGCCATATTTTGAAGATGGACAATTAAAGCCCCCAACATTTGAAACACATGAAGAGTTCTACGAGACAGGTTCTGTGAAAATATGTGGACGTGAATTGGAGAAAGTCTGGTCAATTGTCTGTACTAACCGAAAGAAGTTTGAAATGAATGCCGATGCAATTGATCATGCACAGGAGCATCTTGACAAATTTGGTCCATACGAAGATGCATGGGGTCTTTTATGTCCGGAAAAGGAAGTAGAGCGACTTGAACATCCCAAAGAAAATGTAGATGTCGAAGATTGTGATGGAGATCTTGATATCCCTGATTTAAAGAATGAAGCGAAAAAAGATGACTATAGCATCGAACTACGTTCTGTAAAAATTTCCAAACAAGATGGACATTCTTTGATGAGGTCTTTGAATGAGAAGCAACAGAGTGTTTTTTACAAAATACGACAGTGGTGTTTAGATAGAGTAAATGGAAAATCGGTCGAACCGTTTCATATGTTTCTAACTGGAGGTGCTGGCACTGGAAAGAGTCATTTGATCAAATGTCTTTACTATGAAGCAACACGTATACTAGCCCGAATGTTGCCACATCCTGATGATGTTTCAGTATTGAAAATGGCTCCAACCGGAGTAGCTGCATACAATATCAATGGCCATACTATACATAGTATTCTTTCTATTCCAATCAATGCACAAGTACTGTATCAACCGCTGAGTGATGAGAAAATAAGTGTCCTTCGAAATAAGCTGGCTGAATTGCAAATTTTAATCATAGATGAAGTATCAATGGTAGATCAAAAGTTAATGTATTACATTCACGGCCGCCTACGACAAATAAAACAATCACGCGATCAAACTGCTTTTGCTGGTGTTTCAGTTATTGCTGTGGGAGACATGTATCAGTTACCTCCAGTCTTAGGAACTCCTTTATATAAAGACACACTCAATGGTGCATTGTGGAATGCTAATTTCAAGAAAGTAGAACTTGAAGACATTATGAGACAAAAAGACGATACCCAATTCGCTCTTCTCTTAAATAGATTACGTGTAAAACAAGGGGAAGAGATTCTCTGTGATGAAGACCTAGCAATGCTCAAGTCCTGTGAGACTGGTGAAGAATGTGAAAATGCTCTGCATATCTATGCATGTAACAAGGAAGTAGATGCTTGGAACAAGAAATTATTGCATACAAAATGTGGAGATGTGATATGCGTAAAAGCACAAGACATGGACAAAGATGTTAAAAAGGGAAATCAAATACGGGAAAAACCTTATACAAAGATGAAAACCCAGTTGCCTTCTTATCTGTGGATTGCAGTTAATGCTAGAGTGATGTTGCTCAAGAACATTGATGTTAGTAAAGGCCTGACAAATGGATGTTTTGGAAATGTAACAGAAATAATAACGGATCATACAAATTTGAATCCAGTTTGCATCAAAGTTAATTTTGAGAAGGCCGATGTGGGTATTCATTCAATCGAAATGTCTCAAGAATCCATTGGTAAGAAATATGTGAGAAAACAATTTCCACTTAAGCTTGCTTATGCTTGCACAATTCATAAAGTACAAGGTTCAACATTAGACAAAGCTGTTGTATCATTAAAAAGTGTATTTCAATCTGGACAGGCATATGTTGGGCTTAGTCGCGTTACTTCGTTATCTGGACTTGTGATAGAACATTTCGATCCTAAACGTATATATTGTAATCCAGAAATTAAAGAACGCATTGAGATTATGAAGCCGTTTATTAAGAATGAAACTTCAGAAGATATCCACGATTATAACTTTTCTTTGGTAATGCAAAATGTACAAGGATTAAAACAGCATTTTATCGATTTCAAATCCCAGTGCCAATTTGTGAATGTAGATTTTATTTGCTTGACCGAAACATGGATTAATGATAATGATCTCTGTGACGTTGTTTTAGATAACTTTCGATTTTATCATCAGCCACGACATCTTTCATACTGTAATTCTGGAGTTGGAAATGTACTCAAAGAACAATCGCATGGAGGTGTTGGAATGTATATCAAGAATACATATTCAAGTAGATTAGACATATCTGTCGACAATTTAGAGTTTATCGCAATTCTTGTCACCAAACCAGTTTCTGTTGTGATTTCAGTTGTTTATCGACCTCCATCATATAGTATCAAATCATTCTGTGAATCATTAGACAATTTGCTAAATGCATTACACAAAAGAAGCATTAGGTGTATTGTGATGGGAGATTTTAATGAGGATTTGTTTAAAGGTTCTTCACAGGTAAACAAGCTGATGTGTAATAAAGGTTACAAACAGCATGTTGTAAATGCTACTACTGAGAAGGGAACAATGATAGATCATGTGTACAGCAAAGGACTAGATTTATTGGAAACAGAGGTCATCCCTACATATTATAGTTACCACGAAGCTGTTAAGATTGCTTTTTGATATTTATTGTAAAGGCCAAATAAAAAAATAAAACATGTTTAGCGTCCTGTTTTTTCGAAAAAAAGGAAGGAGGCCCTTTACACCTGGAGTAATTTGGCAATTCTATGACATAACTTTTTGCTTTGAAATGTTACATTGGGGTTGCATAGACAGAATACTTTTTATGTCAAATGCGTTCATTAATAAGGTTAACACTTTTAAAAAAGAAACATTTAGTACTGTTTATATTCCTAATCTTCAAATGATTTTTTTTATTTCACTTCTTCAGATAACTTCTTCAATAGACTGCAAAGCGCAACGTTGCAAAGCTCACTTCTACAACCCTAGTCACCAATGACAGTGCACCACCATATTCCTTTGCTCACCAGTTGAAACAAACTACCGCCCTCGAGTCAGAAGGCTGTCCTCATCGTCCAACACACAACGGTAACATCACCCCAGGACTTCAGCCCTCCGGTGATACCTGGTTCAGCGAAGACTAGGCCTTGGGGAGTGTTTACGGCTCTGTCACCAAAACAGCATTGTGGCAGAAGTATGCAACACCAGCATATACATGTAATGTATCGGGACCTTTACAGGGTAAGGAAAGATTGCCAAACTAAAATGTTTGAAAAAGCCTAACTCTACTGTACAGAGTTATTTCAAGCTCCTCCTGATAGATGGCTGACCTCGGCCACTACACTATTGATTCCCACAAAATTGGCACACCTGGAGTAAATTGGCAATTCTATGACATATCTTTTTGCTTTGAAAATGTTACATTGGGGTTGCATAGACAGAATACTTTTTAGGTCAAATGTGTTCATTAATAATGTTAACACTTTTAAAAAAGAAACATTTAGTACTGTTTATATTCCTAATCTTTAAATGATTTTTTTAATTTTACTTCTTCAGATAACTTCTTCAGATGACTGCAAAGCGCAACGTTGCAAAGCTCATTTCTACAACCCTAGTCACCAATGACAGTGCACTACCATATCCCTTTGCTCACCAGTTGAAACAAACTACCGCCCTCGAGTTAGCCTATCCGATATGCGTCAGGCTTTACAAGTAATCTAATCGCGTTTATATGGAGAGTAACATTGGCACGGTCAGCCCGAGCGCCTATCATCACTGGTACACGCGAAAAGTTTTATTTTCTTTTATGTACCTTGTTTTGTTCGTAGAAAATCTACGAACCCCCTGCAAGGCTCTTTCATGAATATTTGTGTGGCAAGGACAAAAATAGGCCAATGAGCGATGAGGAACGCGGAGATGATATTTGATTGGTTGAATCAAAGTGATCGGTCACCAAATAAGGCTAGTCTTATGAATCATGCATGAGAATACGCTCGTCACACATACGATACACATATATGAATAATGATGAGTTGACCAGTGATGATAGGCGCTCGGGCTAACGCCCGCGCCGATGTCAGTCTCCCAAACGCGATTAGTACACTTGCCATTTTGCCTGACGCCTATCGGATAGGCTACCCTCGAGTCAGAAGGCTGTCTTCATCGTCCAACACACAGCGGTAACATCACCCCAGGACTTCAGCCCTCCGGTGATACCTGGTTCAGCGAAGACTAGGCCTTGGGGAGTGTTTACGGCTCTGTCACCAAAACAGCATTGTGGCAGAAGTATGCAACACCAGCATATACATGTAATGTATCGGGACCTTCACAGGGTAAGGAAAGATTGCCAAACTAAAATGTTTGAAAAAGCCTAACCCTACTGTACAGAGTTATTTCAAGCTCCTCCTGATAGATGGCTGACCTCGGCCACTACACTGTTGATTCCCACAAAATTGGCACACCTGGAGTAAATTGGCAATTCTATGACATATCTTTTTGCTTTGAAAATGTTACATTGGGGTTGCATAGACAGAATACTTTTTAGGTCAAATGCTTTCATTAATAATGTTAACACTTTTAAAAAAGAAACATTTAGTACTGTTTATATTCCTAATCTTCAAATGATTTTTTTTAAATTCACTTCTTCAGTTAACTTCTTCAGATGACTGCAAAGCGCAACATTGCAAAGCTAACTTCTACAACCCTAGTCACCAATGACAGTGCACCACCATATCCCTTTGCTCACCAGTTCAAACAAACTACCGCCCTCGAGTCAGAAGGCTGTCCTCATCGTCCAACACACAGCGGTAACATCACCCCAGGACTTCAGCCCTCCGGTGATACCTGGTTCAGCAAAGACTAGGCCTTTGGGGGGTGTTTACGGCTCTGTCATCATAACAACATTGTGGCAGAAGTATGGAACACCAGCATATACAGGGTAAGGAAAGATTGCCAAACTAAAATGTTTGTAAAAGCCTAACCCTACTGTACTGAGTTATTTCAAGCTCCTCCGGATAGATGGTTGACCTCGGCCACTACACTGTTAGATTCCCACAAAATTGGCACACCTGGAGTAAATTGGCAATTCTATGACATATCTTTTTGCTTTGAAAATGTTACATTGGGGTTGCATAGACAGATCACTTTTTATGTCAAATGCGTTCATTAATAAGTTTAACACTTTTAAGAAAGAAAAATTCAGTACTGTTCATATTCCTAATCTTTAAATGATTTTTTAAAATTTCACTTCTTCAGATAACTTCTTCAGATGACGGCAAAGCGCAACGTTGCAAAGCTCACTTCTACAACCCTAGTCACCAATGACAGTGCACCACCATATCCCTTTGCTCACCAGTTCAAACAAACTACCGCCCTCGAGTCAGAAGGCTGTCCTCATCGTCCAACACACAACGGTAACATCACCCCAGGACTTCAGCCCTCCGGTGATACCTCGTTCAGCGAAGACTAGGCCTTGGGGAGTGTTTACGGCTCTGTCATAACAGCATTGTGGCAGAAGTAGCCTCGATCTCGACCAAGACATTTTGAATGCCACTCTGTATGGCTCGGCATACTTTTTTTTTTTTATTCATACTAACGTGTGTTCATGTCCATTTTTCCACCTCTGACTTACAGTTATTTTCTGATACCATGTTTCTGTGTGATTTTAGTCTTATTTTTACTGGTATGACAATGTAAACATATACTTTTGTTCCACACAAGATATTTTGGGATTTTGTGTGCACTTCCATGTAACTACATGTATTTTTATACCATAGTTTTTGTTTCTGATTGTTCAATTCCTTTTACGCTCTCATTCCTTTATAGTTGTATCTTATTTGAGACAGAGGAAGAGATAGGGTGAATAGTAGAGAGAGAGAGAGAGAGGGGGGGGGGGGGATGCAGAAACAAAGCGCCATTCATGATGTATTTTATTACATTTGTGTTTTAACTTTGCACATACATTGCAAGATTTTGGGAATTTAACACGTTTATTTTTCTGTAAGTTTGTAAATCCTTGTATTCACACAGTGTTTTGAGTGATATATTGTAAAGATAGATCTTATGCATGCTCCTTGGGGAAAAGAAGTTATACATGCATGTCACTTATCTTATCTTGGCATTACCATAATTCTTATATTGGTTGATGTTGCTGATATATGAAACAGAATCTGATGGATATCATTGATAACAGTTACTGTTTGTCTTCTTTTTAACATCAGGATAACAGATCTTATTAGTACAGCGAAAGACAATGCACTGTAATTTGTTATATTGTCATATATTACACGATTATGATTTTCAATGGCACATGTTTGTACACTACAATTTTATGTCTTTAGAGGTCACATATCCAGTTTGTTTCGTGAATAGTCAATATTGGATTATGATTATAATGTCAGTTTGTTTGCAACATTTACCCCATATATAGTGGTACCTTACGATCAACTGTCAATATCTACTGCATTCACTATACATAGCAGTGTCTTGCTTGCTGTAACAAAGAGGTATATAGGGCTGTTAGGGATTATCCATAATGTACATTGTTTTTTAGTTTTATTGTTATTGTGTTTATCTGAACTTATATCTCACTTGCTATGTAGGGGGCCTTTCATATAATCAGTAGGTATCTTGTTTATGTACCTGTTTTATATATGTATTCCATTTCTGTTAAATATATATACATGTTAAAATACCCTTTTCAGAGATTTCTACAATGCTGCTCTTTTCAGTATGTGCTTTTATTTTAGTATATCAAATTTAATTGGATATGCTGTTTTTAAAATCTATTTCTTTTAAAATGTGTTTGAAGATGATAGGTGATTACCATTTGTAATATTGCATTGCGGTTCTTTTTTAGATCGCCAAGGAAATAGCGTGATGTTAAGTTTGTGCAGAATGTCATTTACATGCATGTAGATAGGTCTATGCAATTTAGCTTTGACTTTGGTTTGATAAGCTTTGTTTAGTGCTTTGAACATGATTTTAACAATGAATAGACCTGTTTACTAATGTTCTTCATTTCATGTTTCTCTCTATAGTACATGGTAGGGGTGAAATAAGAATACAAAGGTTAGAAGGAAAAGTTAAAGAAGATTGGGGAACACTGGAAGACATAATAGAGGGAGAACGAGAGTCAGAGGCGGAAAAGGGAGAGGGTGAGAGAGTTTAACAAAAGAAAAGGGCAGAGATAGATCGAGACATCGCAAGAGAGAAAGAGAGAGGCAAGGAAGGAGTGAAGGGAGAGGGTGAATAGTAGAGAGAGAGAGAGAGAGGGATGCAGAAACAAAGCAAGAGAGAGGGGCAGAACAAGAGAGGAGAAGGGGAACATAGCAAGAGAGAGGAGAAAGAGATGCAATCGAGGCACTCTACTAGCATAAATAGATTTGAATATTTACTATATAGAGAAAGGGAAAAGTTATATAGACATAGACGATGATGATCATGATGATGATGAACATGAAGGTGATGGTAATGATAATGTTAGATGATGATAATAATGATAATGTTAATGATAATGATTATGATGTTGATGATCATCAGACCATCACGATGATGATGATCATGATGATATTGATGATGATGATCATGAGCGTGATCCTGACATCTTAATGAAAAAATGAGGGGTGGTTTAGATAGCATATAGTCTCAGCTACAACATACTCGAAAATCAACAAAATCCAAGCATAAATAACGGCGAAATTGCTCGCAAAAGACAGGAATGTAGAATCCAGATTTGAGAAAAAGTCATCTCGCATAGGGATTACTAGTCCAGAATCTGCACGGTCCTTATTTTCCCTACACACTTGATTCAAGCCGTCGAAGATGGCGTTATCAACAAACTCATAACAATGCTCACCAGCCCAGCCTTTTTCGCCGGGCGTCCTAATTTAATGATCACGCCATCATCGGCTGGTAGCAAGTAAGTAGGGAGAGGTAGCGTCAGTGTGGTGGAGATCAAAACATATGGCTCCGGTTAGTCTCATTTCACAACGCCCCCTATCGTCAGAGCATGATCAGAGACAGCAGCCTAACATGTTAGCCTATGGACGTTTTTTTAAAAAATCGTTAAAAATTCATTTTTTGTTTAAACGAAAAGCACATCCACCCCGACGTACGTTATCATTAGCTCTTTCATTGGAGCCCTCATGTCTCATTGACTTTTGAAAGTTCACCCACCGTAATTTTTCAAAATAGGTTGCAAGCTCGTCATTGCCTATAATACACATGTGAAACAAGTCTAACTTTGGACTCAGTTTACCAAGCGATTTGAAGATTATAGGTCGAGCACACGAAACATAAAAAGCATGAATTATCATAGATCACTTCTGCCTATTTCATTATGTCTATTTCATCCAACCCCCACCGTAATTTTTCCATTTAGTAAAAGCAAACATTTTGCCGAGTTTAGCAAAAACATGAATATTCATGAACGGTCAGACAATACAGCCTTTATAGTACGTAACGTATAGTGAATGGAATGGGCGATGATCCGTTCAGGAGGTAGAGGTCAGTGGTTTGTGCTGGTAATGTTCACGCGAGCGAAAATGAGACAATCGGAGCAATATGATTAAATAGGCCAGATTCTGGACTAAGGGATTACACGCCAAAAGTAATGGATCAAGTGATAATAGGGTAATAATAAAGTAAATAGGGTTGTTTATTACATTATTTGCGATTCTACGTGATTCAATATTCAAAGGAGACGGTACTGTACAGTGAAAGGTCGAATAGACAAAAAAAGTGAAGGAGAAAATTGTTGGAGACGCCCGGACTCGAACCAGGGGTCTCGAGGTCCGAAGTCAAGTGCGTTACCGATATACCAAAACATTTCCCATAGCGATTAAACGTAAACGAGAAATGGAATTCTCAAATCCCACGTTGCAAGTGAAATATGAGCATGATCTCGGCATCTGATCGAAAAATAAAGGGCACACTTGTGATAGCTTATTGTCTCAGCTACAACATACTCAAAGCTCAGCGTAAACAAAGATAAAACGACGGAGATATTGCTCGCGAAAGACGAAAATGTAGAATCCAGTTTTGAGAAAAAGTCATGTCCCATAGAGAATACACGCAAAATGTGAAAAATTGACATGCCTCCTTTAATCGCAAAAATACGCCATGATGCCTTTGTCAAAATGAAATATCGTGGTGACTGCATTTGTAGAGAATATTCTAAGGTAGAACATATCAAAATTTGAAAGAAAATTGATCAACATTTGCAGAGATACAATCAATTTTCCAAAAATCTGCTGACGTCATAATATGAAAATTGAAATTTTGAGTTCGGAGGCCATTATGATGACGTCATGAGTTAATTGAGGGTCAAATGAAACATGAAATCATATCTCCGATTCATACTCTATCAAAATATGAAAAAAAACTTGGGGTCACCTTACATCCTAAAGCGCTACAATGGATTTTGTACAGGCATGTTTTTGCCCATGTATGCTATGTATTACAAAAGCTCGCGCGCACGGTAATTATCTTAAATGGACGCTCATTCCGTTATTAATGGGCAGAAAAAGTTGAACAAGGTATCAAATTGCTTGAAAAAATGTGCCAAATATGATGAAAGAAAAAAATTGGCGATTCTATGTTGGAAGATGCAATTACGCGCGAAAACGCGCGCGCATGTGCGTGCGCGCGTTTTTTTTGCAAAATGCTTAAAATGGCCTGAAACGTATAGAAAATTAATTTGGAACGAATTTGAGCATTTAAAAATTTTAATGCGCGCGTACGTGCGCGTCGAAGTGCGCGCGCAAAATTTGATGAAATTTTTAGTTGACCTTTGACCTGAAGTTGATGTATATCAAATATGGTTGATTTTTGATGACTCGTTATTGAGATATGATAATGACCTGATTTTTACAAAATGGCGCCTGGATGACGTCACGATGACCTAATGACCTTGAAAAAGTTGATTTAACTTGAAATCATAGGGTTTGATGACTGACAGAAATTTGAAGGAAATTGACCATGTCGATTTCGAGTGAACGTGTGTACAAAAAAGTGTACGGAAGAAATAAAAATAAATAAAGAATAAAGAATAAATAAAGAAAGAAAATTCTAACGAAATCAATAGGTGATCTGTCGTTGACAGACCACCTAATAATCATGAAATTAAACTGCAAGTATAAAACCCATGAAGACACCTTCAATCTGATATCAAAAGTGCATAATGTAATACTATAGATCAGTCTCTCTTTCTCTCTCTATCTCTAACCCTCTTACTTCATTTTCCTCTCCTTCCCTCCCCCTATTGCACATAATGTAATGTATTAATAACAATAAAAAAATAATAATATTAATAAAACCATTATTTTCTCTAAAACATACCAACTGTCTACAGAGAAGGAACAGCAAATATTAATGAACATATCCATTAATTAAACCCTTATAGGGAAATCTTACAGAGGCAATATCGTATTTTGAAGTAAATACAAATATACTTTTATGTACTATTACTATCCGCCTTTGTTTTGGTTAAACTCCAGACAATGATGAGATGACTTGTAGAGCAAAACAAATAATGATGTAACCAAGCCTCATCCATGTACTTCAAAAGTTTTTGCCCATCAGGACATCTTCAGTAATTTAATAAATCTGTGAAACAGATAATGCCATTTCAACAAAAAACAAGATATATACACTTATTTTTTTAAACCGAAATATCCCCTAAACCATGCTTACAGTGGAACCTCATCATAAAGAGCTCTGATCTGATGTAACAAGGAATCCCTTATAACAAGGTGATCTTGCAGGTCCTAGCTCTTTATATTCTTTTGTTTTTTACCCTGATATAACAAGGTAATTTCCTTGGTCCCAAAGGCCTTGTTTAAACCAATTTCCACTACACCTACAATGTGGAATGTGGATATCAATATGAAGAGTACATGATGCACACATAGATATACTGTATCAAGTTTCACTCAGAATTATGTAAATACATGCATAAGTGTATGAGATTCATCAAGATCCTACCTGTTTTGATTATACTAATTACTTAAAATACATGAATAAAATACATGATTTGAAGGCACCCTTACCTTGACCTTAATGGCACATTCACATACCAGTATGCGTTGGTTTTTGTGTACTACACAAATGGCAAGCGTGGGTGAAAAAATAGGTTACATGCCACAAAGGTCCTTTGCATACTTACTTATCTTTGTATCAAAAGATACAAAATTTGTACCGAAAGATACAAAATTTGTACTTAAAACAAATCCTGCATAAAATGGGTAAATGAGCCTTACCTCTAACCCTATATATTGTGGGGTATGTTGCAGTTAAGTGTAGGACATGATTACTATGGTTTTATCAACTCAGGAGGTCTTTAACAAAAAGTGTAATATATTCTTGTTTTAGTGGACAATATACACTGAGGAGCAAAGTATCAAGCATATTTTACTGCAATTTCTTGAAGGCATCTATAAATGGTTGTTGCTAACTAGCACTAGTGATGCGCATCTGTTCTCCAGAGCGCTTCATATGAGTATTTGATCCTGGTTTAGGCCAGTCTGAGGGAGGCTCTGATCTCAATTCCCACAGACAAGAATTTCCCGTGGCAAGCTCGGCTTCTCGTTGGTCCAGAGATTTCTGTATGAAAAGAAAGAGGCAGTAAACATCGGAATAAAAAGGTGATGCAAATAATGCCTACTCTTTGAAAATAAAAGAGCAGTCCTTTTGAAGTGATGTTAGAAATCTTTTTTAAAACACCACTTTTGTCCATCCTGACTTAAGATTAAAACCTCATATTATTAGAAATTTGTCTCCCTTTTATTTCACAAGCCACAAAAATGATAAATAAATATAAAACAAAAACATTTTCAACAGCTGATTGGTTTTAAAATCATTTTCTCCTTAAAATATAAATGGTATATATATATATATATATATATATATATATCTCCCTACCTCCTTTCCCGCAAAAGGTGGGCTGTATGTATACCCCCCCCCCCTTCCGCTGGGATTTACACCCATGCCCCTCTTACTTTGGCCTCTGAACATGTGTCCCTCTTCAGACAAAGACCATAATCTTCTTTGAGTTGAGAGCAGTCTCTCCTCTCTCCATACACATAATAGCTGTGGAACTGACTCCCTAAAGCTGTGATATAAGCCAATGGAAGAATAAAACAGGAAAAAAATTCAGAGGCAATGTTTTTTTTTTAGCTCTTTTAGAGGAAACCAAGTGGTCCCTGTATTACGCCTTTCGGAATTGGAGAATTCAAAAGACGTCGAGCTAACAAGTGACAAATATTTGTTCACGAATGTTATTTTTGCATGTATTAGAATTAGAACACTCACCATCGGGCACTCATCACATTAGGATATCAAAAATATTAGTAAACTCTACATTGACTTTAATAAACCCTCACTATATCCTACTATCAGAATAAGATTAAAAACAAACAAACAAAAAAGAGATTTTATCTACACATCAGCAACATCTATGTAAAGACAAGAGCAAAGGTTGTTCAGTTGTTTTCATCAATTACTGTTTCATTTAAGCATCAATAAAAACTGGATTCAGAGGTAGGCAGCTAGCCTAGACAACATAAAAAATCATCAAGTAGACTACTTACATTTACAGTCTAGCCAACTTCCCAAGTAGCTCTTACATGCTTCCTCGGGGTTCTGTAGGTAGAGATAGATCAGGTGGATATAACAAATTAAAAATGGAAAATCTATACCCAATATGTAATTTAATTATGATTAATGTTCAAAAGACAAAAGAAGATCATAAATCGTCCAATCCTGGGCTGAAGGTTTCTCATAAATGAAATAGATTTGTCATCTTCTATATGTCAGTATTTTAAAATTAACTAGTTACAATTGTTCCCCTGTATATATTTTTCACCAAATATAATTTCTATCCTCTCAATCTCAGCTATGATTTTTCCTCATTGAAAAGTAAATTAGGTTTTGTTATTGATTTCAATGATCTTTTCAACTAAGGCTTGGTGCATGAATGATACATGTACAACTTCAGCTGGTACATCACATTTTCAAGAAAAGAATATCTTCATATCTCTTTCATTTTCATAAGGATTATTGTACATCAATGATCATTTTTCAGAACAACTACCCTTGTTCTTTGGGATGAGGTTTGTTTTGAATTTGTTGCATGCCAGCAAGTTTACAAAGCCACTTTAGCGGGGAAAGGATGAGACAGGAATCATTATTATCAGACATGACTATATGTTCCTCACTTCACACCCCCCCCTCCCCCTCCCCAAGTACAATCATGTTAGACCTAATTGGTATTAAATTGGGGACATAATAATGGATACTGTCAATATACCAGTAGTAGGTCTACTTTCAGATATTATGAGCAAATATGTCTTGACTATGTTGACCACACGTAAAGGTAACAGAGCCGATGAACGATATCCCTTCCTCGGCACCGATCCGACGACCACACCCATCTTGGTTCGTGGGTCTGGGACCACTGGGTCTCATGGTCTGGTCAGCTGGTCGGGGGGTTCCCCGATTCGCAAAACTAAGATCGAAGAATTAAAGTTGGACTTAATTCAGTCTACATTAAAAACACAATAACAACGCATCCCCATTACATCGTCTATACTGACCGTCATGCTTTAATGATACTGTCAGTCTTTTTTCTCTCCCTGTCGTTTTCTAAGCCACCAACAAAAATCAGTAACAACAGCATGAAAGCACAGGGCGCAGACATTTTAGATGAATTTTTCTCGTTGCGTTTAATTTCTCGCAATGCACGAGATTTTATTATAAAATTATAGAGACATTTCGTCCAAAATCATCTCGCATGACCAAAATACGCTATCTAACATTTAATTATTATCATTTTATCAAGAACAACACTGAGGTAAAATGATAATTGAAGACAAAAATTAAGTCATTGATGAAAAAAAAACCCTGATTGATTGAAAAGTACTCATAATAACGTATTTTTATCATTTTGTGTCTATATAGCTCCTAGTTTAAACTCTCATCTCCCTGCATAGAGTATATATTGGCAGAAAAGAGTAGGGGCGAGAGAGAATTAGAGAGAGGGAGTGAGAGAAAGAGAGAGAGAGAGAAAGAGAGAGAGAGAGAGAGAGAAAGAGACTATGGAGAGAGATAAACAATGCAGTCTGGGGTCCCCCGTCCCCTTCCTGGGCACAATCGTTACCAGTTATAATGAATAATGGAAAAACAGCATCTCATATTCAGGCAGCGTGGTTGCCTCTTTGTAAATTTCGCATATCCTATAATCTATATAATTTTGGTGTTTCTTCTTTTTTCCTAGCTGCTTATTATCAGGGGCGGATCCAGGGATTTCTTCCCAGGGGGGCACACGGGGGGGGGGGGGGGGGGGGGGGGGGGGGGGGGGGGGGGGGGGGGCACACGAGGGGTAAGAGCACAATTTTTTTTCTTTTTGCTCCCGAATATTTGAAAATCGCGCTGGCCGCAAATTCGCTCAGTGGTGGGGGGGGGGGGGGGGGGGGAGTGCGCACTAATTCTTGTTGGGGGGGGGGACGGGGGGCAGGTCCCTGTTTGCAAGTACATTTTTCGCGTATTTTTTGGCTGATTTCAACATTTTTTTGCCGGGGGGGGGGGGGGCTGCCCCCTGTGCCCCCCCCCCCAAGATCCGCCACTAAATATATGTGTTCGGTTAATTGTCTGGATATTTTTGGGCTTTTGGTAAACTACATGGGGTATGGACTATGTTGCGTGTTAACTAGTAATCCCACATAATTCCCTTTTTTAATTAAACTACTAAAAAGCAGTATCCCTCCAGACAAGAAAACACTTAATAAATGATCACATCCAGACAAATTGATTATGGTTAAAAACTGGTTCTATATTCTATAATTTCACATAAGATACAATGATTACAGGATTATCAGAAACCTCTTCTGTCTATCTCAACAGTGACAGACAATTAATTCACTAGGCCCTTGGTAGTTACTATTAATAATCAAACATAGATAACTTCCAACAGCACATTAATGTAAAGGAGACTCAACTTAGTCACTATGGTATTAATGATTACCGCTGAATACAAGTCTCGAAATATCAGGAGTCTAGCTGTTCAGTACAACTTAAAACAGTATTAAAACAAGTCAGTTAAATATCATTCACACTGCATGAATAATAACAGTCAAGAAAATACTACTCAAATCTAAGCTAGACAGCGTTTAGATTTACTTACATAGGCACGAAATATTGTGGTTCAAGAAACCGCTAAACAAATCTCTACTTGTGTATGTGTACGGAATGCACAACACGAGAATACAACAATATATCGGTGGATCTAGACTATAGCAGATCTAGATCAGTAGACCAGGCATAGGCCTAGAACTAGTGCAATTATAAACATGTAAAATATGTGTTAGTAAGCGTACGCACTCAACAACAGGCACTCAGTCAGTCAAAATAAGGCCTCACAATGATAAACAATGCAAAGCATAAATCACAATATAATTAACGTTACGTGAGTCATTGGAGTTGAATTCAAAGTAGATCTTCTTCAAGTTCTAGGTAGATGTAGAAACTAGCTAGTCGAAAACAGTGGTCGATGAGCTGGTTGTCGATCGCGTAGGATATGCAGACGATGATCGACGCTAGGTGAATACCACGATGATGAAGACGATGTTGAAGACAACGATGATGACAACAATGATGAAGACGACGCTGGTGAAGACAGCGATGATGAAGTCGACGATGAAGACGACGCTGGTGAAGACAGCGATGATGAAGACAACGGTGTTGAAGACAACGATGATGAATCAGTTAACAGATGAATACAATGATGATGCAGTCAATGTCAATAGATCAACTTCAGTGACTTGCGATGCAGGTCGAAGAATCAAATGTCGAGACAATATATATGAAGTCGATGATAAAAGGTTGTCAAACAATAATGCAGGTGAGAAAAACGTTAGATCATATTAAATGTTCTATTCTCACTGCTGGTGAATTAAAGTGTCGTCAATGTTGAACATCGAGAGAGTCAAAATATATCTTGCAAAACGTACAAGATGTAAATAGGTCAGCACGTCCACCGGGAATGGTCCGGGGACGTAGCAGTTCAATCATCGTTGGATACAATTTTCTAGGTACAAATATCAACACAATAACAGCATGTGTGTATACCAATATTAAAACAGCTCACTGATTCCCGCACAGGAAAATCAGAAGAGCGCCAATCAACTACAGCGCGATTGGTTCAAAACAAGCGCACATGTATCATGTATGTTAATAAGGCACGTGATCTAAATACTTATGAATAAATACGCGTACATCTATGTTAATTGGTCATGTGATCAAAATACTAATGAATAAACATCGTTATATAATAAATCGAGTTAAAACCAGTTCTGAGGACATGGCGTAATACCAAATCCTCGAACTCTCAATGACTTCTAAAGCGGCCATTTTGGATTAAAAACACAATATGTATACCAGTGAATTATAAATGAATGCACTGTAACATTTGTCGCTACAGGCTCATGCCCCCAAACCGACCCCCTTCCTGGCTCTTGCAGAAAAGTCCTGTCCACTTTCCGGTCGAAAACAGCGGTCATATCATAAAGATATCTCCATTTAGTTCTGAAAATATCATATCGGTAGCAAAACCTGATTGAATTAACTTTGGGTGTTTGATGTTGGCCGAGATAGTAGTTTCATTGCCACACGAGATTGTTGTCTTTTAAATTTTGCTGCTCCCGAAGCACAGTCATTTTATAACACAAAATTAGCCCTTCGAACATTCTTGTAACCGGAAGCGTTATTTTTTTATGCGGCACAGATTGGGGCATGGCGCGTGTCGAGCCTATGCGGGAAGTACGTTCTTTCCCTTCTGAATAGTGTCTGCACGTACGTGAGACTAGTCGTGTTCGCTAGCGCATTAGCGCTGCAAAGAAGTTTGAATATCCATCGCGAACTATGTGTTTAGATAACATTCCTCTTCGTTTAAGTTAGTTAAGTTTTATTGACTAATTATTGTGATGTTCTCCTTATTGACGTGCTGCCTCCTCTTCAGATTTCCAATTTCATTTTAATTGTTGATGTAATGATTTTCCATACGGTAGTGGATTACATGTAACACTATTAAAAACAGACCTCTACTACTTATACCTGAATTATACTGTCTAGTACGCACACGACCACTATTAGTCTGTAAATCAAGACCCCTTTTAAAAAAAAGCCCCAATCTGTGCCGCATAAAAAAATAACGCTAACCGGAAGAGTTTTGCGTGGCATGCAGCTAGCTGTTGAAATGTACGTGTGGAAGTAAAGGTGCCGATCTCGCGAGTACGAGTGTCTGCTCAGGAATCATCGGATCGTATCCTAAATCAAGTTCTTTGATTTGACATTAAGGTCTACTGCTAGTAATTTCAGCACGATTTCATGAAAACTTTCATTTTCATCCAATGATCGGAGATGTAAGTATTCCAGGCCCGGTCAAGGCTCACCAATCATTACGTTGGTACAATGAATGATTCGGTGTCACGCAGTAGCAAATTAGTTCGCGTTCGCCCACGGCCATCGGCATCGGCCCGGGCCGGGTCAAATCTATCCACTCTCAGTCTCAGACTCAGCCTCGGTGAAATAACGTTGATGGGAGGGGATGAGTGACGTGACTCGTTAACTCACACTAACTTGCATCACAATAATCAGTATTTTTACTTGACTTGCAATTGTTGTCGAAGTTGCGTCTAGTCTGGTGCGAACATAGACAGAAATAACCATCTGATTTGGGTCATTTCTTTAATAAAAATGACATTTGTTGACATTCCCCAATACAGATGGTAACCTAGACAGCAATAACCATCTGATTTGGGTCATTTCTTTAATAAAACTGACATTTGTTGTCATTCCCCAATACAGATGGCAACCCAGAGATCTCGTACCGTGGGGATGGCTATGTACATATTTTCGTCCGCGACATTTTCTCCCCGATTTTCTTTATTTATAATTTAGATCTAATTTTCTGATTTCTAAATCAGATGTAAATTAGGTCAGTATGTCATTTGTCCTAATTACAATTATCAAAATTTGATAACTTAATATTAAATACGTAATTTACGGACTTACTTATATGAATTATCCAATTTGTATCTCAGATCCGCGAAGCAGTACGTTCATGCATTCGAAATATTACCCGGCGGCCGATATATTTCCGGGTCCACCTACCAAAACATAGCCAAATGGCCAATCAGAGCACTCGTTTCGTGGGAGTTCGTTGGTCAAGCTGGGCCGACTCGTAGCGTAGCTACGGTAGCTATTGGACGTTCGAAAAGAAAAAATGAATATTCATCAACTAAAACCAAGACGGATAATGTTGACGACGAGACTTTCTCGGATTAATCATTAATTTAGGATCTAAATGAGCAAGCTATCGTAAGTCAAATAAGCTATATATATGTTATTTTAATTTGTGTTGTAATTGCAGCAGTTATGAGGATGTAAAGAGTGAAAATCTCGTTGCATATCTCATTCATCGCGGTCCGGTCGAACCGAACCATTTGTTCCGTACAGTGCCTCACAGAAAGAGGTCCCCAGACTTCAGTCTCTATAATCGGAGGTCTAGTGGAGCCAGACGTAGTCTCAGTGGAACAACCGACGATTAGAGAGACTGAAGCTTTCGGTCTAATGGTAACCCAGAGATCTCGTACCGTGGGGTAGCTAGAGCCAACAATGTACATGTACATCTTTTCGTTCAAAACATTTTCTCCCCGATTTTCTTTATTTAGATCTAATTTTCTGATTTCTAAATCGGATGTAAATTAGGTCGGTATGTCATTTGTCCTAGACTAATTGCAGTTATCAAAATTTGATAACTTAATATTAAATGTATAATTTACGGACTTACTTATATGAATTATCCAATTTGTATCTCAGAATTGTGAAACAGTACGTTCATGCACTCGAACATAGGGCTATATGACCCGGCGGCCAAAATATTTCCGGGTCAACCTACCAAAACATAGCCAAATGACCAATCAGAGCACTCATTTCGTGGGAGTTTGTTGGTCAAGCCGGGCTGACTCGTACGTAGCTACGGTAGCTATTGGACGTTCGAAAAGAAAAAATGAATATTCATCAACTAAAACCAAGACGGATGATGTTGACGACGAGACTTTCTCAGATTAATCATTAATTTAGGATCTAAATGAGCAAGCTATCGTAAGTCAAATAAGCTATATATATGTTATTTTTAATTTTTATTATAATTGCAGCAGTTATGAGGATGTTAAGAGTGAAAATCTCGTTGCATATCTCATTCATCGCGGTTCGGTCGACCGAACCATTTGTTCCGTACAGTCCCGTACAGTCCCGATAGGCCATACTTGTGTCTATATAATCGGAGGTCTAGTGGAGCCAGATGTAGTCTCAGTGGAACAACCAACGACTAGAGAGACTGAAGTTTTCGGTCTAGTGCGAACATAGACCAAATTTTTCTGTCTCTTTCGTTTGTTAGCCTCTGATTTGTAAATAGCATTGCACCATGCACCTTGCTCTCGTAAGCACACACACACTCATCAGTCTGCAAGAATCTTCAACTGTGAAGGAGGTAGACTTAACCCAAAGAAGAAGAAGAAGAAGAAGAAAGGAGAGCCGACCCTACCCAAATCAGAGGCTAACGAACGAAAGAGACAGAAAACTTCGGTCTAATGCGAACATGGCAAAATCCCCCCCCCCCAAAAAAAAGGCAGCAAGAGTAATAAACAGATAAGAATTAAGATGATGCAAAAATTGAAACTTTTTCAATTTCAGTTCTGACCTCCATATTTCATTTTTATCTCTTAGAATAGATCTAGATCTAATTACTAGATCTAGATCTAAATTTTTCTTATGTTATGGCTTAATATTAAAGCAAGGTCCTCCTATTCATTATTTTCGGACAATTTCTTTTTTGTATCTTATTCTTGGTTTTATTTCCTGGAAAACATGACGACATGACAGTTAATCATCTTTTTTTTTTTTGCCCCTAACATAGGGGTGCGCCTTAAACACAGGTGCGCCTTATACACAGAGATTTACGGTATGTGGGTTTTTGTAATGCAGATCTCTCTGTGTATGTTTTAGGAAAATATGAAATTCCAATAAGACCTTTAAAAATTACATAAACTCATATTGATTATCATTTGTTTTCTCTTCTTTATGAAGGTAATTCTGCTACAATTTTTCGGCTAAACCATCCCGCCTCTAAGCTAGCATCACCATGTGGCCATGGAACAAGACTCTTCCATAGTGGAGGAAGGAGCAGACAACCCTTACGTCACGCAGTATGGAGATCCTTACGATGACTATCCTATATTCACCGCCCATGACTCCGATCTTAACCTGCTAGGTATAGGACTACGTTCCGGGACTTCCACAAGTGGGTCCCTCTCTGAACTAGACATCTCCCTTCCATCAACAGACCTGGACTTGGAGACGAGAATCTTTGGAAGGCAGAAGAAGAAGACTGCGGATGTGACGCAGAAGCGGAACAGCTTAGGGCCATCAGGAAACTTCGTCCAGGAACCAAGAAAAGCAGGAAGTGCTTCAAGACGTTCCCTTCATATGGGTGACTCCGATCCAGAGGGTCATGTTTTTCATCCGGAGATAGTGCCATTTGAGCCGTCAAAAAATCCTTTTACAAACAGCCCAAAAGATCCAAGGAAGCTGCTAGAATCTAAAGGAGAACAATCCTCTGTCAAGTCTGATCCCAACACTGCAAGATACCTGAAGATTCTGATTCCGCAGAGGGACTCTCTCACAGCAGAAGAACCGACTGCAGAGACCTCTGTCAACCTTTTTGAATCGCTCAACATATCTGCTGCTGAACGGCTCCTCTTGGAGAGCCCCACAGACTCCCCATCTCACTTCAAACAGGCACAGCTCCGCCTGGACACTGCAGATTCCGAGCTTGAAGGATCCTTCGTTGGACCGGAGAAAGATCACCTGCTCCTCTCCAGTAGTACTCCAAGAAAACAAGACTTCACAGTGTATCCAAACCAATCTATCCATAAATCAGACTCAAGATCTTCTCAAGATATTAAAACAGAAATATTTGATTTTGAGGCAGAGTTGAAGAAACTTGTAGTGGACATTTATTCAGACAGGGAACCAGACTTTGCTCCTGTACCAGGTTCTTCAAGCAGCAAGGAGTGCGTACAGTCAACTGATTTCAAAATGAGCGAGGCCAGATCAGAATTGGAGAAAGCATTCGGTGGAGGTGAGTAATGTTCTGCATCTTCATATTCAGTTCATAGTGCTGTACATCACGGATATCTCCAATTCCGTTTAACCGCCAGTCAAAACCGGACAGTTTTCGGTTAAACGATTATTAAAAAATTATTTAAAAAAAAAAAAAAAAAAAAAAAAAAAAATCATTTTTTTGTTTTTGTTTTGAAAGCCAGGTTCGTGCGAAAAAGCGGGAAGGACTTTCATTTAACTGTGAGGTGCATTTGAAGGCGCTGATTTGTGCTTGTGAACTTGTCACAAATAATAGTAACAATTTTGTTTTTAGAAGAATGTGTAAGATCATTAATGTAAATTAAAAACAGTAGAGGACCTAGGATAGAACCTTGTGGTACGCCGTGTGTAAAAGTTGGATGAATTATTATTATAAACTTCATATTGAGATCTATTACAAAGATTACTTTCAAACCAAGATGACAGACAAATTGGAGTGTTGTTCTAGTTTCAGAGTGGTGAGTCAACACACAGATTACTGAGCTGGGAGACAATGCCAGGCATAGTGGCAGATGGGGGGCCATAATTCGAAACTTTAAAAAAAAAAAAAAAAAAAAATTATAAAAAATTAATTATAAAAAACAAATGTGATGACCCTATGATTCACAAAGTAAAGCCCAATGAAGCACTTTTTAGACAGTCACTTGCATTATTGGTTGATTTTTTTTTTAATTTGTAAAATGTTAAGAAAGACAGGAATTTCATGAATCCAGGTGTAACAGTGACTAAATAATCTTGTGACTCACAAACAGATTAAAAAATCATTGAATGAAAAATAATAATAATAATAATTATATTTGCTTATATAGCGCCTAACACTTACTTTATCAGAAGTCTCTAAGCGCTCTACAATAATGCAGCATAATTACCCTGGCTTTAGCAGTGTAGCTGTTACGCGCACTGCGTTTTCAAGGAATAAATTCCTACCAGGTAATAGTCTCATTTAAGTATAGAAGAAGATTTTACACATGCATGTATTGGTGGTTTCATCAAAGAAAATGTTTTTTTAAATGTTGCTGGAGGTTAGAACTCAATCATTCATGATGTTGCGCATTTAATCTTTCAGTGGTTAACTGAACTAACTAGAAACAGAGTTTTACTGGTAGCATTTACTACAGTGTGTACATGTACAACCTGTACATTGTACAGGTATATCATTTTAAAGGTGTAATCCATCTTAAAAGTGAAAGGCTCTTAAAAGTCCAAAAGACAATCTTGTTAAAATCCTGACTTTTATAGTAACTATAATCTAGGCACTTTGATTCAAGAGGTAAATTAGTAAACTCCTCGGGCCTCAACTCACCATACATGTACACACATGTATGTAAATGTACATGTAGATGTTTGCTGAATGTTTCACTGATGTTTGGTCAAACATTAACCAGCCTTCACCCCCATAACAATTGAAAAAGATGACAAAACACAAGCAAGGAAAAAGAGAAGAAAGAGAAGGTACTCACTGTGATGAGATACAAAATTAAATCTTCCTTTAAAATCAAAGATTTAAACTCCTCAATCTCACTCAAACCTTCCCCTACATGTATATTTAAGTTGAAAGACTAAACTGTTAAATCTCATATTATTTCAGAAAGACAACCTGAAAAAGGGACCATGCACTGACCACAGCTACATGTACAGTATACTGTTATTACTCTCAAAGACAAAATCATGTATTTTGGTGTAATCCACATCCTTGCCCAAGAAGTATTTTCAGATGCATTGAACTAGGTTACCCATAAAATATAGTTTCCTGTACATACATGTACAATACATTGTACATAAAAAACTACATCATTGAAAATATACACTTCAGTGAAGTGTGTGGAACTTGAAATTGAGAATGGTGATGTTTACAAGTGGTTTACATGGTCAAGTTGTGTGAAAAGGACAGATGGTGTGGTCAGATTTACATTAGGGTTGAGATAGGTGGAGGCACTCTTTCACACCGCTATAACACCTTTCTAGGCAAGCTAATTTAGTAGTACACGTTGCAGCCCTGGCCTACATGTACATACTTTACACTTTCAACCGGTCTGCTCTTCTTCACAGTGTTACAGGGCTACAGGCATACCCTGCCTTAGAATCTGGTTGTGGGTGTGTCTTGTTTATTATTCCACTGGGGTTCTATCCTAAAACTGTCAATGTTTGCACAGCATACACTGGTTCATGCAGTTACTCCAAAAGAACTAATGCACCTCTAACTTGATGAAAAGTTGCCTCTGTGCTTCATAATGCTGCTCCTGATACCCCAGTTCATTGTGTTCATTCGCTGATTGGTATGATATTCACAATTATTTCACGATTTGCTTTCTTGCTGCATGGCTGACTGAGCTGAGACTTGTCTGTCTGTGTTGCACAATGTATGGTGATATATGTGATACTCTGTACATTGTTAGAATTCATACTGTACATGCTGTCAAAATGAGCCGACATTAGTTTGTTTGTGAAAGCGTTGCTAAATCAGTCCAGCCTTCTCTCAATGTGGTATGTGATTTGTATTGTAACTTTAAGTTTACAGGCGTGTGTCGTACAGCTGATATCCAGTTCTGGTAATGGAATTGTATTTCAAAGACACTTCCATAATTTAGAGAACTTCGTTTTAGTTTGATTATCTTGCAATAATATTGTTTTATCCAGCTCACATACATGTATTACACACGTCATAGATAAATAACAAAAGAAAGTGGCTGAAAATCATATTTATTTGAAAAGCATCACTTTTTTGCATGTACATGTACATGTATCAGGTTATCCAGGATATGTGCAAGATAATGTCATGAGTTGCGACACACTCAACTTTTTATAATCTTTCTTAAAGCCTGTCTGCACTACTTGTAGCTACTTGTGCCCTCTATATGTAGGGAACAATGCCTAATCGGTACCCGTTGGTCCCCTTGATCCCCATTTGAATTGAGAGTTGATTTGATGAGATACATGTAGCCACCTGTCAGTGACCACCCTGGGTGGTCTTATCCCTCCTGGCCAAACTACTGCAGACAGGCATTAAATAATTATTACTCAGTTGTGTATTGCACATTTTATTCCAAACACTACAGTGTTATAAACTTATAATGTTGAAACATCCAGTATAAATTTGGTTTTATTCTGAGGGGCTTTTATTTCCACCATTTCAGGAACTCAAGATTATCTTTCAGTACAATTTTTAGACTACCGGTATATGAGAATTAAGAGTCATTTACAGCTTGAACAGTATGTTCACATGGTTGGAACTATTTGTCTGTGCTGTTTTTTATATTGCCATACTATTATTACTTGGATTTATTTCAGTAAACTTTTTTTTGTTTTTTTGTTAGTACAATTCGCTGAATACTTTTATCACTGAGCTTCCTTTAATATGCACTGAAGCGTTCATGGAATTTCTTCTCCCCGAGTAAATTACACAAAACATACAATCTACACATGATGTACCTGTATTATGCATAGGTTTATTTTCCCAAGAACTTTTTTATAGAGGCTTTAGTTTTTTTCCAATTACACAGGGCCATACTGAAACTTTGAGGAGTACTGTACATTACACAGATTCTACATGTGTACCATAGAGCTGTACAGTGTACATCGGCGTAAGTTTGTTTTTACAAGGACCTTTTTTTTTTCCCTCTGGAATCTGGGATCCATATTTTTTCAATTATTCAGTTGGAAGGTGCTGTAATATTTGGATGTGGTTTGTTGTATGAGGCTCATGTGGAGTCTTGTTATTTTGATATTTCACACAGGGCCATATGGAACCTGTGAGGCGTGCATTATAGATTGATCAGTATGCAATATTACTTTTTTCAAGGTTTTTGTTTTTGTTTTTGTTGTAGTTGTTCTTGTCTAGAGCTGATATTCATTCACTTTTAAAGTGGATGAAATGAGTAAGGATGGCACTACAGGCCGTAAACTTCTAAGTTTAGATCATGGTTTTAAATTTTGAGTTTCTTGCACTGATCGATCTGTGATCTGTCTTAGCTGCAGACTTTCTCACTAAAAGTTATGTGCCATGCAGACAAAATTAAATACCATTTTTTTCGTCAAATTTTCAATTCATGCCCCTCCACCTGGTGCTATGCCTGGCAATGTCTCCCAGCTCAGTAATCGGTGTGTTGACTCACCACTCGGAAACTATATATAGTTTATATATATATATATATGTAGTTTATAATAATAATTCCTCCAATTTTTCTTCTATTACACGGCTTACCACAAGGTTCTATCCTAGGTCCTCAGTTTTTTAATTTACATTAATGATCTTACACATTCAAATGAAAGGCCTTTTTTTTTTTAAGGGCGAAAAAGAGGGGTGCGGTTAATACACGAGGGCAGTTTATTTCAATACACGAGGGCAGTTTATACACCGTTAATTACGGTAGCGGTTTCTCCAGCTTGTGATTACAACAACTGCTTACTCTGCTTGTAGTTTAAAACTTCAAACACTGGATGTTTCACTAACTTAACGTTTGAAACTACTTAACATCGGTGCTGTTACTGCTGTGTTAAAATAGCTACTGTATTAACCTTGGGATGTGATCTATCGTTTCAGGTGATGAATTCATAACTCCGTATCAGAAGACCCAAGAACCCCCCAAGATGTCCGAGGACACCTTCCATACCATGGCCAATGCGTCGGACGCCATGGCGCTCCAGAAGTCTGTAGTTGGTGAGAAAACAGATCGTCTCATTGATAATTGGAAATGCATTCATACTGTAGTAGCAAAAATACAGGATAGCAATGATTTACATGTACTTGTAAATCTTGAAAGATTCAAATCAGCTATAAAGAATATAAAAGATAAAAGAACAGGTACAAAAACAATTCTTTTAAACTCAACAGAAGATGTTGGCATCTATCTTCTTGAAAGCTCTCTTTAAATGTAACAAATTAGAAATGAGTTTTAGTGAACTTACATGTTTTGTAAGATTTCACCCTTTTCTACACTACTTCTTTACCAACTATATGTATATTATATACTGCTGTCAAATAATCTGAACAAGTTGTGTATTTATATATATATCATGTACATGTATATGCACTTGATGCAGAAATTCACAAAAAGTATCTTGATCAATACTGCTCTTCTGGCTGATTCAGCCATGATTTTCTGTTGTGTCTGAGATTTATGTCCCTGTTGTTCAATTGGCCCATGGGTTTTCGTCGCTACTCACAGTTTACTTGAATATGTTTCATTTTCTATCAAAAGCTTGTAGTTTTGTACATCCGTTGCCCCAAAGTTTGCTTTAGTTTAATCTATGACTTTGTGTTATTGCCAGGGGATTCGTCAGTGAAACCAGCTAGCATGGACGAGATAGCTGCCATTCTAGCGTCTGTCAAGCAAGGGGCGTATCAGAGAGACCAATCACTGAGCAGTATCAATACTACCCTCCAATCATCGTACAATGATAACATTTCCCTCGACGATGATGCTCCATATGAAAAGGCAAGATGATGTAGTTTTGTGCTGATGTATTTGGAAACTTAAGTGGCTATTGTTGCAACAAACTTTTAACCTGTTAGACATGATTTTTTTCTTTTGCATATTTTAATTTGCTATTTCAATAGACTCCCGCTCAAGTTACCTTTGGCCCAATATTTATTGGGTTACGAGCGATTGAGGAGGAGTCTCTAGAAGAACTGCACAATCACAATATATGCACTGGACTGTATAGTGCTTCTTTCGATTTTCAATCGCTACACTATCTTTCCGGCTCATTCCAATACAGTTCCTTCATCAAGGTGATTTAAGTATTGTAAGAAAACACAACATATCTAAGTTCAATAGTATCTCAAAATACTAGTTGTCCACAATATTTGTGTACACACCTCACATGTACATTTTTGTGAGAAAAGTGTTCCAGATAATAGAGTCGGTGATGAGATTAACTTTCTTTGCTTATTCAAGAGATAAGCAACATTATCATTGTTTCCTTATTTCCTCCCCTTCCCTCTAGGTGTACAATTCAATGTCTTCACTAGATGAAACACCATCAAGAATACCTGCAGACTATGTGGAGCCTGAGGTTACCCCTTCAGAAGTGAATGGAATAGACCCTTCAGGAGAACCTGGGCATACCCACCCAGGCAAAGAGGGTGAGAACACTTCGGAAAGAGGAGGCACAGCACCCACCCAACAGGAGGGACCTCAACCCGAATCACAAGAGAAGAAAGTGGTGACGACGAAGAAGAGACCAACTTCCCTTCTGGCTCAAAATACCACCATGGCCATTAGCAGTGCAATAGCTCACAAGTACAAAGTCCCCCCTCATGATGAAGCGCTGTCACCCAGCAGCATTACAGCACCAAAGGAACCCATGCTCTTCAGGAGCCCAGTGGCGGCCATCACCTCTGCAAAAGGAGGGAAGATAGCTATCATGGAGGGACTGGAGAAGACGAAACCAAAAAAGAAGAAAGGAAAGAAAGGTGCAAAGAAGAATGCCCTGAGTACCAGGATTATGTCAGACACGGATACAGAGCCACCTAGCGATACAGAGCTGATGGCTCAGAGGCAGGCTGAGAACGAAAGCAGAACAACGCCTACTCCATCCGAAGGTAATACTCAAGAGTTCTTTATTACCAAATATCAATCAGAAATTTGTAAACGTAGGTATGAGAGTAGTGTGTTCTGGTTGAGTTATCGAAAGAAAAAAATCAAAATAGTCAGCAAGCTGCTTGTCTTTGAAGTTCATTATCACATATGTCGAAAGGGATATTGAGTCAGAATTTTAGGTTGCTGTTTGCAGCTTTTGTAGATGTGTTAGTTATTAAGCATATGCTTCAACAAATGGTGTTTCATGGTATATTTGATTTGTAACCAAAATCTGTTGAAGCATAGTTTGGAGATTGATGTCAGTTAAACTAAAGATAGAGAGAAATCTAGTTTTTCTAAAAAATTAAAAATTATAAACAAAAGACAAAATAAAACAAAGCGAGAGATATGATATGTGATAAAATCTTTCTTTATCTGTAGATTCCACGAGTGCAAGAGACCAAGTCGCGACCAGCGATCCTTCACAACCTTCCCAACAGAACAAACAAGAAGAGGAGGAACCAACGAGAGAGAGCTCAGAAGTGCCTCCCACCAAATCCCAAGTAATAGCCAGTGAACACTCAGAAACAGCATCCTCACCCCCAGGAAATACTACACAAGTACCTGAGCAAGTGCCTGAGCAAGTGCCAACCTCCCCTCCAGATCCGGCACCAACCCAGCCAACTCCGGAGCCTTCATCTGGGTCCTTCCTGGGTTCCCTTTTCCCCTGGGGTCGGAGGTCGGCCGATAAGCCAGCTACACCAGGTGGGGGAGGAGTCAACGATGCAGGGTTCCCAGCCAATCAGGTTGCAGCCTCCTCTCCATCGACCAATCAGGATGAACCAGCGAGGGGCGGGGCTAAGAATGTCAGCGCAATGGATTCTGATTTGCATAGTGACAGTGTCGATTCGGGAGTTGGTTTTGTTGGGGGAGTGAATGGAGATATTGGGACACCTTCTGGGCAAGTCCAGACACCGCAACCTCTTTCTTCTTCCACACCCACCTCGACTAATAACAGGATAGGTAAGTTTCCCTTTTGCTTGATTATCCCCAATCTTTTTCCTCTTTAAATTGTTTTCATTTTTCGTAAGTAAGACCAATGCATTGAATAATTTTACCAATATGTAAAAGATGTAAATATGACCAGCAACTGCTGCGACCGGAAACTTTCTAAAAAATTTGGTGGCAACCATTTGTGCAGCAAGAGATTATGCAAGTTGGAGACAATCAATGTTGTCATATAGTCATTAGTACCATATAATGACTCTGAATGACTTTTGAAATCACGAGGTATTATGATACAGATTAATATCAGGAAACAGCATAAAGAAGTTGAGAATTGAAAAAATACATATTTGAAATATACATGAGCAACATTCTCAATTCAAAAGCAGTCATAGAAAAGAAATGTGTGGGTAACACAAAAATCTTTGTAATGCCCTGCCTAATAATCTTATTCCTATTTTATACAGGGAGAACCGATGAGATTGTGGCTAGGCAAGAAGCCCCACAGTACAGCCAGGCAGCTCCTACCACCAACCCTCTCCAGCAAGCATCAAGTGTAGGCACTTACACCAGGCAGTCCCAACCACCACCAACCCTCAGGAACAGCCAGGCTAGGCCAGTGGACCTGGGGAGGTTAAAGTCAACACCCTTGCCAAGAGCCTCTTCTTACCAGAGTTCAAGGTACAAAAGGCTAAAATCATTGATCAACAATCCTAGCTTTCTAAATTTCTATATTTCATATGAAATTCAGAACTATTTTCCATATGAGTACATAGAGTGTGTCTACAGGTATATGGCAATCCCATGTTTGCATCAAGACTTTATTTTGTCAAAGGCATAGGCAGAGCTGCCACCCAGTACAATTTAATCAGATTTCGTACAATTTTTTGAAGTAAATACGAGAGTTCCTCAATGAAATACGATTTTCCTTTGTTTTTTTTCTTGGGGGGGGGGGGTATTTTGTGTGTATGTGTGTGCCATTTTTAATGACAAAATGCCCGTTCTGTCCCGTAAATTATCCTACAAGCATTCTCACATCAGCAATTTGGGGTTGTTCATTGGTTCATCAAACACACCAATCATGACGAAATCATGCATATTCAACCAATGAATCATACAAAAATTCTTCCTGTAATATGTAAGAAATGTACATGTAAGAGGCATTGATCCATGTTTTTTTTCTTCAAATACAACTTTTGTCAGTAAAATTCAACTTAGATTAAAGAATACAGTTTTTGAACTCCAGAGATTGGCAGATCTGCAAAGGGTTACAGTTGGGATTGTGATTGAACTTGAGATTGCATGGGCTTTAGGTATGGCGAGGCAAGATAAGGTTTGCAATTGAGTAAAGATTAGCTATAATGTTGAGTCAAAGGTTGAAATAAGTAACTTGGTTAATGTTAGAAATTGACCACAGAGCCATTGTCTCTGGAGAAGATGTCATGGAATTATTTCTTTTCACTTCAAAATACATATGTAAGGCATGTCCATTTTGCATTATGCACATTATACAGACACCTTCAACCTGTGGATTCATTTCTTTTCCTTTTTAAAGATACTTTTTTTTAACAGTTTTCGTAAATATCTGGTGGAGATACAGTCAAACCTGTCATAGTGGCCACCTCTCTATAAGGGCACCTGTCTATAGTGGCCACCGACATTGGCCTCCCTCTGTTATGTTGTGTTGTGTTGTAGAACCTGTCAAGAATGGCTACCTCTCTACATTTGCCAGTTTCTCTCTGGTTCCTTTTGGTGGCCTGGACAGGTTTGACTGCATTTTTGTATAAACCACCAAAGATTCCAAGGATGACATGAGAGCTTGAAGTAGTATTACATTCACTCTAGCTTACTGAGCTTGCATTTAAACCCTGTGTTTTCAGGTATTCTTCTCCCTTTGAGGATGAAGGAGGAGAGGAGGACTTGCAGACTGTGCTGAGAGAGAAGGCCAAACTCGAAGGACAGCTAGAGATGCTAACAGCTGAGACCGAGTCAGCTCTGCAGGCCAGGACACATCTACAGAGCCAAGTAGCCATTCTACAAGCAAAGCTCAAGGTACACCTCAGTGAAGATATTGATGGTCACAATGGTCAATGTTTATAATGATGATGATGGTGATTACGATGATGATGAATGTTAACTTGTGGCTCATTTTCAAACCTGTCGCTATTACATGTTTAAATGCCTTGTGGACAACCCTGGGTGATCATCTTGATGATATTGATAATGGTTGTAGAGACTGAGTCTTCCCTACAAGCAAGAATACAACTACTAGAAAGCCAATTAGCTTTTCTACAATCAACAATTACATTGATGATAAAAATGTATGCTTGTATTAAAGTAAGCAACCAAGGGACCTGGTTTTATGTCTTATCAAAGGAACTTGTTAATTTAAATCAACAGTTTGATATTCTGCATCACAGATGTAGCAAGGAATATCTATTTCTACATATCACATTATTTTACAAAGCTTAAAGCCCATCTGTACTAGTTTACAAGAGGGATTAGACCACCCTGCAATGTCACCGACTGGTGGTTATCTCATCAAATCAGCTCTCACTCAACATAAGAAAAAGGGGATCATGGGGGACTAATGGTCACCGATTAGACATCGTTTGCTATACAGAGGGTGCAAGTAGCTACAAGTAGTACAGCGGGACTTTAAAGTGTACCTCATTTTGATATTCTTAGGCCCAGGGATCCAGAGGAGATGTCTCCAGCCACAATCGCTCCACCCTGGAGGCCGATATCCGCTCTTTGAAGCAGAACAAGTCTGAGCTAGAGCAGGCCATAGCACAGCTCCAGGTGGAGCTAGACCACAAGGAGGCTGACCTGGAGGGTCTACGGAGGGAGCTCCATACATCGGAGGCGACCACGCAGAGACTGCGGGGCAAGCTGGAGGAAGTGAAGAGGGAGATGGCCGGTAAGGATGCCTCCGTGTCTCAGCTTCAGGACAGGATGGCCGTTATGCAAGGACAGGTAAGAATACTCAATGTCAAGTTTGCATATTTGAATTAATTTCTATTGTTTGATTGAATAAGGTGTGATGAAATTACACTTAATTGCCCTGTGGAAATTGTTTCCCTACAGTTATTCGTTCATCAGCTCTTAAGGCCAATCTGTACTAGTGTACAGGAGGGATTAGACCAACGTGCAAGGTCACTGGACAGGTGGTTATCTCATCAAATCAGCTTTCAATTAACATAAGAAAAAGAGGATCATGGGGGACCAATGGTCACTGATTAGGCATTGTTTTTTACATAGAGGGCGCAAGTAGCTATAAGTAGTGCAGTAGGGCTTTAAGGTGAGAAACATTGGATTCTGTTGAAGGAACCCCTTTAGGATACCAGTATGGCTATTATACCACATATGCTCAAGCAACAACTTAATTGTGCTAAGCAATCAAGTCCAAATACTACTTGACTTTCCAACTTCAATCTGCATATAACACTATTCTCAACCCTAACCATACACTCGACCAAAAACTGAATTGCAATCTAAGTCTTTCTATCTTTGACATAGATCGGCTTAGAGCAAATGTCGGATCACCTTGAAAAAATATCAAATAAATAGCACTTTACCATAGTGGTGTACACCTTTTTCATTAGATCATGATTATGAGACAACTGTCTCTACATACCACATTTTATTTGTTTCCCTGAAACAAATTTTCTCATTCATACTGTTTGTTAACACCACTATTTTATTGCTCATGAGTGGTCTTTATACAGGCTATACCATAAGTAAAATCTTTCTCTCTTTTATTACATCCAGGTGGACCAAGCAAGACAGGACCAAACGACGGCTGGGGCCAAGCTCTCCTCCTTACAGACTGATGTCGAGTCCTTGACCAAGGCTAGGGACTGGTTCCAGGAACAGCTAGGCTTTGCCCAGGAGACCAGGAACCAGCTCCAGGAAGAGCTTGGAGCTTCCCAGATCAAGATCGCTTCTCAGACTGCTTCAATTGAGAATCTCAAGACTGATAACACAAAGGTACATACTTACACAAATATTAGCACTTTGGGGTGTTTCACAAAGATCCTAAGTCAAACTTAACTCTAAGTTGGACTTAAAAATTATGGAGAGCCATTTGTAGCCTTAAAATAAAATTTATTCAAAAGCAAAAAATCAAGTATTTTAGACTTTTTATAAATTCCACATCAAGAACATGAAATCTCATTGATTATACAAAATATGAATGATTTGAATCAACATTTTATGCCTTTAAAATAACTTTTACTAAATATTTTTATAGATGCTAACGGCTTTCCATAATTGTTAAGTCCAACTTGGAGATAAGTTCAACTTGGGATCTTTGTGAAACACCCCCCAGATAAAGCTTCAAAGTAGTTATCCTGGTAGCTTTGATAGTGCATATCATCACAAGTTTAGATAATTGTATATTTTTTAAGGAAGTTCAACACTTACCAATGCTGTACATTACTTTTGAATTACAGGTGAAGCAGCAACTGAAAGAAGAGAGACAGCGCATGCTGCAGGAGAAGGAACAGATAGCTAAGAACCTTGAGACCATTGAAGCGGATATCTTCACCAGAGAAGCCACTTTCTCAGCCATGCAGAGGGAGAAAACCGCTGTCCAACAGGCCGTATTCAGCCAGATGGACCAGATGGAAGAAGAGAAGTACAGGTGCGACAGAACAGTTCAAATTACTTTTAATTCAATGACCCTTCTGTACATTTAACAAAGGAAAATTTAGAGCTCAGACTAACTTCCTTTGTTACACCTGACTTTGAGCAAAAGCTTAAGCCCAGTGTCTGGTTTTAATTTTGGTAGAATACGGACCTAAAGCCCCAGTCCCATATAAAGCCGGACCAGCACGGACGAGCACGGACCACTCCGGACCATCCCGGACCATGGTCTGGGGTGAACCGGGATGGTCCGGGATGTTTTGTTAAAAAAAGTGTGATGCTTTTAAGCTACAGTCCCATATACGTCCCGGACCGTCCCGGACCATCCCGGACCCCATCCGGGGTGATCCGGGATTCGGTCCGTGTTGACACCGTGTTGGCACCGGGGTGGTCCTGGATGGTCCTGGGTGGTCCTGGATGGTCCTGGGCGGTCAATAACTCACTCCCGGACTGCCACGGATCAACACGGACCGCCCCGGCGCCACTACGGATGACCCCGGACCCAGCACGGTGGCTACACGGATCACCCCGGATCAAACTATTGTCCCGGACCGTCCCGGACCACCCCGGCAGTTTTTGACCGTCAAAAACATCCGGGGTCGACTCCCGGACCGCCCAGGACCATCCAGGACCATCCAGGACCATCCAGGACCATCCAGGACCACCCCGGTGCCAACACGGTGTCAACACGGACCGAATCCCGGATCTACCCGGATGGGGTCCGGGATGGTCCGGGACGGTCCGGGACGTATATGGGACTGTAGCTTAAGTCTCAAGGTGGTTTCTGAATGGGGATGCAAAAGCCCCCCCCCCCCCCCCCCCCCCCCCCCCCCCACAAAAAAAAAAAAAAATAAATAAAAAATAACCTTACCCAATTTAAAACATTATTCGCAATTTTAGAAAGTTTATACTTGGTTTTTCATATTGGAATCCACAACGTGAACAATTTTGTATATATATAAGAATTTGATGTCAACTGTGTTTTGAAGTCCAATAACAATTTGATGTTATCATCTTGATCACAAAGCTTAAAGCCCCACTGCACAACTTATAGCTACTTGTGCCCTCTATATAGCAAACAATGCATAATCGGTGTCTGTTGGTTCCCCATGATCCCCTTTTTCTTATGTTAATTGAGAGCTGATTTGGTGAGATAACCACCTGTCAGTGACCTTGCAGGGAGGTCTAATCCCCATGGCCAAACTAGTGCAAACAGGCTTAAAAATTTGATTGGCACAAGGTATGATTTTTATTTTACAGGTTGGCAGGCCTGATAGCATCAGCGTCTGAGTTGGAGAGGCAACTGGACGTCGCTCGACAGGAGTTAGAGGCCAAGCATGCTGCCCTAGTGAGTCTGGAGGCAGAGAAGAGAGAGCTGGTCAAGGGGTTGGCCCTTGCGGAGGTACGGAATTAAAGGAACACATTATTACATGTTATAGCTTTGATTTGTTGCTGGAAATGGGATTGACATTGCTTTGCCATACCATGTGTACCATTAGTAAATATGAGAGCAAATGCTATTCGAAAAACAACCTTTTTCAGTTTGAGTTTCGATATACATTGTCTGGTTTCAGGTCTCTGGTTTATTCCTTTGATGTTGCTTTGATGAGCACAAGTATTAATACGTGCATGTCTTGTACTAATTGCTATTCTTCAGTATTTTATGTCAATGCATTTAAACAAAATTTATTGTGAACAGTTCTGCTGAGCATTAATATGTATTTGTTTGCACTTTCATTCAATGTTTATGATAACACACTTTAGCCTTTTAAATTTATATGTACCTTAAAATGGATTGTACATATTTTGAATACTCATTGTTGAGCTCTCCAAATTTCTAATCAATTTTAGAGACACCTGGGACCCGTTTCACAAAGCCTTTTTTCAATAACAATGACAAAAATCAGTGACAAATCTGTTGATAACCAATCGGAAGCAAGGATTTCAGTAGCTTATAACAAAAACTGCCATTTGTCACTGATGACAAGTTTTGTGAAACGCCCCCCTGTTCATTTTATTTATCCAACAGGAAGCATTGGCGGCCCGGGAAACTGAAATGGCAGCCTTACAGATGAAGTGCAATAATGTAGAGCAGAAACTAAAGGAGGAGCAAGGCAAGTCAACAGGACAGGACGATGATGTCCGTCAGCTCAGAGCAGACAAGGCTTCCTTAGAGGCAGCTCTGGCAAGTGCCAACGAAGAGAAGCGCACGTTTGATGACTCCCTGCAGAAGCTACGTGGAGACCTCAGTCGGGTGGAGACGGGCTTCAAGCAAATGCGACAAGAGCTTGGTGCAAAGACATCAGAGCTGGAGGCTGCTCAGATGGAAGGGCAGCAGGTGAGAGAACAGCTCAAGGTCGAGGAACAGCAGGTGGAGGCCCAGGAGGCTAACCTGGAGGCGTCGATTGCAGCCATCGGAAACAAAGATGCCATCATTGATGAGCTCCTGGAAGCCAAGGGACAACTGGAGAAGGAGATCCAGGGGCTGAGGCGAGACATGCAGAGCACACGTCATTCCCAGGAGTCCTCGGCACAGGCCAACGCCGGCCTTCAGGTTGAACTGTCCAAAGCCAGGGAAGGTTTCCAGATGCTGGAGCACCAACTCCAGAATGCCTTAGCAGAGAATGCCAACCTCCATGGCCAGCTGGAGTCTCTGAGTGAGGATCAGAAGCAGCTGGAAGGCCTCATGGATGAGAATGCGGCACTTCGCCAGAGGTCAGCGGACACCCAGAGCTCCATGCATCGTGACCTGGGAGAGCAGAAGGCCAATGTCCTGCGCCTTGGTACGGATTTGAGCAATGTCCAGAAGGAGCTGAGACAGAAGGAGCGTGCGTATGAAGCTCATTTGGGAGCTCTAACCATTCAGCTCCAGGATACATCCGTAGCTAAGGATCAGGTAGAAAGGGAACTCCATGAGCGAACTGCTGCTGTGGCTCAACTTAGCAAAGAGGAACAAGACAAACTCTTGAATGAGTTACAGGTTAGAACATCATATTTTCATTCTTGTCTTTGGAAATTCTCATAATCCTTTCCTTGCTATAAGTTGATTATTTCTAAGTAATTGATGTAGATAATGCAGCAACAATTGAATAATGTTTAAATGTACTTTTACCATTAACATCTCTTACTTGTTTTGTTATGTATGCGATCATAAGTTTTCAGTGTCATGTAAAGCCTATGAATTTGAGAAGTAATTGTTAATTTCAGAAGTAATATGGAATTTCATTTCAGAAGAACTGAGCTATGACATAATACAGTCAAACCCCTCTATAGCGACTGCCCACGGGGAACACAAAAAGTGGCCTTTGTAGACAGGTTCCTTTAGTACATGTTTTAATGAGGAACCATTTCCAAGGAAACAAAAAATGTGGTCTTTGTAGACAGGTAGTGACTAAAGCAAATTTGACTGTAGCTGCCAACCATTTCTATTTTTGAGGAATGATTGTTAATTTTTTAGCCCTTAAACTAATCTTTTGAACCCTAAATTTCTTCTATGTAAAAACTGCATTCTTGATATTTCCCTGAGATACTACCATTTTTAGCTGTGAAAGGTGACTGACAAAAAGACAATTTTCAACAACCTCGGGAAACAAAAATGGTTAACCGTCAATTATTTGCACATATGGGACTAGTCTGCAAGCACCGTGACAATTTTCAACAGAGCTTGATTTTCTCAGTACCGCTAATATTATGTGTCTCTTGCAGAGTATGAAGCAAGATGTGGATGTGTTGAGGAATGAGAGGAACCGACTCAATGATGAAGTCCAGGATCTCAGAAGAAACATGGAAGACGATACAGAAGCATACAGGAGGAAGATCGATGAGTTAGAGGCAGAGCTACAGGTAAAGGTTCATTTACACATGATGCTGAAAACCACCTTAAAGGAGCTACACAAAGAAAACTCACTAATAACTCATAATTAGAACAAATTACATATGGATGGAAATATTTTCTCTTGAAAAACACGAACAATTTGCTGAGAAATCATATAGATATCATGGAAAGGCGTAAAATGCAATTTTTCAAGACCCTCCTTAGACCCCTGAACGCCCCTCAACGTAAGTCAACACACAAGCGTAACGAGCTCTGAATAGTGACATCACACACTGGACGAACAGCTCAGTACCGTGTAGAAGTATGCAGCTAGCCAGCCGTGTCCCGTATGTGACGTCACAAATACTGACGCTCTACAAAGGACTGCTGAAGGCAGAAAATCTGGAAACATCAAAACTAACATTTTTGAGAGTTGATTACTGCGGGCCCCAAACATATTTTGAAGAGAAGAGTTGTTGTATTCGATCGGCAAGGCTTCCCCTTCGCAATGATATGAATTTTGCAACACTTTTGATTCTTTGTGTGGCTACTTTAAGAAAGAAAAATATGCTACAGCGAAATAAAATGACCTGGGTGTATTACGCCTCAGAATTCTGCATCTTGTAATACACAGATACTGAGTATAGGTAGCAAGGGTAGTAAGTACTTTTTTTTTTCCATTTTTGTTTTGCAAAAGGGTGGGGGGGGGGACTTTTCATTTGTTGTGTAATAAAGTTAAAATTTATGCTTTTTAAGTGTTCCTTTTTACAGGGGTCCCCCGTAGATCCGCGCCTGCATGTAACAACATTGAGGATCCCATCAAAAGTAAAAGTTGTCAAAGTTTCTGTCGGCTTGATTATCTTAATTTTTTTAAAGATCAATTTAGGTCTAGGAAACATGTTCTTATTAAGAATCATATGTGTTCAGAAAGATTTCCCGACATATGAAGTCTATGGGATTTACTCATATATCATGAGATTGCAGGGTCATGTGGAATGTCATCTTGTGAGAAATGTAACTATGCAGTGATGTACAAATTTTCTCAAAAAAATTATTTTTGTGTTTGTTCTTTGCAGGATTTAAAGGAAGTCTTGGACCGTCAGAGGAGAAATGAGCTGAACAATCGCGCCCTGGCTCTTGACTTGGAGCGAGAGAGAGGAAGGTTAGCAGGTAAGCAAGATTTAAAGGGAGAAAACTTAATGATTTTAGGATCAATGTTGGTGCTTGAATTTTCTGTATCAGGTAACAGATCAATGTGTATTTATTGAAGGTACACTATCAAAAGTAGATGAGCGTATGAAGGACAGCTGGATAATTTCCTAAAAAGATATGGATATTGAGGTAGTTACCTTGCCAACATCCTACACGCTGTGTGTAATGTGCAAGTTAGAGTCAGGTTAGAATTGGTTTCCAGCAACTTTCTAGTTTATCATTCAGTAGATTGCTTGTTTGGATTAATATGATTAAATGAAATAAGGTAAACTCATTGATATCATTAACATCCCTAGAAACATTCAAAAAGAATCTATAGTCATATATGTTTGCATGTTATTTTAGTTAATTATATGTTGATGAAAGTACATCTATATTATGCATATTTGTTCTTATTTCTTTTATGTAACCCATTCTAATTCTACCCCTCTGCACCTCAGAATAGTTTACTAGATCGATGGCGCATAACAAATGCTGTATTTATTAGGTGGTCTGTTGAAAACAGATCACCTATTGTTTTCGTCAGAATTTTCTTTATTATTATTATTATTCTTTATTTTTATTTATTTCCTACACTTTTTTGTGCCTAGGATAACTCAAGTTCGGTTTCGTCAATTTCATTCAATTTTGGCACAGTCATAGGTCATTGTCATGAGACGTGACAGGAACCTTTTCAAGGTCATCACGTCATCGTGACGTCATCCAGGCGCCATTTTGTGAAATCACGTTATCCATCATATCTTCATGATGCATAAGCAAAGGTCATTCATATCCATATCACATATATTTCAGGTCAAGGGTCAAAAGGTCATGTCATCAAAGGTCACATAAAGGTCATGACGCGCGCGTACGTGCGCGTCAAAATTTTAAAATGCTCAAAATCACTTAACTATTAAAGGAGAGTACGAATCAGGTCATTTTAAGCATTTCAAAATTTTCCGTCCGTAAGTGTCACCGCGCGCGTTGCGCGCGCTCACAACGCGCGGAAAAGGTCAAATTCAAATTGTTTACATGATTTAGATTCCTCTTACCGTAAATGACAATTTACATTAATTTCAGTCACCCTTGACCTTTCAAAAGGCCGTGATCGCGCGTCAAAGTTCAAAATCCGCGCGTGCTGCTATGGGCAATATAATGCAAATTTGATCAAAAACATGACATTTTAAAAATCAAAATAGCTCTTCAGATAATCAATTGTTTCCATTTTTTATATCATGGTTGGAAGAAGCATGAGTTGGAGATATGATTTCATGTGTCATTTGACCCTCAATTAACTCATGACGTCATCATAATGGCCTCCAAACTCAAAATTTCAATTTGCATATTATGACGTCAGCAGATTTTTGGAAAATTGATTGTATCTCTGTAAATATTGATCAATTTTCTTTCAAATTTGGATATGTTCTACCTGAGAATATTTTCTACAAATGCAGTCAACACGCTATTTCATTTTGACAATGGTATCATGGTGTATTTATGCGATTAAAGGAGGCATGTCAATTTTTCACATTTTGCGTGTATTCTCTATGGGACATGACTTTTTCTCAAAACTGGATTCTACATTCTGGTCTTTCGCGAGCCATATCTCCGTTGTTTTATCTTTGTTTACGCTGAGCTTTGAGTATGTTGTAGCTGAGACAATAAGCTATCACAAGTGTGCCCTTTATTTTTCGATCAGATGCCGGGATCATGCTCATATTTCACTTACAAAGTGGGATTTGATAATTCCATTTTCCGTTTACGTGTAATCTCTATGGGAAATGTTTTGGTATATCGGTAACGCACTTGACTTCCGACCTCGAGGTCCCTGGTTCGAGTCCGGGCGTCTCCAACAATTTTTTTTTTTAACTTTTTTTTCTTTTTGACCTTTCACTGTACCATCTCCTTTGAATATTAAAACACGTACAATCGCAAATAATGTAATAAACAACCATATTTACTTTATTATTACCCTATTATCACTTGATCCATTACTTTTTGCGTGTAATCCTTATGGGAGATGACTTTTTCTCAAATCTGGATTCTACATTCTTGTCTTTTGCGAGCAATATCGCCGTTATTTCAGCTTGATTTTTGTTGATTTTTGAGTGTGTTGTAGCTGAGACTTTATACTATCTAAATGTTCTCTCATTTTGTTCAGTCTGATGTCATCATGGTCTGTTGATGATAATCATCAACATCATCATGATCATCATCATCATCATTATCGTCATCACCATTACTATCAAGATCATCATCATCATCATGATCATTGTTTACATGTCTTTATAACTTCTCCCTTTCTCAATACAGTAACTATTTTAATCTATCATAAGACTTGAAGACAGACCACCTTATTCGTCTTCGTGACGAATTAAATTTCTAGTATTTTAATTGAATTTGTACAAAAACACAATTCAATTAAAATAAATTTGTGACCACTTTTTTGTGTGCACGATTACTCAAAATTGAACCGTCCAATTTCTTTCAAATTTAACACAGTCATAGGTCATCATCTTAAGACGTGACAGGAACATTTTCAAGTTCATCAAAATATCGTGACGTCATCCAGGCGCCATTTTGTGAAGTGCTCTGAGAATCAACTCATGATCATATCTTTATAACCGTAAATCATTTCTCATTCATATTTATAACGATTATGGTCAATATCCGTCCGGTCAACTTAAGGTCAATAAACGCGCGCGTACGTGTCCGTCCGCGCGTCGGTGCGCGCAAAAATAAAAAATGCTCATAATCTTTTTTTGATCAAATTAGAGTACGTTTTAGGCCATTTCAAGCATTTCGAAAATTTCGAAAATTTTCGCAGCATAAATTTGCGCGCACGTTTGTGTTCGTAATGGTCGTACGCAACCGAGAATCGCTTTTTTTTTGTCTATCATAGTATTCCCCAATTTATTCCGAACAATTTGATACCATGTTTATCTCTTTATGACCATTAATAACGAAATGAGCGTCCGTTCAAGGTAAAGTCCGTTCGAACCCTCAATTAACTCATGACGTCATCATGATTGCCTCCGTTCAAGGTAAATGTCCATGCGTGCGAGCTCTTGTAATACATAGCATATATGGGCAAAAACATGCCTATACAAAATCCATTGTAGCTCTTCAGAATGGATAGATACTCCCAATTCTTTTTCATATTTGGATAGATTATGAGTCGGAGATTTGATTTCATGTCTCATTTGACACTCAATTAACTCATGACGTCATCATAATGGCCTCCGAACTCAAAATTTCAATTTGCATATTATGTCGTCAGCATATTTTTGGAAAATTGATTGTATCTCTGTAAATATTGATCAATTTTCATCCAAATTTTGATATGTTCTAGCTGAGACAAATCTCCACAAATAAATTTGCGACGTATTTTTCATTTTGACAATGGCATCATGCCGTATTTTTGCGATTAAAGGAGGCATGTCAATTTTCACATTTTGCGTGTATTCTCTACGGGACATGACTTTTTATCAAAACTGGATTCTATATTCTTGTCTTTCGCGAGTAATATCTCCATCATTTTATCTTCGTTTACGCTGAGCTTTGAGTATGTTGTAGCTGAGACAATGAGCTATAATAAATGTGCCCTTTATTTTTCGATCATATGCCGGTATCATGCTCATATTTCACTTACAAAGTGGGATTTGAGAATTGTATTTTCCGTTTCCGTGTAATCTCTATGGGAAATATTTTAGTACATCGGTAACGCACTTGACTTCCGACCTCGCGGTCCCTGGATCGAGTCCTGGCGTCTCCAACAATTTTTTTTCATCAATTTTTTTACTTTTTGACGTGTCAATGATCATGAAAATTGAAGACAGACCACCTAATTCGTCCCCATGACGAATTAAATTTCTAGTTATTATTATTATCATCCTTCAGGTGTGCACCAGAGTCACTCGGCCCTCAAGCAGCACACAGGAATGCTGGAAAGTGCCCTCGCCCAGCGAGAGAGTGCGGTAGAGGAGCTGTCTGCCGAGCTGACAAGTACAGCCCAGGAGAGGGCCAATGAGAACTTGCGTCTTCAGAAACTTGTCCGTGAGATGGGAGCGGTGCTGGAAAAGGAGAAACAAGCTACTCAGGACATTAAGAAACAGGTAAAAATAGATTCTGTCAAATCATTAGAACAGGGGAGTGTTTCACAAAGACTAAGATCAACTTAAAGTTGGACTTTGTCAAGCCGTGTCATGCCACTAGGTCCTCTAACCATTTCAGGCATTTGTTTCTCAAGAGAAATACAAATCATGGTCACAAATCTACAGAGTTTTCATTTTTTTGTAGTTCATTATTGAAGGAAAAATATTATCTAAAGATCATAATTGAGAGACTAGTGGTGAGAGCAAACAGTGGTATAAATGGCCTGCCATAGATAAGACCAATTTAAAGTCGATCTTTGTCTTTGAGAAACACCTCCCAGAATTCCATTTATATAGCACAACTTTAGGATTTTAAAGGTGTGGTAACTGGATGAGTCACAGAAATGTAGCTCAGAAGGTACAGGATTCAAACCCCTGCCACAGCTCTGACGTCCCATGACAAGGCATTCATCTACATTTGCCAAATTTGACCCAGATTAACTAAATGGGTACATAATTAATTGAACGCTGAAGCGATCATCAAGGCAGTGATGCTAAACCAAGATAATGATCCAAACCTCTTTGGAAGGGCATATAGATATTTTATGATCAGGTAGTATGTGCTATACAAGAATCGGTTATTATTTTTATGAAAATTTCCTTGATGCTCACACCTTGCCAATGTAATGGGCTTCATCTTGACTGTACAACAATATAGTCGTTTAATCAACAGTGAAATGTCTTTCTTTTTGCATCACTCAGCTTGACAATGAGGAAGACCTTATCAGCTACATCAAGACCTTAAACCTTTTAACTATTGAAATAATAATATTCAGCTTTTATATAGCGCTTAATAAATCTCGGACGTCTCCAAGTGCTTTACAGATTTACTATTACATTCAGTGCTTGCCTGCACACACTGTGTGCACAATCTCCCCTCCCATTCCAGCCATGCGTTATTTGACGCTCAAAAACTGTTTGACCAACAATGTATTTCTTGTTGAATCCCACAGTTTTCCAGTGAGAAGGGCCAATGTAATCAGCTACGGCAAGACCTGGAGACCTTACAGGGTGATTCTCAGGAGATCCGAAGTGAAGCCAAGCAGAAGGAAGACGAGATGAAAGCCCTGAAATCAGAGTTAGCAAGACTGAAACAGGTAAAGTCATGGACACATTCCTTCCAGTTTGGGGGTAGTAGGAGGATGAGGAGGAGGAGAAGAAGGGTGCTTAATTAACCTTATGTTGGTACTTCAGGGGGGTGTTTCACAAAGATCCTAAGTCAAATTTAACTCTAGGTGTGACTTAAAAATTATGGATAGCCATTTGTAACCTTAAAATAAAATATATTCAAATGCGAATTTCAAGTATTTTAGACTTTTTATGAATTCCACATCAAGAACATGAAATCTCCTTGATAATAGAAAATATGAATGATTTGAATCAACATTTTATGCCTTTTAAAATAACTTTTACAAAATATTTTCACAGATGCTAACGGCTTTGTATAATTGTTAAGTCCAACTTAGAGATAAATTCAATTTAGGATCTTTGTGAAACACCCCCCTGGTGAAGTAAATCATGTATAAAGTCATTAGCACCTTTCATATCAGCTCCATAGGCATTTTAATATGTCGTAACAGAAGTGCAAAACCCCAAAACTCTACATAATATGTGAAATGTAGCCATTGATCGAAGGAAGAAACAGTGAAATTCTTTACATAGTTCACAAATTGAGTCTGGCTGCAGCACCAATGTCCTTTTGCAAGACATTTATCTACATTTGTCACTCTCCACCCAGGTGAAGTAAATGGGTACCTGGTAGGAAGGAATTCCTTGAATGCTTTAGCGCCTTGTTATGATGGCGCAGCTACAGCTGGGATGATAATACGATATTTTGTATTTAGGGCAGAAGAGTATATTCATATAATAACTGCGCTATTTAAATGGACCGATTATTATTATTATTATTTATTATCATTTCAGAACGAGGAGAAACAGAAGAAAGAAGGAGAAGAGATGAGGAGACATATTGAAGCCAATAAGAGTCACATGGAGAGATTAAAGAGACATCTTAAAGACAAGGATGCACAGAGCCCTGTACTTGAAGATCAAATGAAGGTGAGGCTTGATTTTCAACCACAATTACAGATCTGGGACATTCTATTGATTCTTCAAGTCGTACATGTATTCAATCACATTTTTGTGATGTGACAAATATGCAAATATCCCCTTTGAATATTCATGTGTTCAGTGTAGTTGGGGATTGTCATTGGATTAAATAAACTCACAATTTGAAGTCAATAGTCCAGTTTTGTCTTAATGTTATTGAAGTAATCATAATTTCATTTGTTAGGTAGGGAAGTGGATGATTCACTATAAGCTTTGAACCACCCAAACTATGTTATAAATGATAAATGTAGTAATTTACCATTTGGATTTTATTTTGTGTGCACTGCAAAGAAAGTTGAGGATTATTAGTATTTCTCCATATCCATATCCATATCATATTGCAAGATCAAGTACAATTATAAAGGGTTTGAGATAGTGATGGAAATGTCATGAATTTTTAAATCTGGTTCCATACAACCCAGATATGCATGAACACATATTCACTACTTTACCCCTCTCACCTACTGTCTGCCAGTTATGTTATGCTTCAATATGTTCCTGAATGAAGTATATTTTTGTGTATGATCCAGACATTGGCATGGCAGAGCGAGCAGAAGACCAGAGAAGCAGATGCTTTGAGAGAACAACTCGTGCTAGCAGAGAAAAGACAACAAATAGAAATGGATGGAGTCAAGACTAACCTACAGGTTAGATATCTCATTTTGTCGGGGGGGGGGGGGGGGGAGGATATTCTTGAATTAATAAGAGCTCCACTGTGAACCCTACAAACTGCACACAAAAGAAATATCCTTAATGAGACATCACTCTCTACTGTATAAGTGGTAAATGTATGGTAAAATGTTATTAGTCTCTAGGAATGGTGAAATGAATTCACATTTTCAATGTCAGGCCTAAACACTGAATGAATGACCTGCTTGATCTAGATGACCTTACAAAACTGCAGTGAAAGTGCTTTATCAGTTGCCGCAATGATGAGAAGGTCATAAGTTTAAAGACTTTTTACCGTAGTGCACACAGTGTGGACATGAATGAATCTGAATGAATCATGAATAACTTCTGAGTATAATACCAGGGTATATGGAATAATTTTCACATGTAACAAATAACAAAAACAAAGCATTTCTCGTCTGTCTCCCCCCCCCCCCCCCCCCCCCGCCTCCTTCTTGGCCGCCGCCTTCACTTTTTTAAAAATCTTTTAACTATTCAGAAGAAGAAAAACAAATCAATAAAAGCCACAAACACAAAAAAGCCTGTGATATACATTTTGTTTAAATAGCTCCTAAAGTGATACAAATCATTTTGTTTGTTCATACATTGCATCAGTATACTCACATAGCACTATATCTGTCAATAAATAAGCTTAGCCAAATATAACTAGCATAGCAGCCGTAAGTCTGGACGAGAAACACATTATTTTTGTTATTTGGCATAACAGAAAGTTTACTTTTGGAGATATCACATCATTAATGTATTATCAATATTTTTCCCTTACCAGATGACAAATAAAGAGCTGGATGGAATGAAGAAAGAGCTTGCATCAACAAGGAAAGAGAAGTTTGCTTTCCAAGCCAAACTGAGTCAACTCAAATCTGCTCTCCAGGCTACATTGCAACAGAATAAAGTAAGTGGGGCTCTGGGCCTTGTGTCATAAAACCTGTCATCAATAACAAGTTACAATAATTGTTATAAGCTAATGAAATGGTGTCATTTGATTGGCTGAGAGCAAATTTGTCGTAGAAACAAGACTCAATAAAATAGGGCCCTGAAAACACCATATTTGTATAAAACAATGTTTCATTCATTAATCAGGGCCCCGTCTTACAAAGAGTTGCGATTGATCCAAATCAATCGCAAGTCCTCCAATCAATCGCAAGTTTGCAGTCGCCTATCTCTTATGTACATAGTTGTGATCAACTCTTTGTAAGACTTGGCCCAGATGTACACAACTTGTGTGCATTTTATTTCAAGGTGTTGCAAGGTGTACAAAGTGTTGGTTCATATCATGCATATCTGTTCAGTCAGAGCAATGTATTTTTAATATCGGTAGTTGTAAATTCCAAGGATGCCAGTTTTCAGGCCACACCCTGATTTCAGGCCCTGACACCTACTCAGACTATCTTATGTACAGCTCATATAGAAGTTCATGTCAGACTTTAATTTCGGGCTCAAGCAAGAAACCAACAGATGTCTCTAAAATTCAAATAATGAACATTTTCTTACTTTCCCAGCTTCTGAAAGCCAAACTCAAGTCCAAGAGCCGAGTGGCAGCCACCATGGGCAAGCCAGGGGCAGATGGGGCTAGCCAGGGTGACGGCAAGGGGCCAGCGGACGACATCGTGGTACCCGAGATCGCCTATGATGTGGAGTCGTTACTCAACAGTGATGTGGTGGAAGGGGTGTCGGCCAGTCATAGCAGGTAGGATATCTTTTCCTCATGTTACGGATGTTAACTTCGTAAAATGCATTGAGAAATAGTAGTCCAAAGGTATGATGCTCTGGTGACAATCGCTTTAGGATACATTTCTTTTCCCAACTGAATGCCTAACTTCAACCCAACACTCTACTTAAGCCCAGACGTAAACCCAACTGAAAACCCATTCACAACCCAAGCCATAATCCTATGTCTTTGACAAAATATAATTATGTGCAAGTGCTGGATCACAATCAATTAACCATATGCCAATCAGGCAGGGGTGATGATGATGATGATGACGATGACAACTACAACGATGATGACGATGATGATGATAATGATGATGATGATGACGATGACAACTACAACGATGATGATGATGGTGACAATGATAATGATGATGATGATGATGATGATGATGATGATGATGATGATGATGATGATGAAGATGATGATAAAGTTGAGGACTATGATGATGACAATGATGATATTGATGGTGATGATGATGATGATGATGATAACGATTGATTAATTAATTGTTATTATTATCCTGATATCCTCTTCCACATCAGACCGCTGCATGCCATCCAGTCCTGCTTACAAAACATCAAGGATCAGATGGGTGCCCTGGAGGACCAGATGAAGGAACACACGGCCGCTGTTAATACCTCATCAGAGGCATGGAAGTAAGGACACACACAGCCATTCAATCTGAACCTTTAGCAGACCCTAAGCTACTTAAAGTGACCCAGTAACATTTCATCAGATTCTGAAACAAAATCCTGCATTTAGCTCATACTGCAATCATATTTATAAACCTATAGGTCAGTCAGGAACCCCATGATTTGTGACAACCCATGTAAAGCAGATCGCCTGTCTGATTATCAAGATATATATGTTTGGAAATCAAAATTTCATTTTTTGTTCTATTGGGGAAAATTAGGGTAAATCTGGTCAATCAAAGATTTTTAATTCCATTAGGCACTAATTTTTCTAGGGCTTCAAAATTACACCATATCACAGACACCGATAACATGTAGGGCCATGCATATCAGATTTAACATTGTTAAACGATGTCTTTAAACACTTATTAGGGTAGAACTCTACCTAAAGATTTGTCTGTCACAGGTTATAATTTTGTGTTATGGCAAAATGGGAATATCCCACAGTTGGATTTGTTCAGAACTTAAAAGTTATCAGACTTATTGTATTTATATTAGAAATACCCTTTTATTCATAAATAGAGCAATTATTACTATAACCTGTATAACATATTTGACATTTCTTCCCATGCAGAGAGGTCGGTGATAAAGTGCGTGACCTGCGGAGGGCCAGCATTGACCCCATGACCCCAACTCCAGGCTTGCTTCCACACAAGCTCCCTAACGGGTCAGCTCCTGGAGCCCCAGCTCAAAAAATGACCAATGGAAAGTCATCGGGATCACAGATATATGACCTATAATCTACCCAGTCTTACCTGATTGAGTGTCTGTCTGTTTATTTCACAAACCTTTGTCCTTTGTCCACTGCAAAATAAAAATAATTTCACATTTGCACATGTATGTAAATGAATGAATATGGGCCTACAAATGGAGATTTTAATTCCAAAAGGAGCTAAATCCATTTTTCTAACTTCAGAGAAAAAAGAAATTGTTTACCAGATTTTGTACGGGTGTCTATTGAAAAGAGATATTAGAAGCTGCAGTTTTTCATAATTGCTCCTGAAATTTAGGTAAATAAATTTGTTGAAAGACGGGTACTTAAGTGAACAAGGTTCTGATATCAATAACTCAGTTTTCATCAAAATTTAATTTAGCTCCTTTTGGAATAGAGTGGTGAAGTGTGACGTCATCAAAAATCTATTTTTAGAATTTCTCAATTTTTTCTTCATATTCCGAAATAACATCAAAAATAATGTCCAAATGTCGATAACCAATTGAATATGTGAAGTATTGGCTGAGATATGACCATCTGAATAAATATACCCCCCATAGGAACTCAGTGTTATATGCTCTGGCTCCTAATGGTTAGGAGCCAGAGAATATAACACTGAGTTCCTATAGGACATATATTCATTCAGATGGTCATATCTCAGCCAAAACTTAACATATTCTATTGGTTTTCGATATTTGGACATTATTTTTGATGTTCTTTCGGAAAATGAAGAAAAAATTGAGAAATTCTAAAAAAAGATATTTATGACGTCACAGCTTCGGTACTCTATTAAGCTCTTCAAATATTGATGTCTGCAGCAAAGGCCCCCAACACATACTCTGTGATTTGATTGTTGAAACATACCGATTTTTTGTGTGCTTTGCGCGCATCAGAGTTTATTTTGCCATATCATTTTATCTGTTTGTTTATTCGTGTTAAGGTGGTTCACTAAGTTACGTATGAACAAGGCTTTAGATTGTAAAGATCTATGTAAAGGCATTATGGACTTTTGATAGAAGTGCTAAACAGTAAGAGTGACGTATTAATGTGCGATTTTGAATGGGATAGGGTCCCATCTTGTCTGGGATATTTCATATTTTTATAAGCGCAGATTGTACTTATCATCATCAAATGTAATCTGCTTGCATGGTTTATGTTGGTTGCAGATGCTTTAATACATTGATGCTTTAATCAACTGATATATGATGTACATGTATATGTATATATTGGACCAACGAATATACATTTTTAGTTTTCTGTCTGCATGTACAGTGCTGATAATGAGACAACATGGCTGAGTTTCGAGGGTCCAGTTGGCATATGTGAAAGCCTGTCAACTGAGCTGAATCGTATCATAACATTTTACACAAAGCCAAAGAACTTTTTCATGCACTGATTTCGTGGATCACTAAAGTGGCAACCTTTTTATTCTGTGCAAATCACTGTGATTCTTGAACAAAATTGAAAGAAAGAAAAAAGTAATCCAGTCATAGAATGAAAAGGAGACACTTATTTTAGAAAAACATTATTTTTGTTCTTTCAGGTACAGAATGACAGTCAATTTAACAGGATAAAGAGGTTGACATTTGGCACTTCATAAATTAATGGACGAAGTCTATCAACTTGAGGCTCGTTCAGATATAATGGCGTTAACCGCCGCCCCCCCCCCCCTCAACAAATTAAAACGCTGCATTTTTTTTAATATATAAAGGAAAGACAACTGCGTGCAAGAAAGGTCCTGCGCATATTCACTGAGCTCTGTGTTATAAGATACAGAAATTAGAAATGTACTACGCTTTACGTCATAAATAACACTGTGGTTTTGCAGCAAGGTCTGAACAAGGTCTTTGTCTGGGTTTAAACCTGAACTGAAGATAGTATGTTTTCATTAATGCCAACCATTATCTTTTAATTTTAGGAAATGGATAGTCCATAGATTTGGATGTCGTTGTCGAATACAGCTTTTATAATATTCTTTTTAGGTCATTATTATTTTAATGTTTTTAACAACTTTTAATATCTTTGCATTCAATTATAACTTACTACATGTCTAGAAATTAACTGTTTTAAATTTTTACAACTTTGAAGAAATGTGTGAAGGGGCAATGAATTGTGCAAGTAATTTCAGTGGTCTTAATGCTGTAAGAATAGTCATTAAGTTGAAAAGAAAAGATATTTACTGTGTATAGATGATTTTATTTGCGAGTATGGCGAATATTAGCAGTAAGAATAGCTGTAAATAAGCATATATTTACCCAAAATATTTATTACAAGAAAGTGCATAGTGAATCGTCTTGCTTAATACACAATATATTTATAACAGGTGCTTTTAGATAATATGTAGATTGCTAGACTATAATGGTTAGCTTTATGATTTCCTTCAGTGGTATTTCATTAGATTGCAATATTGATTCTTGTGTATCTTGTTCTTTTTTTCAAAATTCTATACCTAATTACTGTCCTAATTGAACAATCTGTAGTGCTTTTGCTATATGTGGTACTTATGAAATATATATAATAGGATATAGTTTCACATAATAATGCATCTTTACCTCCAGCAAGTCATTGTATTCTTTGCATTGTATCATATTGCCAAATTTTCTACCCTGCGCTTTCTTTATGGAATTCGTTGCTTTTTCTCTATATTCCTTTTCTGTTTGAATCCTTTCTTTTCCTATCCTATTTTTTCTTCTCTTTATCTGCTTTTTTGTCTCTTGTTGTTTTCTTTAAACGTTATATTTTAAATGTCCCTATGTCCCAGAATATTTTAAGACTGACTATCTTGTGATTCTGTTATCATTGGTTTAAATATGAATGATTCTTTTTTTCTGAATGATTTAAGCCCTTGTCTGCTTTTCTGGATGGTGATTGTCACTCAAAGTCAACCCAATTCAATTTGCTGAAATATAGTTGAATATCAGATTTAGGATGAACAAAAACTAAACAACTTTCAAGAATTTGAATAATTTTTAGAATTTGTATCACATTTGTGCATTGTTATAATACATGTATGTTTTCTTTGATGGCTGCAGTTCACAAGACTGACAAAGTTGGTTTTGTTGGCCTTCTAAAAAAAATGTGAGTGTTCACCAGACCGAAATTATCAGTCTACTGGAATACCTCCTTTTGTAATACTTGTAGATTAATTATTCATTTTCAAATTAAGGCATTCACTTTTCTAAAATTATTTTACCCATCATTATGTTAGTTTTCTGCTTGCACATATTGGTAATACTGAATTCCATTTATTTGTATGTTCTTCTGTTTTGTGTATCACATATGACATAGATCCGTAAACCATATTTTGTGCTGAACTATATTTGTATACATATATTGAAAAATGCTGTTTACTTTTAACATCTAGGCAATTATTATATTTGCACAATCTTTAAATGTTTTCAATCAATTTTGGTACATACATATTATACTTATCTTGTTATTTTCGATTTACCGGTATGTTATTTATTTGCTCAATGTGAAAAGTGTCGTCTGTACAACTCTGATATAAAACTATGATATAACATGTATTTTAATAGTCAAATTTGTGGGGAAATTATTGATTTATAGAGACGAATCAATGTTATTACTTTCATTATGAGCTGGGTTTTTAAAAAATGTAAGATGTAGTAATGTGGGTAGTAATTGACCAACTGAATCTTAACTTATTTTGAGTGCCTCGATGTTGCATTGTTTTGTTTATTTATTTTATTGTTGCCTGTCTTTTTTGTAATCAATCAATCTGCATTTGATCTCTTAGACCCATATTTATATAAGCGAGAAATAGTCATTAATATAAGTCTCGTAGAATTATGTTAAACGTATGGGATGATACACTTGTATGAATATGGGCAATAATGTTTAACTGTTCACTAGATTTTTTACATTTATTTATTAAAAGGAATATGTTTGGATGTAAACAATCAGTTACAGCCAACCTCGGTTTTCAAAAAGCTCCAAGATGAATTTGCACTTGAGATGTTTGTGCCTCTGTAACTGTTCTTATATGAGCATGTTGATTTATAGTGCAAACCATCATTACACAAATTTGTACATGAAATGTTATAAGCAAATGGGTCTTAGACTAACTTCTATAGATTTGGGGGTTAATTTTGTATACTGCACTAATCACAGAGTAAATGTCTGTCTACTGAGCATTCAATACCTCTGCAACTTTATAAAAGACACATGAAGTGGCTGCATTTATAATACTGCCACTTTCAAGTCACATTGTTCAAAGAAAACAAATGACAAATGACGTGTAGGCCTGTTTTACTCCAATATATGGTAAGGCCTTTAAAAAAGATGTTTGGTTTTCTGATATTTCTCACTTTTTAATGCATTAATATTTTTTTTCTAAAAAAAAAAGTAAGAAAAAAAATTAAATTAAAAAGCCGACCATAGATTTTTGGGTCAGTCGCAAAGGGCAATACAACATTTTTTTTTAAAGGCCTAATCAGTCATGCCTTTTATGTGAGTATGTTTTTAACACATTAATGAACAATTTTTGAAAACATTTGTGTTATAAATTTTAATTTATTCTTTCTTACTGTGTAATTAGGTTAAATTTCCTACACTCCCTGATTCGTTTTACATTTTTGATGGATCAAAGCAGGCCTTTACTTGGGTGTCTTTGCCTTGAATTGTGATGAAACAGAAGATTCAAACATTGACTTATATGACTTGTATATGAGAGCTGTGGAGAGTTGTATCAAACTAAACCTTTCACGCTCTTGAAAAATCTTGCGATATTCAGAACACATACAAGACTGTGCCTTTCTGAATGGATGAAAGTTTGATTATAATGTAATGATTCATTTTACTGTTCCTGGAAGTGATCAATAATGTTCAATTGTACTGGATCTAAACAAATATTTTAATAAAAAAGTTTGAAAAACAATGCTCAGAATGGCTGCTATGTTGTGTCTCACACTATGAACACGACAGACAAAGAAAGCGGACAAAATATACAGTTCCTCAGGTAGATAAAGGAACATCCCTTCACTGCTATTATGTAAAAAGGTGAATATGCATGTGACACCTGTTCTACACATTTTTACATAATAGCAGTGAAGGGATGTTCCTTTGTCTGCCTGAGGTACTGTATATTTTGTCCGCTTTCTTTGTCAGTCATATTCATAGTGTCAGTTTTCTTCTGCCCTTTCTCCATTGTCGTCATCTTCTTTTTTTCCCCCTTTTTCTTCTCCATATCATCCTTAACGTATTTGATCATCATCTTCTTCTTTCTCTTCTTCTTATTTTCTTCTCTCTTCTTCTTCTTCTTCTTTTCTTCTCTCTTCTTCTTCTTCCTCTTTTTCTTCTCCTTATTCTTCTTCCTTTTCATCTTCCTCGATCTTCTTCCTCTTCATTTTCTTCTTCTAATTCCTCCTTTTTTTCTTTTTCCTTTTCTTTGTTTTCTTGTTATTCTTCTGTAATGTTTATGAGTTGAGAAAAGTGGTATCTTTGTTGACTGAGAAGAGAGAGAGAGAGAGAGAGAGAGAGCGAGAGAGAGAGAGAGAGAGAGAGAGAGGGAGAGAGGAAGAGAGAGAGAGAGAGAGAGAGGGGGGGGGGGGGGGGAGGGAGGGAGAAAGAAAAACAAGTTTATGCTACGAGCAAAAGGGTGCGCATACGGGTTTGCGCAAGTTCATTAGGTGTCTGTGTGTAGTCGTTGCAAATAGTCTCCTTTTAAAATATTACATTAAAAAATGAAATTCTTTACATTCCTAGTTTCCTACGCATACATATAATGAATTATTAATATTTTGAATTGCTTTAAAACATTAAAATTAATATAATTATTAAAATGGAGCTTTTTTAAAATCATAAATACGATAAAATTTAATACCAAGAAATAAGTGGCTTGTAGGATGACACTATTCTAATAGTTCATTGAACCTCTTACTGATAAACACAAGCCCGATGTTTGCCGAGCTCGAGCTTCGGCTTTCAATCGATCGTTCGTAACTGTTGTTGAGCGTCGTTTTCCAGCAGAAGCCGTTTTACCCTTGACCCACGCTAGAACAAGGAAGAAGGGTAATTTATTATTTCTTTTGCCGAATTATCTGTACGTATTAAATAATTTCATCAACTTGCAGTTATTTGTGTGAGTGAGAGTGGTACTTTATATTGAATACGTGCATTACATTATTATCAGAATAATGCCATTTGTGATAATTGATTGCTCGAGAATGATGATGATGCTGTGCATGCACTGTAGTACGCACACACATGCAGCTGCAGTGGCCCAGAATGGCATGCCTTCGGGCGTTTGCCCTTTGGCACATTGGAGCTGGCTTGTGTGTCCGCGCAATTGCAACTCGCATGCTTCATCTCTGTACAAATATTCCAGAAAAGACATAGATTCTAGGCCTATAGAGTACAGTAGAACTAGTATTGGCACTAATTCAGAATCATATCCATACTTTGACCCGTAACTCTGGGGTGGAGATATAGATCTAGTCTACTTACCAAAAATCAACTAAATCTTCATCAATTTGACAATTGTTCAATTAATGGTCATGATTTAAAATTTGTAATGTTTCTTGCCTGTTTCGTGTCAATTTTCTTCTCTTTTTTGGAGTATTTTTCCGAAAAAACAAAGACTTATAGTACACTTTTTCACAGGATTCACGGCAAACTACTGCACAATACAATTGCACAACATACTGATGAGTGATGGTGGGGTGCAGGCGCGCTCATGTGCCTGAAGTTAGAGACTGTAATGATGAATTACTCACATGAATTTAATAAGGATCTGAGATTGCAGTTGCTAACTTCAGTCGCGCCTACACCCCACTGTCGGTACGCTATATTGTATGCAACTGTATTGTGCAGCGGTTTGTCGTGAAACCTGCGAGTCTTTGTTTTTTGGGGAAATATTTAAAATAGAAAAAGAAAATTGAACAATAGATCTACAGGTAAGAAACTTAACAACTTTTAAATCATGACCATTATTTGAACAATTAATGGCGTCAATTTAGGAAAATGAGGCCGAGACTGGACAACATAATGCACATGCGCTAGATTCGGCTAGCTGTATGCTAAATAAAGTTCTACGTGGGAGGTACATTACGATGGACCTAATCAGCAGAAGCCTTGCTCAATTACAGGAAACTAGTAAAATTTGATCAATGAAACCAGTAAGTTTTATTTGTTTGTTATTAGTCATCAATCTTGAGAGGTTAATATGTATGATAAAAGTTTAGTAGGGTAGCTGCACCAGGTTTAACAAAATGTTGCATGAATGTGCTGCAGTACAGTGTTATCCAACTTTATACACAGCCAGGATAGTAATGTTGCTATGTGTGTACAAATACTTGTATTTTTATAACGGTTAAACGAAACCACCCGTATAAAGTTAAAGGTTAAACGTTTAGCAAAAAAAAAGCGTAATGGCTCAGGTCTAATTTAAAATATAGCCCAGTTTGGACGGAGTTAAACCAAATTTAAGTATAAATGCAGTTCTATTTCAAGAACTCAACAAGATTGGTGTATTAACTCCACCTCTCTCTCTCTCTCTCTCTCTTTCTCTCTTTCTCGCTCTCTCTCTCTCCCTCCCCCCCCCCCCCCCCCCCCCCCCCCCTCTCTCTCTCTCCCTCCCCCCCCCCCTCTCTCTCTCCCCCCCCCCCCTCTCTCCCCTCCTCTCTCTCTCCCCTCTCTCTCTCCCCCTCCCCCCCCTCTCTCTCTCCCCCCCCCCTCTCTCTCTCTCTCTCTCCCCCTCCCCCTCTCTCTCTCTCTCACTAAACAGGAATAAGGTGAGAAGTCATGGCATCTCAATCAGTTGTAAGGGGACCTGCTGGTAACAATGAATGCAGGATATATGTAGGTAACCTTCCCCCCGATATCAGAGAGAAGGATATCGAGGACATGTTCTACAAGTTTGGCTCCGTCGCAGATATCGACCTGAAGAACAAGAGACCACCTTCATTTTCAAGCTCAGGATCAGAAAGAGAACGATTCGGAACACCCTTTGCTTTTGTGGAGTTTTACGACAGAAGGTTTGTGTATTCACTAAAAGAAAAATCCTTTGTATTAACTATTGGCAAAAATTTACTTTATTTGTGGTCAACCAAAAAATTGTTTTTTTTTTTACGAGGGCTCTTTTCAGATTTTCCCTTGAAAAAATAGCCCCCCTTAATTATTTTGCGGTGGCTATTTTGGAGCTCAGGGGGGCTTTTTTTTTTAAAGGTTGTATTTTTTTAAACGCGGTTTTACCTAATTAAATTCCAAGCAAAGGCAAATATAGATACAATTGTAGCGTACATATGTCATGTAGAGTATTGCAGACATTCAGATACCCATGATTTATTCACTTTGTGTTAAACGTGTGGCTTTATGATTTACATAACATGTAACTAAAACTTGTCAAAAGGAGTGTTTTGTTTAACTGTTCGTTTTTCATATCCTAAGAAAATATTATCACTGACACGCGGGCTAGGAATTAATTTTTTTATGGGGGCTACTTTTCCCCATTGCCTAAAAAAAACCAAGGGGCTACTTCCTTAAAGCCATATTGTAAGCTGTAACAATAAGTTGTGTTTTTCCTTAGCCATCATACTACTAGCAACCAAATTGGTAGGTAATATGTTATTTAGTCTTTTTTTCTGTCCCAAATTTAATTGTTATCATGGACAATGCAATCCCATTAAAAAAAAAAATGTAGACCAACTCCCTTTAAAATTGTGTTATTTAGACCATTTATAACCATTAAATGTGAGTAAATATTTTTACTGTTGTCCCACATACCGATGTAGGGTCTATTTGTTATGCCGAAACGTGCAAAATCATGACCTTATTTTTTTTTTATAGACTCTAATTCTAAAGGCCAAGCCAAAGCTAGTTTCATTTCGTAGACAGAAATTGATGTCATCATCACTCATGACAATTGGCCTGGCATCGATCGTATATAAATAATTTAATTTAATTAAACAGTTGTAAGAAAGATTCTGAGGAGTAGGAACATCCTTTATATATTTATTTACGTTTTTTTTATAACAAAATTCAATTTCTGTGTACGAAACTTGCTTTATACCGATTTTACAAGAAAAAATCCGGCATTGATTTCGCACGTTTCGATATTACAAATATATCAGTATGTGGGACAACAGTAAAAATATACTCGCATTTAATGGTTTTAACTTATAAATAACACAATTTTAGACGGAATAACATTTTTTTTTAAGGGATTGCATTGTCCATGATAAAAATTAGGGCCAGAAAAAAGACTAAATAAACATATTACGTACCAATTTGGTCGCTAGCAGTTGAGCTCTCGTCACTCGCAAATACTTATTTGCTTCATACAAGGAGCGTGCGGGCGCGCGCTGGAGGGCCTAGGCCTGAGTCAAACCGTTTAACCGACGGTTATCCGACCGCATTCATCAAAACCGTTTAGCATTTCTCGCTCCGGTTAACCGTTATTTGCATACATTTTGGAATGTGCTAATAGCCGATGATAAAGATAATCAAAGAAACCGCAGTGTAATATTACACCCTGGCCGCTGCGCGCTAGCTTTCTGGCAGCAGTAATCCCCATGAATGAATTTGTAAACAATAAAACAACCAGCCCCCTTCTCTCTTTTCTCACCCTCTTTATTCCCTTCTCTCTGCAATGTGTTCATCGCTCATGTACCTTTTCTTATTACTGCACTCTCAGCTCATAACTTTCTAAATGTTTACACATTCGATGGTCAGTTCCTCTCACATCCCTTCTCCCCCGAGTCTCTCTCTCTCTCTCTCAATATTAATATCCATCCCTTGCCGACTCACCCCCTAAAATAATGTTCATATATAAATAAAATACAAAAATATTGATAACAATAATAATTGAAGTTTTAGAAATATCAATCAACAAAGTCTTGGATATTATTTGTGAGTAATTTAAGTTTTTTATCATTCTTCAATTCAGCCGATTAACACAGCCACCCTTTCTTACTTCAATCTTCACTCATGTCCATGCAGGGACATGCGGGGACATGCTAGCCCATGCATGCTCTCTCAGTCACACACACATGTACACACAAACCTCCGGCGCCCAAATACACTGTACATACACACAGATGGAGAGCTCATGCTTGTCACATGCACACATGTGGGCGTGGCTTCTTGACCTCCCACTGAACTGGGTACGGTGAAAGCACGCGCGGTCACCAACCTGTAATTTATGCTGGTATCAAACTCCACCCACATAGCTAGAGAACCTTCCTGATTGGTCACTAACTTGGATCAGCTCATTGCAGGGTGTGTCTTGGGTGTGTGTGATACACACTTCCACATAATTTCATATGGCAATGATACATGCAGGGAGCTCTCTCCCTGACCATGTGCAAACATTGCATTGCAAAGGCATATATAAACACGTCACAGATCAGCTAACTTCACAGAGTAACTTTGCAAGGTTAATCATGATATCAAATTCAGATGAGGAATAATAAGACATGTTTTATGTTGTTTATTACTGGTCTCTGTTTATCAGGATGACCCAATTTGTGCCATAGTCCGGGGCTGGGAATGCTCAGCCCGACAGTCTGAAGACCAGCAGGGTTCCGAGCTACAGCACTATTAAAAATACTGTATTTTCACTTTTTCAGATTATTATTAAACGGTTAAACGAAACCGCCCGTATACTTTTAACGGTTAACCGTTTAGCACAAAAACCGTAATGACTCAGGCTTAGGCCTGGAGCTGAGCTAGTACGTTTCTGTGTATTGTGAAAGTGTGCGAACTGCGTATGCATTCATGCTGTGCACGAAACTACATCGGTGCCGGTGGCCTGTCCGGCCGCCGGGAGCTTAGGCGCAGGCAGGCGGATACCGCTGTAGATCTAGCTACAGTAGGTACGACCGCCGATCCGCTGCAACTCACAAAACTTTTAAAATGTTGATGGAAGTTTCTAGTTTTGGAGTTGGTAGTTGGAACGGAGATTTCACTCAGACACATCCATAAATTGGTTTATTAATTCATAGGGAATATCAATTTATGGCGGGGGCGATTTTTCAAGATATATTGATTTTTTTTCGCCCTCGTCTTGATTTTTACCGTGGCGATTTCAGAGGTTTAGGGGGCGAATCGCGCGTCGCCACCGTGTATTTTTTTCGTTGTTTGTGGTGCTATTTTGTAACAATTTTTTCCACTAGTTTGGGAATTAGGAACATTGAATCGCACCCTGTCTTTCCTCAGGGTCTATCCATCAGAAGGTCCAGAGAAATCAGAGACCTTGTTTATCAAGTTAGTAAAATTCTGAGTTGTTGCGATATATAATAAAGGGATGCAGGTGAAGCAGTGCTGGAATCATTCGCTACAACTGCAATAGCTGTCAATCCTCATAGTCTGTTTATCAAGATAGTGAAATTCTGATTTGTTTTGATACCTGAAGGGATGCCGATGATGCAGTGCTGGCACGAGATGGATACAATTACGATGGCTACCGGATACGTGTAGAGTTTCCAAGAGGAACCAAAGGCTTCAAGGGCAGCCGCCCCAGGGGGCCACCACCAAGAAGATCGTCATATCGCGTTATTGTATCTGGTATGTAGGGAGGGTTTAGTAGATTTCATGATGTGCCATGCAAGAGGTTTGTAAAGCACATGTTGGTAACCTGTTGACCGCTTTAAAATGATATGTACTTCTTGTGTTCCCTAAATACTAGCACTCCCAACTAAATCTGGCATCATGTCGTTTAACCACCCAAAAAGTAGTATAATTTCTTTATCCTTAGATGACATTTAAACTGAAGGATGAGATCGTAGAGGGAAAATGCTTTCATACATGTAGATAGGTACGCACTTTTAAGGTTGCTATTATTATTATTCAAATCTTGTTTTGATTAAGTATATACCGGCATAGAACCCCTAAAGGTCTTCTTTAAAGCAGGGGTTGACCTCCAAGAGGCACCTTGGACACATGGGCCTCATGCACACAGACAATAATAATTTCATACTCAATGCGTTACCCCCCAAAAATTGGTGTGAAACATTGTTTCAAGTAAAAAAAAAAAATTAAAAAAAAGTATTCAAAGTAGATAGATGTTTCCTTATACCTTCCTGTTGAGTGACTGTTGTTGTTGCGTGTCTCAGGTCTACCTTCAACGGGCAGCTGGCAGGATCTCAAGGACCACATGCGTGAGGCAGGTGACGTTTGCTATGCCGATGTCTACAGAGATGGAACAGGTGTGGTGGAGTTTCTCAGACCGGAGGACATGAAATATGCCGTCAAACAGTTGGACGATACCAAGTTTAGATCGCACGAGGTACTTATGAATGCTTATTTAGGACAGGGTTTTCAGGTGTATGCCACCAAAATGCTGTATGGAAAGTTGGTGAAATCAGTTATGAATTATATTGAATATAACACAGGTAATTCTCATTACTACATAATCCGACAGACCATGCTAGAATCATCTGTTCTAAGATGTACATTGTAACTCAGTGATACGTAAAAGTCAAATTCTCGTTGGGACTTTGACCACATTTTGCTATTCATCCAACAACCAGTGATTTAGATTACTGATAAGTATCTCTGTGAGGACATGCTCCTATTAACCCTAAATGGAATTATGGCCCTGTACTGCTTTGATTTTGATGTTGCAAGATTTCACACAGATGATGGGGATTTACCAAGTCAATATGTGCCAAACTTTGTTTCACATCACTGCGTAAAGGAATTTGCACCAGGCCAACGGTAGAAGTAGATTCGGGCCTATTTCTGTATTGTATGTACCAGACATTTCATTGTTAATAATGTTTTCAGGAAAAATGGGGTGAAAAATTGTATCCTATCATGTTTTTTTCTGATCTGTAGGGAGATGTCTCCTACATCCGTGTCAAGGTTGACCCTACCAGTGGTTCTGGTCAATCACGAAGTCGTTCTCGAAGCCCATACGGTCGTGGTGGTGGTGAAGGCGGCGGTGGAGGTGGCCGCGGCCGTGAGGGTGGCGGCGGTGGTGGTGGTGGCGGCCGCGGCGGCGGTGGAGGCAGTGGTGGTGGTGGCGGCGGCGGTGGCTATCGCTCCCGTAGTCGATCCCGCAGCCCGAACTGGGGCGGTGGCAGCAAGCGTCGCCGATCGCGGACCAGGTCCTTCTCCCGTTCCAGATCACATAGCTCCAGGTCCGGCTCGAGATCGCGATCCAGGTCCCGCTCGTAGTCCGATCGTCAACCTACGTTCCTTCCGCCGATCTCTGCCCACTGTGTTTCTACAATACATCGCTGCTAGGCAGGCTCCATTGATTTCCTGATGCCATAAAACTGTGTATGTTACAAAAGACTGTAAATAATTTTTGTAGTGCTAGAAATCTGTATTTTGTATTCTTGATGCTTTTCAATTGAATAATTTAGGTAACATCTGACTTTGATTTACTACTTTGGTAATATCGGGTAGGGCTTACATTCTGACCCCTGGCTCTTAGCGAAGGGTTAATTTATTATCCATGCAAGTCCATTAACGCCATATACCCATATTATCCATTCTAAGTCAATGTACAGTGTATTGCACTGATTCATTTTTTTTATTACAAGTAATCATCATTATATTAAACAGGAAATACACATATTAGAGAGACGATATTATATTCTTTTTTTAATAACATGAAAAAATGGCAGACAAAGTATTTTTTGTATTATCGGTAGATTTATTATTTCTCATTGAATCTTGATTCCAAGTTTAAATTCAAACGCCTACTTTGATACAAAATGATTTCTTGATGTAAGTGCTGTAAATAGTGGATGCAAATTGTGAATTAATTGAATTATGTAAATAAGTTTCTACCATTCAAATTATAGATCCAGGATAGAAGGGATTCATTTTACATGTAATTTATATTTGCAGCACCTCCTTTTCCTCACATGCATGGTCTGTCTGTTTTTCTGTATGTCTGCCTGTCCGTCTCATTCTCTCTCTCTCTTAGATGCTCTCTTCTCTACCTAGACATTTTTCGATGTTTTGTTTGCGTACTTCTTTCAGATTTTTTATTTGTCTTGCAATTTCCATCTTTGTTTCACCTCTACCTCTCTTTCTCCCCAGTTTCTGGTCCCTTCTTTAAACCCTCTTTCCTTCACACATTTGTTTTTTAAATCATGAATTTTGACAATCTAAGAAATGGCTTTTTAAGATAGTTGCAGTGCTCAAGGTAAGAAAGGCATGGTATAAACTTTGCAAGTTCCAATGAGTTTTAAAGTAGTTTATTGTAAATGTTTACTTTCAAATTTGCATGTGTATACAGCTATCGATGGAATACAATGTATCAAGAGCTTAGACGGGATTTAGTCATTACAGAAGTTTTCTCCCCCATTTTAGTAGAATATAATTTTGTAAATACATGTATGCCTTTTACAGGAAATAATTCACTTTGTGTTAAAACCTTTTAAAATATGAAAGCATATAAATCAAGATATTGTCCATTAGCAGTTTGAAATCAAATAACTGTATTGCTACTGATTGGTTTATGTGTGTTAACATTGATTCTTGTGACTTTTTGTGTTAACCTCCCAGATTGACCCCTTCTGGAGGCATTCAGGAAGGAGGATCATAAAATCAGGCATTAATGAGGAGGAGTTGGATTTGTGAAGATCCAGGAATCAGGGATCCAATATAAAAAGACGGATCCATGGAATGCATTCATAATCCGGGAATGATTTTCAGGATCGCATTCCGGAAGTTGGATGTGTCAGGATTCAGGATTCAGAGATCAAAAATAGAATAGTCACAGATCCACGGAATGCATTGAAAATCCGGAATAGTTTTCAGGAGCAAAAATTCGGATCCGGTGATAATTGGCTTTAGGGATGAAAATCAGATCAGGATCCGGCGAATTCAGGATCATAGCAAGGAATCATTCAAGGATCCAATTTTTAAAGTATTCAGGGATCAAAGGAAGGATCAGATTGGATCGCACCTCAAATGGTCCTGTGATCCGCAGGTATTGAGGGATCAGGTTTGGATCAGAATGAGAGCACAAGTAGAAGTCCGATGAGCATGGATCAGTGGTCCGAAGAATCATGGATCACTTAATGAGAAAAGAAAGGATAGATCAGTAGGGGGAAAGGAATCAAACATTCGGTGGATCAGATCAAAAACGTCATACCATGATTCACACCCTGGAGCGCTTGATCTGGGAAGAGAGTCAATTACCTCTTCAGGGATCAAATTTTGGAGTTTGGATCATTTCATAAGGAAGGGATCATTGGACGGTATGATTTCATTTTTGTTCACATGATATACATAAATGTACACCTTCATGTATATATATTACGGTATGCACTTGTCATTATTTTTTCTTTGTTTTGTGCCAGTGTTGTGTTGTCCTTTTATTCATTTAGGTAGTCACAATTTTTTAAAGCAGAATTGAAATAAAGAACCCTATTCAGTCCAGATATGTACCTGTTTTTATTGATTTTTGATTTGTTTTCTCAGTGTGACAATACATAATAATCATCATTTTAGGTGAGTATACCCCCACACAGTCCTGAAAGTTGGTAGGGCCACGCAAATTATTTGTTTGCATGTATAAGCAGATGATTTGCTCCTTCTCTGTGAATCCTGATTCCTGAATTATTTCATCCTTACAATGTATGAAGATTTTTCTGATACAGTACATGTATAAAGAACAAAGGACTAAACAATTTGAATATTTTGGTCAGTGGAGAGGCATGCTTGTGATGATGATGCTGAGAGTGTGGAACATGTGCTCCGGCAACGATCAATTCACTTCTAACCAACACCGTAACTTTAACCCTGGAGGCCTGGACCCAATACCACACTTCAGTCTATTCACAACTCTAAACTGAATCTAAAACCAATTCACAACCCAAGCCCGTGCCTGTTCATATCTACATGTTCATCAAAGTAATACCCAAAGTGAATGTTGCCGGAGTACATATGTTGTTACGCTGCTGTGATGCGAAGTGTGAGAGAGAGATGTCGCCAATCAGGACCTAATGAGTTCTCTTTGATTTGTCTCCTTGAAGGTGACGGAACATTGGAGGGACTAAAAACAGGAGGTGGAGATTGGGAACATGGTTCAAATGGACAAATGGAGGATCAAATAAAAAGGGTATTCATTGATTGATTTCAGCGTAAAGCCAATAAAAGAAAAAAAAAGTTTCTTCCTAGCCCCAGAACGATAATTTCTGGTCCTGCAATTGCTTTGGTTTTGGAATGTTTGGCTAATGCCTCTAATATTTCTTTAGCTATACCCCTAAGCCGTCTTGTGAACGAAACCAATTCCAAATACAATATTCCAAATGCCATATCCCATCTTCAAACACTTTGATCAAGACAATAATTGAAGGTTGCTAGGGGTGAGATAGATGATCTAGTGAGGGTAAAATTCCCTTACAGGGGTGTAGTTTGGGTCCAACAGTACTGATGCAAGAGGGTGAGGTAACATCAAATAGTGGGAGGGTTTGGAAAGGGATCGAATCTTCTTTTCCTGCTGCCTTCCCTCTTCTGTTATCTCCCTCCCTTTTTAAAATTTGTATTCCTGTCTTTATCTCGTTTTACCCTGTACTCCACCCCTCCCCCTCCCCTCTCCAAAAAAGAAGCTTTGTCACTGCACCCATGGACAACATACCTCGGGGGGGGGGGGGGGGGTATTGAATCTCATTGAATCTCGTCTCCTTATACATGTATTGAATAACTTTGTTTATTTTCACAGTTCCTATCTCTCCCATGCATTTTCTTGTTCTTCTCCAGTTTACAGTTTCCCCAATTTCTTCCAGAAGTGGTTTCCTGTCTACTACATTTATCTCCCCTCTTTTTCTCTCTCTCTCTTTCTCTCATCTTTTTTCTTTTGTCTTGCCCTCTTCTCCCTTTTGCTCTCTCCTCTCTCACCATTTCTATTTTATACTTGAACTTGATTCTGAATAAACATTTGCCAATACATGAAGTAACTATTTGTTCAATTGTCAATTTTAAGTGTTGAGATTTAATTTTAATGGTACATGCATTGATTATAAGGATAAAGGTCACCTCACACATTATTTGCTGTTCCACATTTGTAACATATCAAACAACTAGACGTGTGTTTCAATAAACATTGTTTAATAGTCGTTTATTTTTCAAACCACAATACAAATGATAAAAAGATGGAATACCCTGTTCAAGCAATGTCAATCAATACATATGTGCATGAGTTTTGAATTAAGCGATCTGGTGCTTTTGAAAATAGGGCTCTTGTTATTAACAAATGCCATTCATATGTAGTTTGTACAAGAGTAATTGTGAGATAGAGGAAGAAAATGAAAGAGGTTGCATCTAGGACGACTACGGCTTTAAAGCGGGTGATGGTGACAGTGGTGATGTTGATGGTATTGATGCAAGTCTTGGTGATAATTAAATGGTATTGGAAGCATATTTGTGTTGGTGATGATGGTGATGATGAAAAAGTGTTTTAAAAAAAAAGTGTTGTATTACCCTTTGCGACCGACCCCAAAATCTTGAAATCTACGGTCGGCTTTTAAAAAAAGTTTTTAGAATAAGTATTTAAGCATACCAAACTGGGAAATATCAGCCCAAAGAGAGAGAAAGAAAAAAAAGTTATACCAAAAAAAAAATTCCGACCGACCGACCCATGTTTGGGCACCTAAAGGGTAATACAACATCTTTTTTTTAGGCCTGATGGTAGTGGTGATGATGGGGATCATTGTCATGATCATGATGGAGTTGGTGTTACTTCGTAGCGAGGGTGGTAATGATGATGGTGACGAAGCTTCTGGGAATGATGGTAGTAGTGATACCAATCATGCACATGTTGATAACGAAAAAGACGGTGGTTGTGAAGAATAGGATGATTAAAGGTAAAAATGGTGATGATCAGTGATTAAAGGGATTGGGTTACTTTGTCTCAGACTCTGAAACAAAATCCTGGATTTAGCTCATGCTGCAATGACAATCATAAACCTTTAGGTCAGTCAGGAACCCCAGTCAGGAACCCCATGACTTTTACAAGCTGATCGCCTGTTTGATTAACAAGATATTTATGATTAGGAATCGAAATTCCCTTTTTTCTAACTGTTTTCATAACACTACTCTCTATTGGGAAACATGAGCAGATTCTTACTTTTTTGAGGCACTTTATGATCATTTTGAAGCGCAATTTGTTAAGGGCTTCTATATTGCACCATATTGCAGACACTGATAACACGTCGTAGGGTCATGAATCTCAGATTTAACATTGTTAACGATGCCTTTAAAAGGGTAAAGGTAATGATAGTGATGAAGATAGTTGGATAGCGGTAGGAGCATTATGAACACGATCACAAGTTTCGTAAATACATGCATTTTCTAAAAAAATGTGTCATTGTCGCATAGAATCTTGTACGTAAAGTGTTGTTATGTTCTCACAATTCAATAAGTGACGCACGAAGCTATTGAAATTGCCTAAGGTTGATGTTTCTCTTGATTAGTAATTGCTATCGTGTTTTATGGAGTTTCAGATGATGGTGTGCTAGGTGGAGGTGGAGGATATACATGTATGCGAGAGAACAAGTAGGCTATATAATCGGGGGGGGGGGCATGTAAGAAAATAGATATGGCCTATCATTTTTTGTATCCTTTTCCTTTCTTCTAAATTTCTATTCTCTCTCTCTCTCTCTCTTTCCCCCTCTCTCTATGTCGATCTTCTTCATTTGATTTAAGAACATGTTGTACCCTTCCTCCAATGTAGCTACATGTATACGCCATTGGGGCAGATTATGTCGTCCGACCTCTCTGATATATTTTGTTTATAGCTTTCACTTTCTATTTCTCTCGATCTTCTTCTCAATCCATCCCCGCTCTCTCTCTCTCTCTCTCTCTCTCTCTCTCTCTCTCTCTCTCTCTCTCTCTCTCCCTCCCTCCCTCCTCTCTCTCTCTCTCTCTCTCTTTCCTCCCTCTATATATCTTTCTATCCCCCTCTTTCTCTCTCTAGCTCCAGCTATATCTTTCTTTCTCTCTCTCTCTTGTTATTTATAATTCTGTCATTGCACACATATACAACACAGATTACACTTCCAAACCAGCAGACATTTAATTTGATTTTGTTTTGCTTTATCTTTCGATCCACTTAGTCAATTGCTCTTACGTACACATAATTCACTGAAAATTACGTGAATATAAAATACAATAAAGTACATCTGAATATAATTATATACATGTACATCTGTAAAGGTAAGCCTAGTACATTCAGCTGTACCTTTTATCTCGATGGTCTAATAGACTGCAAGCGTATAGACTCTAATTCGAAACATTATTGTACCACAATAAGCATAGTCTGGATATGTCAGTCACTGGCTTATACAGCTGTGTCAGGAGCAGCTAAAAGTACAGAGCCTATACTGTAGTCTCATAGTTCAGACACTGTTACGCACAAATTAAGACTGACTATATAGGGCCTGCCTGCAAAGCTGAGGCTATCACAATATGGTCGTTAAAGTAGCAGTGTCTCCAATGACGTCTTATTTCGCATACATTTAGAGCACTTTCACACATAATTATGACCCCCTCATCCGTAAAAAAAAAACACTGCGACCAATGGGCTCTAAATAAACCCCTTTTCTTGGAGTTATATAAGTAGGTTATACACATTAATAAAAAGTAAACAATTTTCGTAAAACACAGGTGCATTTATAAGCATTAACCTTTTGCAGAACTTCGTGAAAAAATGTCCCCTTCCTTATAAAACCTTTTGCTCAATAAAAGAAATACCCTTGTGTTTTTGTCTTCAGATGGAGGATTTGATGATTATCATCAAATCCTCCATCTGAAGACAAAAACACAAGGGTATTAACGATACGCGCATATCGTGGAAATATTGTGAAACCCCTGCCAATAATATTAGTGACCTGCCAGTGTCACAAATTAGGTATCTAAATACGCTTATCTGACCATAAATAAATGCCTAAACCCCTGAGCTTCTGGGAGCTCTGCCCCCTTGACCCCTGCCGGGACAAAGCCCTGGACCCCACGCCAATTGACGCTCCACTCACTATACGCTCTACCTAATCGTTCCACTTTGAAAAACATTCCGCGGGGCCTGCATGTAACTTATAAGAGTGGGGGCATGCAGTGCAGATTTTTCTTCTGCCCCAAAACGTTTTTGCCCATTACGCCACTGACCTGAAAGGTGACCCCCTGGAACCCCCCCCCCCCCCCCCCCCCATTCCAAACTGCTTCCGGCGTGCCTGACTGTTACACGTCTATTTGGGCAAGGATTTAGATAATTAGCTCCTTGTTTAATGACATGATTTAATGCTCTTCAAAGAGCAGATATTTTATTGAGAACTTGATAATTTAATCATGAATCATTATAACTATAATTGCCGTGTAACTATGTCAGTATTGATCAAAGTTATGGGAATTTGAATGAAATTAAATATTTTCTCAATCACGCCTTAAATAAAAAATAAAAAATAAAAAAGTGCCACATAATTATAATCACATATAAAGTCCAATATACAAATGAATATGAAGGAATTAAAACCAGCAGACAAGTGCGCATATAATTATAGTTTACAATGATAAATCACAATTTAACGGGGATATACTGGACGAATAGGTGATGAATAAACTGCGATCCGATTTGGGTTTTGGATTTCGCAATATATAGGTAGGCAAGAAAATGTTAAAATGATTAGTATATTTCAAAATCAAGATAGCTTTAAACAAAAGGGCATAACCCGGACTTTTTAGGGTTTTTTTTCATCGCCACTATATGACAAACCTGATTTAAATCAAGATTATGGCCGGGCCAACAAAAGTGCATTCTAGCCTTTAGTATACAATCAGTTGCTATGAGAGGAGTATAGCTAAAGTCGTGAAATATTTTTAAAGGAAAAGGCTTTACAAGCAAGTTTAAAAGTTGTATATAAATTTACAGAGAATCTGTCGTCTGCGTTATAAATATTTTGATACATTAAAATATAGGCCTATCATGCGTTGAATGGTGTCAACAAATATGTACATCAAAATTTCTACCATTTACAAAATATATCATCTCTGAAAAAATTCACCATACTCGATTCTTTCGTCGTAATATAAAATTCATGATGGTTTCTATATTAACTTGCACCATGCAAATTTAAGTATTCACAGGTTAAAAGAAAGTGGTCATTTATATTTGATCATAAAATACATATTTTGATACAAAACAGTCTGTCTATTCAGGAATATACTCTCTCTTTATTTGAAAAATCACAGAGTATTACATAACGGTTATCACAAAAACATTCCGTGGAAAGCATTCACACCGACATGAAGCACGAGCGACCTCGGAGGTTAGCAATTAAGACGATCCCGCCACGAACATGCCGCGTTTACGGACGATTTCTATAATCATAGTAGGACGATTCCTACACGAAAATGCCGTGAATACCAAACAAACTGATAGGTAGTGGGATGACAGCCCGGGCGATTTCGGTGAGGGTACGGGCATCGAGCACCAGCAAGAACGGAGGTTGTTTATCGTCTGCGAGGTTTGTCACGCAGGACAGGATTACTCCTATACACAGAAAGCAGAAGCAAATTTTATTCTGTGGTCTATAACGCCAAGGGAAAGAGTCGGGGGAGGGGCCGGGGGGGGGGGCGGAAGCAGGCGCGAATCCACGATTTCTTAGGGGTGGGGGCCCAAATTTGAAATCAATTTGAAAGTCGCGCCCGCCGAAAATTCGCTCAGTGGGGGGGGGGGGGGGGGGGGGGGGGGGGGGGGGGGGGGGGGGGGGGGGGGTGGGGGGGGGGGTAGTGACCACTAATTTTTGTTTGGTCCTCGAAAATTTGAAAAATTGGACCCCCCCCCCCCCTTTTACTACTCACATATTAAAACATACAGTGTGTGCAGCTCTAATGGGTCACTTTTTCACACAAAAATCCCTAAACATGGGTTCCAATTGTTAACAAAAATATCTCTCAACATTGGTCTGTTTATTCAAAATTGTCAAAAAAGGGCTTTACTTCGGGTAAAAATTCCCCAATGGATAGGGGTTTCGAGGCTTCAGTGGCACACCTCGTCCAAACCAAATCTGAGTAAAACATAATTACAATAGTACTCCTGATAACAATGATAATAATAATAATTATAATGATAACATTTATCAATGATAATACATTATACAGGAAAATATAATTATATTCTCGCCCTTACAACTTGCGATAGTCTGGAAGATTCGGTTGGATGAGAATAAGGGGGGGGGGGGATTCGGATTTTTTTTTTTCGCTCCTACCCTTCACAAAACAAAAACCTATAGCTTGGGCAGGGAGGAGGGCTTCACGCGGCAAAAATATATATATATTGAGATTTTCTTATTCATAAGCGCCGCCCCCCATTATGTTTCTTGGATCAAAAACCATCAGGAAATAACATGTTAAGTCTGCTTATATAACCCCCCCCCCCCCATCCCTCTCGCCCTCAAGAGGGTCAGCTACCCCAACTAAAAATAGTTCGACCCCTTTTTAGGCATCTAGGCTTCCAACTTTTGACGTAGGCCTACTCAGTCCCCCCGGTCCCTCGCATTTCGACGCCCCCCCCCCCCGATCGCGTTATTTTTTTCGAGGGCACAGATTGGGGTTAGGTGCGTGTTGAGCCTATGGGAAAGTTTAGGGTTAGGGTTAAATCAAGACCCCTTTTTAAAGAAAATAACGCGGGGTCATGAAAAGAAATCGCCGCCCCTGCTACTCACCATCATCCTCAGCATTCTTGGTTGGTGCGGGGACGAACATAGGTTCTGACGGAAAGCAACCCGGGCTAGACCACGTCTCAACGCGGCGGGTTTTCACGTTGACCTTATGTATCTAGGAGAAGAATTATTTTATTCAATTAAACTATGCCGTAAAATGACAAGCTGTGATGAGAAGTATCTCCAAAATGATCCGATCCTCATATATTGTTTACGGATATCTAAACAAAGACAGAGAGAGAGAGAGAGAGAGAGAAAATCCCACACTGACAAAATCAAATATATAGACTGGTTTACTCCATTGTATCATATTCGGGCAGGAAGTAATTTCACTTCTAAAATTTCGTATCCGGACACCTACCCCCTGGACATCCACTCTCGGATAACCACCCCCCAGTCAAATACCCCCAGGACAACTACCCCCTGGGCCAACACCCTTTAGGACGACTACCCCCTAGGACAATTACCCCTAGGACAACTACCCCCAGACAACTACCCCCTAGGACACTTCCCCCGGACAACTATCCTAGGGAGTAGTTGTCCGGGGGTAGTTGTCCTAGGGGGAAGTTGTCCTAGGGGTTACTAGTTGTACTACGGGGTAGTTGAGTGGGGTGGTTATCCGGGGGGTGGATTACCAGGGGGTGTCCTAGAACCCTAAAATTTATCATAATTTGTCTGTGCTAGCTTCTCTCGCGCGTGTAAACTTTAGAAAATAAAGAGTTGTTATTCAAAATGCGTCAGTGACACCTACCCCCTGGACATCTACTCTCGGATAACCACCCCCAGTCAACTACCCCCAGGACAACTACCCCCTGGGCCAACACCCTGTAGGACGACTACCCTTAGGACAATTACCCCTAGGAAAACTACCCCCAGACAACTACCCCCTAGGACACTTCCCCCGGACAACTATCCTAGGGAGTAGTTGTCCGGGGGTAGTTGTCCTAGGGGAAAGTTGTCCTAGGGGTTACTAGTTGTACTACGGGGTAGTTGAGTGGGGTGGTTATCCGGGGGGGGGGTGTCCTAGAACCCTAAAATTTATCATAATTTGTCTGTGCTAGCTTCTCTCGCGCGTGTAAACTTTAGAAAATAAAGAGTTGTTATTCAAAATGCGTCAGCCTTCTTCAACCCCCCCCCCCCCCCCCCCCCGCCTTACCCCCCGCACTCAGGCCCCTCGCGAAAATGTGCCCGTTCGCCTATATGCAATTGGGTGTGAATAAAGCATGGTAACATTACTTCTTTACTTTGGTAACACGAAATCCAGTCCGTGTCATTTTCCACGACCATTATCTTCATCGTTATAATTAAAAAGTTTGAAATAAAAACTTTGTCTTATACAAATAATTACCTTCTGCATATTTCCACCCGTACCATACAAATATTGATAGTCACGTCCGTTGAAGTCGGCATAGTTCACTTGAGGTAACTCCAAACCTAGGGGAGAAAAAAAAAAGATGTGAATTCTTCCTTCAATTTCATTCCTCGGTTTACATTAAAACAGTTCAATTACAGTAAATGGTTTAACGGAAATTCTATTTAAAAAAAATACAATTATTATATTTTAGAAAAAAAAAAAAAAAAATATTTAAAAAAAAATTAAAAAAAAAAAAAAAAAAAAAAAAAAAAAAAAAAAAAAATCGAAAAAAATAATAATGGCAGTTTCAATAGCCTTCTGCATGTATCACCTATTATGTGCGAATATTATACATGGACGTCTTACGTAATGCAAACACGATTTATATTGGATCCTTTACAATAATATCGTGTTTTCATTTCAACACAAACTCCCTTCCGCCAGTCAACTCAGCCGACACCCTCCACCACACCCCCCCCCCCCCGCCCCACCGTCGCTAGTCCCCCCCCCCCCCCCTCCAGCCATTAGAAGAAATCGCCGCCTCTGGACCCCGTTAATTGCATAAAACTAACCATTGATGGTAACTTTGCCATCAATGGCAACTACCATGGTAACAGGGCTCAACAGCCAATCAAAATCAAGGTTTCCATGGTAGTTACCAGTGATGGCAAAGTTACCATCAATGGTAAGTTTTGTGCAACGAGGCCTACTTTCCCTCCAATATAATCAGATTTTCAATGAGTTGGAGCAAAGAATACACTTACTGACATCACACAGTTGCTCTGGAATACAGTGAATTGAACCGTCAGGGCTCAGGGTCGCCGTGGCTTCCGAATCAACCATTGTGACCAAATTATCTCCACCCTCCTTAAGAAGAATAGAAATATGACGCGATGTAAATGAGACAATCCTCATCATGGTCATCATTATTAAGATCATCCTCATCATCATTATTAAGATCATCCTCATCATCATTATTAAGATCATCCTCATCACTGATCACCACTGGCATCATCATTATAAAGATCATTATCATCATTGTAATTATCAGTATTTTAGTCACTGTCATCATCATTATCATCATGTAGAGAACAAATGACCCAATATGACCCATAATTTTTTTTCTACTATTGATATCTTCATTCATAACGGCCGAGAAGCGACGACTTAATTGAAAAATAGTGTATTTTGCTCATAAATGGATTCAAACTGTTATTTGAAAGTTACCACAACATTTTGAAAAAACGATGAGTGTCACTCTTCAACATTTTTTAAAATATAATAGTTTAACATTTTAGTTCTGCAGTAGAGAAATCAATCCTTAAATGTCATTTTTAGACCCTTTTTGTTGTTGTTGTTGTGCTTAAATGTTTGTTCGTTGGTCATTCATCAACAGGCAGGCTCAGTTTTTATATGACTGATGTTATGACACAATAAATACATAGTTGCACGCCTAATTGACACCTTAACAAATCTATTTAGTATATAGGCCTGATTTATTAATATTATTTTACCTTGGTTTCGGCGCCGAGCGGGAGTACATATCTTCTGACGACACAATCTTCGACATGCAAATTTCCTTTCCTAATATTATCCATAGTGGATCTCTTCAGGACATCGTCATCCTCGAAGCAACACATGTCTACAACGACGTCCTTGCCGTCGTCGGTCTCGTAAGCATTGCAATGATGGAAGCAAAAGAAGGCGTCGGCGGTGTAGTGCGTTGAGATGACGGTGCCGTCATCACGGCGGATAAGGTGAAACCGGACTTTGGAATCTGGGTGGTATTCCATGCACTCGGTCATGGGCCGGGTCCCAAGCAGTTTAGAGAAGAGCATGACTAATAACGGAAAGAATATGAGGTGACAAAATTTGAGAAATCTTATAGTTATTCTCGTGGTGGATCCTAGGACGGGACAAGGGTACTTGCTCTCGGCCCCAACCCCCTAACAGGAGGGGAGATGGAGGGAGATAAGAAGAAGGACAGAATGATGATGACCTTTTTTCTTTTGCTTGGTACATCATTTTCAGACTTGTGCGCGCTCCACCCCCTACCACAGAATCTTGCACCTGAAACCAAAATCTATTTGTACAGCAAAACAAGGGGGGAAAAAGAACAAAAAGTGTCTTTCGCGAATGCACTTCAACATTGAACATTTGGGCGCATATTTCTGCTTTTTTTGCGAATTTAGGTTGAAGTATTGCCATCTAAACCTCTGAAGGCAATTTAGACAATATTGAAGAGATATTGTGCACCCAAAACCCTTGAACCGCAATTTTTTTTATTTTTTTTTTATTTCTCAGTTTTTTGGGTTTTTTGCTTGTCGAAAATTTGAAAATCTATGCCGGACACACTCCCCGTTTTGTGTGAGTGGTTTTGTGTGTGTTGGGTGTTACTTATGGCTAAATTCTCAACATTTGAAGTTTAATTTTTGGTCAGCCCACCCCTCTCCAATTGAAAACTGTCTATCGAAGCCCCTCACAGACAATCAAGCGTACCTTTGAACAAGTTTATGTGGAGAGGTTGCTCGACGAAGATGATGTAATTTTCCGAGATACCAAAGCTATGGTAGTAGGTCGGATTGTACGAGGAGGCAGGGATGCTGCTCAGGATGGACGCTCCACTCATCGCGTTTTCACCTGATGATGGACAGACATATTGACATGGATTAAAACATAGATTAAACAAGAAAAGATGAGCACTGGAGTAAATGACGGATTGAGGGGTAGGGAGGGGGCATATCCAACCCATGTATATGCCTCTTTTTTAAGCCAAAGTGGTATACCAGGCTTGTTAGTTAGCATGTGCCCCCTTCCCTATTCTATGGCTTCCCGTCCAATTTCATCAGAGCTGCATTCGAATTCATGAGTATATTATATAGGCGTTCAAGTTTGAACGATTTTCGTCAACTCTCTGCTCTCATGGTTCAATTTCATTCTTTGAGCGTTCGATTTCCTTTTATATCATTCCTTTTAAATTTTATTCCATTCAATTTACACTGAGATATCCTTGAAAAATTTGACGCGATGTTGTCATTCTATTTCTCGCCAGCTGGATAGACGTTCAATTTAGTCTTTAATATAGGTTTTCCCGCCCAACTTCGTAAACTTAGCATCCGAATTAACGTTACGTTCATTCAAGTTCGTGCGAAATTGAATGACTATGTAGATCAACATTCAAATACCTAATTGCCTCGTTTAATTTGATTTAGGAGCATGCGATTTCATACTCTTGTCACGGAGACGTGCAAAACGAGCGTTCAATTTAGAAAAGCATGCAAAGAGCATTCAAATTCGCGCCGGACAGTTGGTGGTATGTGTTCGTGCATTCAATTTCGTGAATAGGCATACATATGTGGCATTTGTGCATTGCTTTTCATATTATGCTTATGTTTTACTTAATATACTTCTGTTTGAATAATTTTATGCAAAGTTTATTTGTAGGAATATCATGCGTATTCTTTGGTAGATATCTGTTATTACACAGGTAGCTGTCCCCAGAGTAGGTGCACAATTTGTGACTTCTCTTCTAAGCACAAGCTATAAAACACAGATCCTGGATAGCGGGAGAGTTAAGCTTTAAACATGGACATGATGGAAATAAAATACAATGATGAATAAAGACAAAGATGTAACATGCGAAGAAAGAAAGATGACCTTCTCAATCAATATTGGTCAAAACAAACCATTAAAATAGCATCCGTAATAACAAATATAAAGACAAGTATAAAGAAATGCTTCGATAAAATAAAGATCGAAAGAAAGAAAAAACATTAAATGCAATATAAATGTATCCGACAAATAAGAAGATTGTATAATGTCAAATCATGTTAGAAAAGATCATAGATCAAATAAATGAACATGAAAAAGTAATTTTTCGTATAATCATCGAGCCTCAAACAATGATTATGAGGTCTAGTTTTAATTTGAATGACCCGATTGCGAAAGAGTTTGCCCATAGACGAAAATGAAACCGCAATTCGCCAAAGAATTCTCCTCCCACTCAACATTGGCGAAATTGAATGACGCTTATGCGTTTCCAAATTGACTGAACTAAGCTTTAATTTGAATGTGCATGTTTAGAAAATTCAGTGACTCGAAACGAAATTGAATGCACAAAGTTTAAAAATGAAACAGGGGAAGCAACGAGTGGAGAAAATTCGCTCAAAAATGAATGCACGTTAGTGAAATTGATCGCTGCTTTGACGAAATTGGCCGGGAAAACCTATATCAGTTTCAATTTCATATTATATAGGCACATACCTTTGCACTTTGAACGTTAGAATTAAATTAACATAAACAAGTTATGTAGTTCTATGTAATTCTTACCGAAATGTGTTCACGTCATATTTACATTTTTTCAATGTATCTAATTATATGATTTAATTTTCATTTCTAAAGTTTCATAATGTTTATTTTAATCGTATTTTATATATTTCTTTTCTTTCTAATATTCTCTTCCAGTTTCACTTTATTCCCTGGTAGTATAGATATAACACTTACAGAATGGTTATAACTTAAATTTATTTTTTCGTGTATAATATGTATATTTTTTAACAGATTGTGCTTTGTGTCACGTTTGGGATTGCATAATTTATTCAAACAGATGTAGATTGCACAGAACATAAACAGTAAAAAAACAAAAACAAACAAACAAAGATGACTGTCCGAATGCTTAATGCTTGCCTATTCGTGAATTTGAATACCTTAAAGGTAACGACCAGTTTTGGAAACGCCCCCCCCCCCCCCCCCCCACTCAAAAAAATGATATGGAAGCTCTTACCAATCATGTGAAAGAATATGTTTTGACTAATTACGTGATGATACAAATTTTGCCGGTTCTACTAAGTATTGATATATTTGGTAAATCTATCTGGGCCGGATAGATATCGCGCACTTTGTGTCGCGTATAGTCCCATATACATCTCTCTGTGTACAGCCGTTGTAACTTTACCAAGACTGGGCCAAATTTCTTATCATTTTGATGATTCCAGAACCTTGCAGTACACACCAATACTTATATGCTAGATGATCAACCTTTTCTTATCGATTCCACAACATTTCTTTCACAATGCAATCGCATGACCAGAACTATTGTTTACCTTTAACGTTCATCAGGGCGATGCAGTTGCGAATTAGAATGCATTTACGTGCACGTTTAATTTGAACGCGATTTTTACACGTTAATTTGAGAAAATCATGAAATCGCATGCTATTACCATTATATTGAATGAAATAGTAAGCTTTTTGAATGTTGATCTCGGTGATTATGAGTCGCTCGAAATTGAATGATCGCATCGTTGAATCGGATGCAACGTTGACTAAATTTGGCGGGAAAACCTGGATACTGGATACGCCCCGGGCCGAAGTAAAATTTAGAAAGGGAAAACTTGGTATTTGGGCAAGACAAAACGTTACCTAGCAAAATTGTCCTGTACCCCTGTACACATCAGATAGCCGGTAATCTCTGCCAGAATTGTTTTTCTCTTCTAATCTGTCGATTGCCATGTATGTTTACCTCTCAATTCAATTCAATTTCAATTCAATTTCAATTCAAGGTTTATTCAAAAATATCTTCGTAGCCTTAAATGGCTGAATTGCAATACAATTCACAGATTAAAAAAACATGCAAATTACAAAATATACATATCAATTACAATGAACATAGTTTGACATAAATTAAAAATCAAATATAAATATAAAATATATAAACAGAAAACCAAAGAGTTCAAAATTGAGTTTTAGAAAAATGGTTGTTCAAATTACATAAGGAGTTTAGTATGGTGGCCCTGAAGGGACATCGCGAATAGACTAAATCGTGAAAAATATGCGATAAAATTCACGATATCGTCAATTTTATCGCATATTTTTCACGAAGAAATTCACGAAATTGACGATATCGTGAACTTTATCGTGAACTTTTCACGATGAAATTGACGATATCGTGAATTTTATCGTGAAAAGTTCACGATATAAAGTTCACGATATCGTCAATTTTATCGTGTACTCTCCTGACGGGCGCTTCGTAAACAAAACCAGCCCTAGCTGGGGGAGACAGAGAGAATGAAAAAAGGGAAAGGGAAAGAGAAGATAAAAGGAAAGAAAGAATAAGAAGAAGAAAAGAGGGAAACGGGGGGGGGCGAAGGGCTCTTGCCTCCTCCTCCCTCCCCGCCAAAAAATAAATCAGAGAGAGAGAGAGAAGGGAAAGGGAAAGGGAAAGAGAAGATAAAAGGAAAGAAAGAAGAGGAAGAAGAAGAAAAGAGGAAAACGGGGGAAGGGCGAAGGACTCTTGCCCCCCCCCCTCCCCCCCCCCCGCCAAAAAATAAATCAGAGAGAGAGAGAGAGAGAAGGGAAAGGGAAAGAAAGAAGAGGAATAAGAGGGAAACAGGGGAAGGGCGAAGGGCTCTTGCCTCCTCCCCCCCCCCCCCCCCGCCAAAATAAATAAGAGAGAGAAGGGAAAGGGAAAGAAATATAAAAGGAAAGAAAGAAGAGGAATAAGAAGGAAAGAGGGAAACGGGGGAAGGGCGAAGGGCTCTTGCCTCCTCCCTCCCCACCCCCCGCCAAAAAAATAAATAAGAGATAGAGAGAGAAGGGAAAGGGAAAGGGAAAGAGAAGATAAAAGGAAAGAAAGAAGAGGAAGAAGAAGAAGAAAAGAGGGAAACGGGGGCGAAGGGCTCTTGCATCCCCCCGCCCAAAAAATAAATAAGAGAGAGAGAGAGAGAAAAGGGAAAGGGAAAGAGAATAAAAAAGGAAAAGAAGAAGAATAAGAAGAAAAGAGGGGCTCTTGCCTCCTCCCCCCCTCCCGCGCCAACAAATAAATAGGAGAGAGAGAGAGATAGATAGAGAGAAGGGAAAGGGAAAGAAAATATAAAAGGAAAGAAAGAAGAAGAAGACGGAAAGAGGGAAACGGGGGAAGGGCGAAAGGCTCTTACCTCCCCCTCCCCCCTCCCGCCATGAAGGGAAAGAGAAGGGAGAGGGAAAGAAAATATAAAAGGAAAGAAAGAAGAGGAAAAAGAATAAGAAAAGAGGGAAACAGGGGCGAAGGGCTCTTGCCTCCTTTCTTTTCTTTCTTTTCCTTTCTTTCCTATTCTCCCTCTTTTTCGTTTTTCTCTTTCTTTCTTCTCTTTCCCTTTCCTTCTCTCTCTCTCTCTCTCTTATTTATTTTTTGGCGGGGGGCGGGGGGACGAGGCAAAAGCCCTTTGCCCCCGTTTCCCTCTTTTCTTCTTCTTCTTCTTCTTTCTTTCCTTTTATCTTCTCTTTCCCTTTCCCTTTCCCTTCTTTCTCTCTCTCTGATTTATTTTTTGGCGGGGGGGGGGGGGAGGGGGGGCAAGAGTCCTTCGCCCTTCCCCCGTTTTCCTCTTTTCTTCTTCTTCCTCTTCTTTCTTTCCTTTTATCTTCTCTTTCCCTTTCCCTTTCCCTTCTCTCTCTCTCTCTCTGATTTATTTTTTGGCGGGGAGGGAGGAGGAGGCAAGAGCCCTTCGCCCCCCCCGTTTCCCTCTTTTCTTCTTCTTATTCTTTCTTTCCTTTTATCTTCTCTTTCCCTTTCCCTTTTTTCCTTCTCTCTGTCTCCCCCAGCTAGGCTGGTTTTGTTTAAGAAGCGCCCGTCAGGAGAGTACACGATAGAGTACACGATAGAGTACACGATAAAATTGACGATATCGTGAACTTTATATCGTGAACTTTTCACGATAAAATTCACGATATCGTCAATTTCATCGTGAAAAGTTCACGATAAAGTTCACGATATCGTCAATTTCGTGAATTTCTTCGTGAAAAATATGCGATAAAATTGACGATATCGTGAATTTTATCGCATATTTTTCACGATTTAGTCTATTCGCGATGTCCCTTCAGGGCCACCATAGTTTAGCGATTATTCAATTTTTATAACCATTGTAGACATCTAAAGGACAAGATGAGAAATTGCAAAAGATTATATTTCAAAATAAAAACTCAACTTTTGAATGATAAAAGATAAGTTTGTTCATTAGAAGTAAATCATCGATTTACAATATTCACATGGTAATAAATTGCTCACATTTAGTCTTCTTTTTTGTCCTTCTTTCTTTTTACGTGACAGTGGGAAATGATGTGTACATTTTTCTGCAAATTTACTCCTACCCTTCCCCCCCCCGGCCCCCCCCCCCGGCCCCCCCGGCCCCCCCCCCCTCTCCCCCATTATTCTAGCGATGCCCTATGTCTCAACTCCATGTTATCAGCTCAATTTACAAAACAAACAAAAACCGAGCAGAATACATGGTATTTGGTTTCCGCAGACTTGAGAAAAAAAGCAAAACATTATTTATTTACCGGCATTTTTTTTGCTGATGGGCGGAACCTGTATCACACAGTATTTGCATCTCATTGAAAAGGTTGTACCTAGGTTGTATGTGGTTCCATCTCGTCCACAGTGTGGATGCGCTGTAGCTGTGTGAACACCGACTAGCTTCTCAATATCGACCTGGGTAATATCATTATGATCATAATATAGGAAACATGTTCAATGGTGAAAGGAAAGATACCATTTTGCTAGAAAAAAAACTTTGAAATACCTATTGTACATGTATATGTACAGTCAAACCTGATTTAGTGACCACCTGTCTACAAAGACCACCTGTCTACAACAAGCACATTTTCTGTTTCCCTTGAAAATGGTTTCTCATTGAAACATGTACTAAATGGACCTGTCTTCAAAGACCACTTTTGTGTGTTTCTCTTAGGTGGTCGCTGTAGACAGGTTTGACTGTATATGGATTTTCAATAATTATTTTAAGTGCAGGACAAACCCCTTCCACCACTATCATCGTTTAACATAAACGAGATATTCTGATATACAGGCTTATCGGTTGGCAAAGCATGAAGTCCTGCTGGAGACTCTTTTTCATTTATCTTCTTGAAACAACTAACATGCTATTCCAACAGCCATTGATTATATGACCATTGTGGCCCCGGATCGAGGTTAGGCAAAAAAAAAATCATTTGGATGTCCTTGAACGCCCGCTCGTCATTTTCGGGCTGCTCGTATTTTATTACACAAACAAATACGCACACACATACATTGAAAAGTCTGAATCTTACTGTCGAGAATAAATCCAATTATATATATATATAATAATAATAATCCTAACCCGTGAACCAATATCCGCCCTAGTAGAATTTTGAATTACTCAATCATTGGCTACAGAGGCTGAGGAACAAGGCAAGTGCCCCCTATCGAATAATGAAAAAATAGTAAAACAAGAAAGAGAAAAAAAGAGAAAAAAAGAGAGAAAACTAACGACATACAAAAGGGAAGGTCGAGAAAAGAAGAAAAGAAGGACCCTCCCGCACTTACCCTAATCAGATTGCTTAGAAGTTCTCATTTCATTTTCTGAGTATGACTAATCCCTCCCCCCCCCCCCTCCCCGGATGATGCCATTATTTCCTCAATGGCTGGACTCGTGCTACGATTGATTTTATTACGAAAATGGTCAATTTAGCAAACAGGTGAGTTGTTTTATTGAGTCCGACAATGAACTTACAGTGTCAAGGACATCAAGCTTGTCGACATCGATCTTCTTGAGCAACGGAGTCTCGGTGAGGGCGTAGAACTCGTCGCCGAGTTTCATCCAGTTCACGTTGCAGTTATCCGGGAATTCCATTTCGAAGATAGAGAATATCCGTTGGAAGAGCGTCTTGCAGGGATCCGGGTGACGGGCTGGTGTACCAAAGCCGCTGAAGACCAGCCGCTGATGCTTCATCGCCTTCTCGTAGATGTCACTCTGTCAATCAAACGTATTTCATTAAATTTTGAAAATGTCTTTTTGTTGTTATTGTTACAATAAAAGTGTCGTGGTCTCTTTCAAAACTCAGCAGACCTCGGGACAACTCGGCCTCGCTGCTTTTTGTCATTTTACCCTAACCCTAATCCTAACCCTAATCATAACCCTTACCCTAAACCTAACCCTAAAACTGCAAAAACTGACCGTTTGTGCAGCGAGGCCGAGTTGCCCCAAGGTCCGAGTTAGCCCGACTCCGTTTATTTGAAGCCTGCCGGTGGTTTCCCCTCATAATAATAAATAAGTAGTAGCATTACTAAATAATAATAATTGTAACATTTTCATTTCCCGTAATACTAAACACGTTTATAAGCGCTTTACTATTTTACCTCCTGACATTATAGCCGAACAATACCATTGTAAGACGCCCTGGCATTCCTACCGGCTACTACCGGCCATTAACATCACCTGGGTGGAAAGCGGCAAATAATTGTAAGGCTAGCTTGCCTAAAGGACATTAGTACAGAATTGTTCATATTAATATGTGGAATTGTTTCTTGGAATAATTATGCAAAACAGAAGGCCGATTCTCAACTCCGCAAACGACCATGCATGTACGTGTTATTCCTCTGAGTATGAAGTGACACAACCGGAATTTGAAAAGTATAGCAGCGGTATAGAGTGGCGATTAAAGTGGTTTGAGGTGCGACCAGTCTAACACAAAATAGGCAACACTGTGACGTATCATGCGAGCTCCCGTCCCATTTGCCAAAATGCTATAAACTTTAAAAAGATTATGTTTTCCTCTAATAGGAAAATGTTCAATCTTACATTCACCCTGCATGAATACAATTACCGCATATTTATACAAATCCTGTATGAAACAAATCTATTCCAAATCTATTCCGTCATCTAATTAGAAAATGAAAGTTCATGAAACTTTCTTTACAGAGGAAATTGGAGAGGAGCTCGCAAGATACGTCTCAGAGTTGCCAATTTGTGCTTGATATGGTTGGTTTGTAATAAATAGACATACAGCCTTTTCACACACAGCTAAAATTCTATAAACATGATTAGTATAAACGTGTTTAAACTAATCACCTGAACATACGACATCATTCACACACAGAAATTTCGGTGCGATCGTTAATCGTTTCGTGATTAACTACTGCTCGTAAAATGCGCAGTAGTGCCATTGCACATTGAAGGTCATGTCATATCAATCAAAGCGCACGCTCCAGTTTAAACACGTCTGAAACACGTTTAAACACGAATAACCTTTCACACACAAAATGTCAAGCTCTCTAGATACGAACTTCGTTTCTGCAGCCTGCTTTTAGGGGCGTATCACACAGGGAAAATTTTCTATAAACATGTTTATAACTGTTGAGTTAAACACGTTTATACTAATCATCTCTAGATACGATGAATTTTAGCTGTGTGTGAAAAGGCTGCCTGCTATAATGCACATATACACCACAATAGGTCTAATCAACGTGCTGGTAGGCATAATAAAGGCTTCTAATAATCCGCACTTTCTGCGGCATCAGATGGATATATTATTCTGCGAAATTAAGAGAGAAGGGCTATCGCAGATACAGGATTCTCTGCCCGAGGTGGTGGTGGTGGGGATGGGGGGGGGGGGGGGCACAACTCTGAAATAACGGTCATCAAACTTTTAGATTTTGTTAAAAACTCCATTTTTTTATTATCATTATTGTACGGGATGTAGTGTACTTCGGATGTAAGCATGGGTGTCGATCCCGGGGGATGGGGGGATATATCCCCCCAATATTTCAGGTGGGGGGATGGCCTGTACAATCATCCCCCCAATAATTCACCATAAACAAATTTTAAAAATGAAGAGAAAAATTAACGATCAGAGCCCGATGAGAGTAGTTAATGGTTATTACTCGCAAGATGACCATCAATATACACATTTTGATATCTCATTTTCATAATAAATATATATATACGAAGTAAATAAGACAACCGTATATGAGACAAGAATAAATTGAATTCTCGCTCATACGGCTTCACCAGGAATTGATGAATTTATTCAATTTGTTCAATCAACAGCATCACAGAAATGCAGTGCGCCAATTGCAAAGACGCAACGTCAAAAAGCAACGAGCTAAATGTTAAGCGCGAAGCGCAAAAGTAGCAATCTGCAATGCACATCAGACAATCCTGGAAAATGTAAACATAAATGAACTCTGTGACGGTTTCGTGATGAGATCGGAGACAAGGAGAAAGATTTTCGGACATTAGTATGAGTTCACTAGTTGTTATGTTGTTTCCGTTCACCCTTTTTAAAATTCACGTCATTGTATCTTTTTAAAAATATTTTTCACTCATTTTATTTCCTGATATTTCCTAAAACATTTTTCATTTTTGGAGAAAGATTATTATGTCACAACTTATTTTTGTTTTATTCAAAAGCTGATGCAGGCCTATGTCACTGGCGTACTGGGGGGAAGGGCGCTTGGCCCCCCGCCAAATAAAATCCAACCATGACTTATTTTCAATTTCATACAAGTGGTTTATAAATGTTCGTGATATCACATGATTTTCAACAAAATTCGCGTTTCTCCATTTCTGTTGCAAACTGACACATTCCCAAAAAGCCAGGAAGAGCATATATTTTGTATAGTCACAAATGGACCTAATTAGTGGCCGTTTACACTAACAGTAGTATACAATTCCTTTCGAGAAGCTGTTGCGACAAGCATTGCCGGGAGATAGCATGCTACCTACCACTCGGGCTGTGCATGCAAATATTTGCGAACGAACGTTCCATACTTCTTACATCATGTGGGGAAACTGAATTCAGACAAGGATTAATATAGAGAACAGTACAACGATCGTCTTCTTTCTCTAATAATGTAGTGAAAGCGGAAGGGTGGCAACTGAATTCAGACGTGGATTAAGAGTAATAATCAAATGAAACGTCAAAGTACACGATACAACGAAACGTCTTCTTTTACTAATAATTTAATTAAACGTGAAAGCTTCCGCGCTACGCGCGGGATGGGCGAAAATGATTTCAGGCAAGGACAAGATACAACGAATCGTCTTCCTTCTCTAATATTTAATGAAACGGTAAAGCTTCCGTGCTTTGCGCGGGATGGGCGAAAATGAATACAGACAAAGATTAAGAGTAATAATTTATTGAAACGTCGAAGCTTCCGCGCTTCGCGCGGTAGGGGTAAAACTAAATTCATGAAGGACACGACACAACAAATCGTCTTCTTTCTCAAATAATGTAATAAAATGTGAAAGCTTCCGCGCTTCGCCCAGGAATGGGTGAAAATGAATTTAGACAAGGATTAAGAGTCGAGAATGGTACATAGAATCGTTTTCTTTCTTTAATAATCTAATGAAACGTCAGAGGGGAACGTGATTCGAACATTAAGGATTAAGAGTCGATAATGGTACATCGAAGCGTCTTCTTTCTTTAATAATCTAATGAGACGTCAGAGCTTCCGCGCTACGCGCGGAGGAAGGGGAAGTTGATTCAAACAAGGATTAAGAGTCGAGAACGGTCCAACGAATCGTCTTCTTTCTCTAATAATGTAATAAAATGTGAAAGCTTCCGCGCTTCGCCCAGGAATGGGTGAAAATGAATTCAGACAAGGATTAAGAGTCGAGAATGGTACATAGAATCGTTTTCTTTCTTTAATAATCTAATGAAACGTCAGAGGGGAACGTGATTCGAACATTAAGGATTAAGAGTCGATAATGGTACATCGAAGCGTCTTCTTTCTTTAATAATCTAATGAAACGTCAGAGCTTCCGCGCTACGCGCGGAGGAAGGGGAAGTTGATTCAAACAAGGATTAAGAGTCGAGAACGGTCCAACGAATCGTCTTCTTTCTCTAATAATTTAGTGAAACGTCAAAGCTTCCGCGCTTCGCGGGGAGGGGGGAACTCCCCCTCCCTGCACCCAACCCCCTAGGGACCGCGCTTCGAACGCTTTGCCTGCTCACTACCGCCCCCCCCCCCCCTAAAATGAAATCCTGGCTACGCGCTTGGGAGGGGTGCAACTTGCCACACTCTTCTACCTCTTGGTTGCTTTGATCCATTACCAAAATATTTTGGCACTTATCATCCCCCCCAACCATGGATACAAATCGACACCCTTGGATGTAAGATAACGGTAAGATAACGGTCAACTCTGAAATAACGGTCATCAAACTTTTAGATTTTTTTAAAAACTCCATTTTCCCTGATTACCTGATTTTCAAGTTTCTCCTTCAGCCTAAAAGAATTTGCTGTCGAGGCACGATATTCTTAGGGACAAAGTGATCTTTTATTATCATTATTGTACGGGATGTAGTGTACTTTGGATGTAAGATAATGATTTGCAGGGGTGTCTATATATTTTACGTTGTCAACATGGTATACGGGGTGATGGACAATCATCAAATTTACAACGACACCATACGCCGCTGATATAAGATCTCCAAATACTAATTCGGAATAATAAAGTCATTGCACTTTGCCTATGCCTCATGAGCTTTAGGCAGTTGCTAGAATAGTAGAATAGTTGCTAGAATAATATACATGTAATACATATAAATAATACACATGGACTCTAAATCCTTTCTGAAATAATACAAAATTACTTTCTAAATCCTAGCAAACTCTTGTCTATATAATTATATGCAGTGACAAAAGTATAATAAAAGATACAGGGAATATATTCTAACGAAATCACAATCAGTCTTCAAATATTATGATATAAAACAGTCAAAGAGGGAAAATCAGAAATGAAAGGGAGCAAAAGAGAGAGGCATGACACTTTCTTCTACATACAAATATGTATATAAGTATATCGGTCCCGATTCAAAGATTTATTCCCCATATAGGCATACTTAGACGAAATCTTAACAGATAAACAGTTTTATAAAATAATAACCGCGACAATATTGTAAACTCTAGTGTGTAATGACTATGTTCCAATTCCATTGAATGGGGCAGTGGCGTTGATCAATCTTCTCCGCTTGAAGGGGGCGTATACGTTCTTTAAAAGACTACAATCATAGTCAGTGTTGAAACTAGTGAGTGCAACATTTTGAAAGACAACCATGTCCCCAGGACTTTAGGAAAATGAACGTTTAATAAGCCAATTTTCGTGGGCTTGTACGACCACATTAGAAATTCGCGACCATTAAATCTAGTGACATGTGACGTAATCTGAATGTAATTTTAAAGGGCACTAGAAAAAAACTCAGGTTGTTGAAAACTGCCCTCGACATGATTTTTCGAAAAACGTTGCGCTCGTGTTATACTAGACATGGCATGGTGAATAAAAATGCAATCGCTTGTCAGACATTTGACATACTTCCCCCCCCCACCCCCCCCCCCCCCCATTTCAATGGAAACGTCTAGCATGACTCACGTTTAAATAATGTTTAATTTGATTATAAATTAAATATACCAGAGAGAAGGCGTGTTCAATATATTATAGAGCTGCATGAGGCCCTTTGAATAAAACACAAATGAGATCGAATGCAATCAACCGAAAAAGAAAAAAACAAGAAACAAACAGAAACAAAAACAAAATACCCAACAAAACAAAAGAACAGAACAACTTACAATAAAAACTTACAACAAAAACAACAACAAAACCCGGATTTTGACCTTCAACCTATAAGTATTTAGAATTGGGATTTGGAAGTTTTTCTTGGAAAAAAAAATTGTTTCTTCTTATGCAGGGATGGGAGAGGGGGGGGGGGGCTATTTGATATGTCTTACCCTGAGAAATCGGCCCTGGTATTTGACCTCCCCTCCTTCTATGATGAATCGATGAAGGAAAGAAAGACCATCGAAAAGATGATCCACGCTTTCCTCGCCGACCTCGAATTGGCCAGGTCCATTACGTAAGAGATTTCCCTTCAGCCAACTCGGAATGGTGCCTGTAAAATAGATAGCATAATAATTAATGGCAGACAATAAATTCCCTTCGCCAGTTGCATGCATGCACTCCGGGAAGTCTGCATGCAAGTACCGACTCGAATTATAGTCCTGTCAGTTTATGGCTAATAAAGAGTGTTTTATTGAATAAATTATCAAAATGTCGCAAAAATATAAAATAGTTACCTTGCCGCAATAATGCGATTTCAGTGTTAAAGAAACTGTCTGGAAAGTGGAAAAATTTGGGGAAAGATTGATTAAGAATTATGGCAAACTGTCACTTTGGGAGATGATCAAATAAAAATAAATGGTCATAATACTCGAAACCACAATGATCTTAAAACACGGAAATAAAATGTACATAGGACAACACACAAACACGTGGCATCAAAGTTAAAGGGATAGTTGAGTTCTGTTGCACAGGGCGCTACACAAAATAATTTTTTTGTGAGATAATGAAAAACTGAGTGTCAAATTTGAAAGAACATAATATTTTAATGACAAAATCATCTTTGTTTGATCAAAATCGGTTCAGAGACGGCTGAAATATAACGATTTCTAATACTTGTGTACCATCACAAATATTAGATATTTTGAAAAATTTGAAAAAACCGTTGAAAACCGTTGAAAAAAACACGAAATAACGCCTTTTACGTCGTATTTCAGCCAATGCCGATGTTGGCTTTCTGGTTGGCATTTTCGTGTTGTTTATATTATCCACATTCACCCGGCTCATGTATTGTTATTTTTAATTAAATAACTAATTAACGGTCGCCGTGTTTTTTTAAGTGGAGCTGAAGTGGTATGATCGTATTGGCTAATTTTCACACATTTTAGGGTCTAAAATTACCTTCATAGCAATTTTATGTTCTAAAAGGGCACTATATAGATAAGAATAAGAGCAATAACCATGCACCTTGAGGGCATTTTCGGTCTGAAAACAGAACTCAACTATCCCTTTAAGGGCATTATTATCAACAACTTATAACATTGAGAAATGGGCAGTCTGAAAAGCAATCCTTTTCAGGGGACATTTAACATTTTACCATGATATTCTTCCGACCTGACACAAATAATGAGACAGCTCACAGTTTTGTTTTCTATCGTTACCATGCAGAGCTCAAATTTCTCTTTAAAACATCGTTTTAGAATAACTTCGGAGCTGCATATAGGATAGGGGACGATCTTTCTCTTGATTTTATATAGTCTCAGATACTTCTAATTTTACTGGATCAATAGAACCGTTATTTCCTGGATCACAATTATTAAAAGATCTCTTTATATAGCTTCATGGTCTTCATGGTATTTAATACCATCATAATTTTGTTCATGTATCACCTTTATATTGTAATGTGCCGGTTGTTATGGTTCTTTCTTAATTCATGGTTATGTTCTTAAATGTTTTTTTTTTGTCAGTTTAACCCCATATTACCTTCAATTCATGCCAATCGTCTATATGTGAATAATTGTGAAGAAAACAGCACTGAATTTGACTGACTTTGTGAACTAACATTAAAAAACCGCTGTCTTCTTGGTATGGATGTTTAAAAAAAAAATTTAAAAAAAAAAAATCAAAAGTAGGTTTAAATTCAAGCTCGACTGTATACACTCGATTGCTTAATGCACAGTTCACACCGACGCCGAATGTCGCGCTTTAAATCGGCGATCAATTCGGCGTCATTTTTGTTTACTTTTCAAAAAATCTCACGATCTCCTCAGATATGTTATGCTCTGATATCTTAAAGCTTATCTGCCGTAGTTTACAGGAGGGATTAGACCGCTCTGCAAGGTCACTGGACAGGTGGTTATCTCATCAACTCAGCTCTCAGTTAACATAAGAAAGAGAAGATCATGGGGGACCAATGGTCACCGATTAGGCATTGTGTTTTATATAGAGGGAGCAAGTAGCTACCAGTAGTGCAGTGGGCCTTTAAGAAAGCGTGTCAATTGGTGACAGAGCGTACAAGGTGGGGTCACCGCTTTGAACCAAGCTCTATTAAACCCTGTTAAGCTTTCCTACGCTTTGAGCAAAACTTTGATAAGCTTTGTGACGCTTTGATAAGCTTTAATACGCGCGCTCTCCCCGCTTTACGCAATTCGTGACAGATCGCCTCAAATTTTTAAACAGTTTAAAAAAATTTGGCGCTCTTGCCGAATGTCCCGAATTGCTCAAAGCTTTCTCACGCTCTATTACGGTCTTTACGCTTTAATTAAGCTTTGTTACGCTTTGCCGCCGCTTTGCTCGCCGATTTAATTCGCCATCAATTCGGCGTCGGTGTGAACTTAGCATTAACTAGCCTTTTGACAAGGCCTCGTTGACTCTGGCTTAGTCCACTGCCTGGACTGTTCTCTTCATGATCCGTGCGCGCTCACATATTACTAGTACACCATAATATACACGTACGGAAACAGAGCCTGAGAAATTTCGGGGAAGGTGAATTGGTGGGGAGTACGCATTTCATAAACGCGCGCGCATTTGGGAAAGGGCGAAAGATTAAAACGACCATCAGCTGGTCTAACTCTGGCTAAGCGGCTGAGATGAGTCTAGATACCCGGAGTGAACGCGCGACCGAATGACGAATGTATATGCTGACGTCGTGCTAGGATACGTTCGCTGATTGGACACTACGTTTTCTGAAGCGAGTTCCAGTCGGAAACAAGGGTTAACATAAGAAATCCAAACCAGATTGATAAAGGCCACAGGTCTGGACAATTCGCACTGGCGTTCATTCAGGTTTTCGCGATTAGTCTCTTTTTAGTCGCTCGGCGTCTATCAGGCATGTGGCCTTGTTTAAAGGCTAAGCATTAACGGGAATACACAAAGAAAAAATTACCTGGGGGGTGTTTCACAAAGATCCTAAGTTGAACTTATCTCTAAGTTGAACTTAAAAATTATGGAAAGCCGTTAGCATCCTTGAAAATATTTTCTAAAAGTTATTTTAAAAGGCATAAAATATTGATTCAAATCATTCATATTTTCTATTACCACGGGAGATTTCATGTTCTTGATGTGGAATTTATGAAAAGTCTAAAATACTTGAATTTTCGCTTTTTAATATATTTCATTACAAGGCTACAAATGGCTCTCCATAATATTTAAGTCCAACTTAGAGTTAAGTTCGACTTAGAATCTTTGTGAAACACCCCCCTGGATGCCTATAATCAAATTTGCTTTTATTTTGCAGCTGCACGTACCTCGCTCGGGTGACCTCGTTCAATGACCTCGTTTAATGACCTCAATATTTTAAAGTGACTATGTTGTCTCATCTCTTTGGTAACAAATTAATTTGCTTGCTGTATTTGCTATTTTTGCTTGTTTCACGTTGTATATAATCATCTTAATGGCAATATAATGACAGGGATTATCATGAGGCATAGGAAGATGCTTTGAAGAAAATATATGGATTCTTTTCAAAGAACTAGCTATGTATTCTGTACTCTAAGGATTCGGGAGTATAATGAGTACAGATTTGTGTTTCTTCTTCTTTGGCAAAGTCTTCTTAATGGTGTGGACTGAGCTGTAATCTCCATCTTCATCCCTAGCTCCCCTCTCTCTCTCTCTCTCTCTCTCACTCTCTCTCCCACTCTCTCTCTCTCTCTCTCTCTCTCCATTAGCCTCTCCTCCCCTCCCCTTCTCTCTCTCGTTTTCTCCCTCTCTCTCTCTCTCTCTCTCACACTCTCTCTCTCTCTCTCTCTCTCTCCCTTAGCCTCTCCTCCTCTCCCCTTCTCGCTCTCTCTCTCTCTCCCTTAGCCTCTCCTCCCCCTTCTCTCTCTCTCTTTCTCCCTCTCTCTCTCTCTCTCTCTCTGTCAGATAAGATCTACTTATCTGCATGATCAACCCATCGCAGAGGTCAACTACGGCTTAATATGCACTTGAACTTGCTGAAAACAGTCTTGTGGCTGATAGCAAGTGTTTTTAACCATGGATAAATAATAAAACAAACAAATAAACAAACAAGGCTTCTTGCCCACCTATTATTACTGTTACGTCCTCTACCATTACAACTACTTCAATCAAATGTTAGTTTTATTTATGGGAACCTATAATCTACAAGCTAAGCTTTTTAATAGGTTCCTCACATTTCACTCTGTATAACCTTATATTCATTACAATTAATTTCGACGTCTTTTCAAAGAATTAATTATATAATGTGACACTTTTAGCATATTTCATATTATGTTCTATTTTTGTCAATTATGTAAATTCTTTTTATTTGTGAAATGTGAAATAAACTTGAAACTTGAAACTTGACACTATTATCTCATACCGTGTCATCGTTTCGCGGTGAACCCATAAAAACCAATCAAGATAAGGACCTATCTCATATTACTGGGTCACATTATTATACCCGGAAAGATAACAACTACGAACAAAACGGGGGATAAATTAACAAAGGTGCTATTTCGCCTATCCAAGGTTTTGACGAGAAAATATTCCCAAACAGTTTGTAATTATCCAATAAAAATCGACCAACAATCAATCGTAAAAAGTACCGTATTTTACAATCTTACATTTACATTTATTATCTATTCAATCATATAATTTTCATCGTAAAGTTACGGTTGATTGAAGGAGATGCGACTAATTTGATGGAAATAGGGTTAATCGTATCTTTTTATGTTACAGTGCCAAGGTTTTATATTTCTTTCTTTTTTAATACAATATATATATATATATATATATATATGAAACCTAATTGAACCAGAAAGTTTAATTCACAACTCCCTGATCGAACTGAGTGAGCACTCTTACATTTTACAAAGAAATACAACACTTCTCCTAAATAACAATTAAAGCGATTGCCTTTTGGCTTAATTGTCAAGCAGAAACTGATGATTATGTACGATTCTTTAAAAATATAGCTTTTGCTTTCCTTTCGGTTAAGGTTAGCAATGCAGGGCCTCAACCGTGAAATTCTATCGACACAATAATAAGAGATGGAATATGCAGCTGTGTTGCTTTTAAGCGTGATTTATTTTAGGCATGAATTTAGAAAGAGATGCCTGCCACTGTACGCAAGCCACAATGCCATTATTTTAATTTGATGATAACAAGTTCAAGTGCATAAATTAAGCCGTAGTTGGCCTCTGCGATGGGTTGATCATGCAGATAAGTAGATCTCATCTGACAGAGAGAGAGAGAGAGAGAGAGAAAGAGAGAGAAAGAGAGCGAGAAGGGGAGATGAGAGAGGCTAAGGGAGAGAGAGAGAGAGAGAGAGAGAGGGAGAAAACGAGAAAGAGAAGGGAGGGAGGAGAGGCTAATGGGAGAGAGAGAGAGAGAGAGAGAGAGAGAGAGAGAGAGAGAGAGGGGGGAGCTAGGGACGGAGATAGATATTACAGCTCAGTCCACATCATTAAGAAGACTTTGCCAAAGAAGAAGAAACAAAAATCTGTTCTCATTATACTACCGAATCCTTAAGAATACATAGCTAGTTCTTGGCAATGAATCCATATAATACATGTTTTTCTACTATCTTCCTATGCCTCATTATAATGACTGTCATTCTATTGCCATTGTATTCTTAATCCGACGCCATCGGCTAGTCGAATAAGGGCTGTAACATAAATCCCTGATTACAATATTATTGAATCCCCGTCGCTTGACGTTTGCCCATTACAGTAAATGCTGGGAAAAACTCCCAAATTATCATACCCAGTTTTTGACCATAAAGAGATCTGAAGTCATAATTATCAACATCATCATCATCATCATCAGAGAAAGAGGCATTTGTTAAAACAATATTTAATACCATGGCTTTTACAGACCATGAACGAGCACGATGTGGGCCAATAATCCCCTGAGGCTGAGACTTCTATATACTTCTACTTCTATGGTAATACTAGCTCATCAACGCCTGTTTAGCATCTGGATGAGGGTAAAGCAATACAGCTCTATGCGATACAGATCCTGAAAAGGGAACTAAATTGTTTCAAGAGCCACCTTGAACTACTCCAAAGAAGGCAGTTCGGCGATGATCTGAGGTATAGCTCGTCCCAGTCCTTAAGTGTCCTGGGGAAATAACTAAATTTGTAAGTGTCCATTGAAGAGCCTAGTCTCATATATCGTTGTTGTTGACTCCTCCTTGTATAATTCACTACCTCGGTTTGATGTAATCCGGTATTGGTATCGCAATTTTATTATTTGCTATCTTGTAAAACATTGCAATCGAGACGAGCGGAATGCATATTACTTTAAAATTTAAATTTTAAAAAAAAAGGAAGGAATTAAAGGTAAAGACCAGTTATGGTCATGCGATAGCATTGTGAAAGAAACGTTGTGGAATCGATCAGAAAAGGTTGATCATCTAGCATCTGCAAGGTTCTGGAATCATCAAAATGATAAGAAATGTGGCCCATTCTTCGTAAAGTTACAAGCACTATACACAGAAAGATGTATATGGGACTACCCTATATCTCTCACAGACCATGAGAGAAATAAATTTACCAAATATATGAATTAGTAGGCGGTTTTCCCGGCAAATTTTTTATCATCATGTATTAGTCAAAACATATTCTTTCACATGATTGATAATGAGAGCTTCCATTTCATTTTTTGAAATTGGGGCGTTTCCAATACTGGTCTTTACCTTTAACACATTGAAAATCGATCGAAAATGTTAACTCTAAATCCGCTCTAATGTCATGATTGAAAGAGAAAACGGATAATGTGTCTAAAAGCATTGTTGTGAAGTGAATGTTGACATTTGGTTTTTTCTCACAATTCAAATCTCCCTGGCAGATAACAGATTACAGAAAAACTCCATTTCAGACTGTGTTTAAGTGGGAGCCATTTCGGTTTTTGGCCCATCGACTAATAATGTTAATAATGTGTGATAATTGCCAAATGCGGTAATGTACATGTACAGCCTTCTCCACTCAAAATGCACATCTTGTAAAAATACATCAATTCATTTGAGATAACATAATCCGATTTATCCAGCAAATTGTCCGATCATTTATTTCTGTATGTGGCATGTCAGCATTATATAATAGGTTTAATCAAGAAAACGTGTATCAATATTGACATTATGGTGTGTAATTTTTTAAATATAGGTAGTTATATAACCCCATATTCAGAATAAATCACACTTTTGTGTTTCATCGTGCAATACATAATTATGTGTGTAATATCCAATATTTATATGTATATTAACCAGATTTATAACATCAAACCCAAAATAACAAATATAGCAATCGAAAACTCCTTATCAGAAAACACATATTCTTGGTTGAAATTTGTAATTAAATTTAAACAAGTCCGGATTTTGGACATTCTTTCAAATTTAGGGCAAAATACGACAACTTTTAGTAAAGATATGCGCGTGGCATCCAGCCTATCTTATTCCTCAGTATTTTTGCAAGAATTTTAGCATGGATGCCTACAATGCATTATCCCCAAGATAGTTACCATGGAATCTTTTCTTTTGTTTGGCTACTTACATTACTGTGGCCAGGAGTTGGCGTGAGGGTGAGCATGTGTGTGATTGTGTATGTGTGTTTAGACAGTTGAGTCCGATTCCCTCGATATAAAGGGGATGATTTTCCGCAAATAAATCTCCTTACCGAGAAAGCTTTGAGTGGTTATATTATCATAATTTCAGGGTTGAAATCTACACTAACGCTGCTTACGAATTACATTTAAATGTATTCACATTCAAATTCAAATTCAATTTCGGTTTTATTACAAATATACCAAATAAAAAGTCTAAAGACTAACAATAATTGGCTTACAATGTAAATTTGAGGGAATAACTAGCTTTTTTTTAGGTCACTTCTATTCATGAGATGCATGAGCTGATAAGGTTGTTCTTTGATCCCCATCAGATGTACACAGTAAATATGGCAACACAGTCGTCACAATTTCCAAGATGGTGCGTGTGTAAATGGAGTGTGTCTAAATGTTCTAATTCTTTAGTGGTTTATTACCCCCCCCCCCGAAAGGTTAGTAAGCCTTCGAATTTCAAGAAGAAAAAAAAAAGGGAAAAAAATTGATATGAATAAAAAGAGAAAAGATGAGAAATTGTACGGGAAAGCAGAAATGCGGTTCATAGCCTACAGTTTAATATAATAGTCAAGCAAGCATAAATACATCGGGACAATAATAGCCGCGGGCTTATTATTTCCGTGTTACTTTCAACTTCCTGGTTGCTAACTATTAAATGAGAGCCGGTGGCAGATTCCGCATTTTTTCAGGGAGGGGGATCAGTCCCGGAAAGTTTCTTACCAACGGTAAAAGGGGGTATCACATTAATTCTAGGTGCTGACGGGTCTTCAATTTCTGTTGGGAGGGACATAATAATATATGGGGAACATGATTTGTGTACTAGGGTTGTGTTTCACCAAGGTCACGTATTATGGCCCCATGCATGCACGACATTTCCTATGGATCCACCAACACGTTCTACCTGTTTGGCCCCAGACAAAGGCTTCACATTAATTTCCCGACATGTACAGGAACCCCCATATTCGATCCAGTTTGAAAGAGAAGGTTGAGATGCGGTAGAAGTGAACAAAAATAATTTGTGAGCCTAATTTCTGGGGTTTTTTTTAATGTTAGTTTGGAAGAACATTATAGGCCTAGTAGAAAATAATTGATGTTTCAAAATAATGCCCTTGCGGCTCGGGAAGATAGCATATGGAAACGTTTGTTTGTATTTGTCTCATAAAAGAATTTGACAACAAACTGACTCCCACACGGTGTTGAGTGCTCAGGGGTCACGGGCCACTTGCTTCATCGGGCAGGTAGTTCCATTATGTGAATGGGTAAATTAACTATTACAAAATAAGGGGACACATTACATTGTACAATAGGGACACACATTGTTTTTATTGTGCAGAACAACTTATTGCATGAAACAATAAAACCAAAATGCATTTTGTATTCTAACTATAGGAGTACAAAGAATAATAACAGGTGAATGAAATGCATAAACACCACAAACACCTGGGGAGGAAGCATTCATAAATTTGAATACATATAGTTGATAAACGACTCCGATGAAACTATAAAACCAAAGTGAAATTCGCGTTCTGGCAATTGGAGTACAAAGAATGATAGCAGGTGAATATGCTTCAACAGCTACACAAACACCTAGGAAGCTAGGAAGCATCCATAAATTTGAATAAATTTAGTTGATAAACGACTCCGCATGTGGACGTTGGTTGGAGCAGAAAGCAGTGAATTCTTAACATCACGAACCCATTTAACAGAATGTCGGAACGTAAATTAAATTTGGCGCGGTTGGAAAATGCATCTTTCTACCCTGCGACTTTAATGGTACGATCCAGTAAACTAAAACAGTAAAATGGCTCTTATCTTAAAACTACTCATTAAATAAAACCCAAATCTTCAGT